GTACATTTTTATATATATTAATAATATAATTATTAATGTTACAGATATGATTTTAAATCTTGTAAATGGGCGAATTGGCCCAAAACATCGTCAGATGTAAGAATGAGATAAAAGTGCATTAAAGTTGTTTAAAGTAAAAAGGGGTTTTGTTCTTTGAAATAATAAATTTATACATTTAATTTTTTTTTTTTTTAAACTAAATATGTTTTTCCTGGAGTAAAGGATTATTGATTATGTTAATATATTTCTCAATCCAAAAAATAATCATTCTAAAAAGTGAAAAGACAGAATTATAGTACATGTTAAAAATATACTATGAAAACAATATTATAATAAATTATATAAAAGCTAATGAAAAATCCATCAGCATGATTTTCAGAAAGAAGGTTGTATTAGAGTTTAATATTTAAAATAATAAAACTAAAGAAGGTTTCAGCTGACTAAAAGAAAAAAAAAATGTAAACAGTTTTAGTAGCACAATTATTGTAACGCAAGCTAAATATAAATTAAGAATAAGGATAATTATATAAACAAATATATCCCATGTAGTTTTCAATAAACATGAGAATAAAACAGAAATGATATTTTATTAATAAACCCTCTATATGGCATATCATTCTAGTGAATGGTAAATTGATACAAAATAATCAATAACATTATGCTTAACATAAAAATGTGAATTTTTCATGTAGTTTTTAATATTTAGAGTAAATTTAACTAAATAAAGATGATGTACAATGCTATTGAAGACAACAAACAAATATTTTAATAATGAAATAAAAATGTCAATCTTAATTAAATTTTTTACTTGCTATGATTAAAAGAACTTTACATAATTAAATAATTAAGGTTTATTTTCAATTTTTTTAATCTTCAATAAATAATGTACATACATAAGCTGGATTTTATTTCTAAACCTGTATATTAGATTGAATTAACACCCAGCTTGATTTAAACTGGTAAAAATAAAGACAGGTTTGTAACAGAATAATGTGAATGAATGATTGAAGGTGAAAAAGTATAAAAAATTTTGAAAAAGAAAAGCAATGCAATAAATCTATAGTTAGAGAAACTTAGATTTGTCTATTTTTTGCATGACCCAGAGATAATAACTAATAAATTAAATAATAACTATGTAAAAATTAAAATATATATATAAAATATCATTTTCTCATTGAAAGGATAACACAAATTAATTTAAAAAAAAAATAAAAAATTTTCTGTTACTTTGTTGATAATTCATAGAATAATCTTTACTTTGATAAAGGTATAAAGAAAAGGAGAGATTATGCATTTATTCCAATCGTTATTTAATAAATATTTATTCAAATAATGCCCAACATTGTAGATGTTCAATGAAATTTCCTAATCACAAAAGTTATTCTAATAAAGCACAACATAAATTAGAAAAATCACAAAGATTTGAGTCATTTATACATTAAAAAACAAAAGAGTATGTGGACATATAAATTTTAAAATAAAAAAGTATAACATCAGTTTGAAGAAATGTCATTAAGTAAATTTAACTATTTCATAATCTGATGAATTTTCTCTTTGTTAAATAAACACTGAGGAATTAGTTACCTCAATAGTAGTTCAGAGGAATCATTATTCTTTCTTGCTTCAATTTTAAATTCTTTTTACTAGTTTATTATTTTTTTTAACTGTAACACGAGAACTTCAATTTATTAACTTAAATTACATCCTATTAAAAGTGAAGTAAACAATATTTAAACTTCACAGAATGCAGAAGTAAAGCAAAGCAATGATGAGGACTGTAAAATCACAAATCGTCTAAAGTTGTAAAAAAAACACATTCACAAAAAATTTCAAGATTAACTGACTAGACTATTAGAGGAAGCTGCAAGTAAAGGAAATAAATAAAATAAGGAAGGTTTTTAATTACCAAAATTCATTTGATTCGTGTAAAAAGTATATTAAAAATAAACAAATTGAAATAATAAGGAAGTTTAAAAATTGTTCGAAAGCTCAATATGAATTAAACTCTCACCTTCAATGGAAACGTAACTTTGCCTCACTTGACATTGTGAGCAGTTTAGATTTAGCCTAATAGGATATAAAGATTAGGTTCTATAATTAAAGAACATACAAATCATAAAATATATAATTTTAAAAACATAATTGATATGCCTGAAATAAACAATCTGTAAATAATTCAAAATATGGCTTATGAAAATATTTACCAAGCATCTTTAACAACAATATCATTAAATGACATCTGTACAAAATTATAAAATATTTACAGATAGTATAAGTTAATTTAAATTAAAATTTACAATAAACTTTGGTGTAATGAATCTAGTTACAAAATGCGTGAACAATTTTAGTCTTAAAGCTTATAATCACATAAACAATATATTTTCAAATCACACTAACAACGAGAATGAATATCTCAATTTATGAAAACAGACAATATGTTACATATATCTATAGGATAAATATACCCTAATATATAAAATTCAACAGAAGTTCGCATTCATTCTGAATGAAGTCACAGACTAAACTTTCAAAGTTAGACCTAAAAATCATCCTCTAATTTAAAAGATACAGTAGTAAATTATTACAATAAAATTATTTACTTGGTAAACAGATAAACTATTTCAAAAATGTAGGTAAATATTTTAGACAACAGTAACATGGACAGAGTTTAAAACAAAATCACACAAAAAGTCTTCAAGAATGGCGTAAGATGCTTATGTAAAGATACTTTCTTAGTAGGGCTGAAGGAGACTCCCAGGAACAAAAAAATTATGTTGTATTGAAACCAACTTCATTAAAAGTTATAATTTTTTGTAAATTGGAAAAGTGGGGATTGGTTATTTATTACATGAAAAATAATTTCTGTTAAAATAGACACACTATTGATATAGTTGGTAAAAATAATTTAAATTGTTACATCAAGAGAAGTCCTAAATTAGGAACATGATATTTATAAGGCACTATAAGGATTGGATGTTATGACCTATGCCATCATAATACTGAAATTAATCAAGGTGACAATGAAAAGAAGGATAAGTCTATAAAAATTTAAAAAAAAAATCATTTAATTGTTTAATATATGAATTTTTAGTTAGAAATATAAGACCAAAAAATCATCTTTTATAAATAATAGGGCAGCGCAATGAAAATTTTCTAATACTATGTTATAATGGTAATAATTAATAAATTATTAATTCAACCAAAAAAAGACATCGACCTCTGAAAAGAAGAGACCAGTAATAAGAGAATATACTCATCTTAACTGTCAAAAATTAGTTAAAATTTTTTCAGATGAACCTCTCCAATTATTGAAAATCAAGAGGATTGAGTCACATTAGCTCACAGGTTCGACTTGAGCCATTTCTTATACGGATGCTTTTACTACATTTTGTATACATCAGTGTTAATTTAATAGTCCATTATTCGATTGCTTAAAATATTTACTTTTCATTTCAAATTCACCTATCCAAACATTATTTAGAATTCTGAAACGTATATCTTAATTTCATCATTCTGGGGAATGTAATGGAATAATTAATAACACGAGAATATCAAAACAATTAGAATGATAAAATAATTAACACAAGGTGAAATAATTTTATTTTTACGAATTTCAGTTTAATGAGTCACAATTTCTTTAAGTAAAATTTATTTTTATAAAAACAGCAGAAACCCTGTAATGGATATATATATTTGTTCCAACTATCTACAAGTTAAAAAACGTTTTCTTGCTTAATAATACGTATTGAATAAAGTAAAATTTGTATATATGAATGATTGGATAGTAAGTTATACCCATTGTTGGATACAATTTATCATTAAACTTTACTCATATACAGGAAGAAATTATGGTATGTTAACAATATTTTGGCTTAACTTATAAACATGTAATTTACAATCAGAGACCAGATTTTTATGAAATCGCAAATTTATTTTCTCTGCATTTTTGCAGCAGTTGTCATAAAATCAAAACAAATAAGTGCAGATAGTAAATAATTAAAACCATTAATAACTTCAGAAAAAAAAATCGTTTAAAGTTTCGCATTGTCTTATCTTCTATTCATGTTTATTCAAATCTGATGCCTTTTAAGTTTTAATTTATCATTGTCATAAAACAATATCCTTATGCCATTATTAAAAGCCATAGTTTAATACATAAATATATATATATATATATATATATATATATATATATATATATATATATATATTTTTTTTTTTTTTTTGGAAGAGAAGAATTCACAAAAATCTTAATAATTTCCATTTTGTTTATGAAAATATGTTTTTGATATATCAATAAAAATGTAATGGATAATTATTCCTTAAATTAAAAATCATTACATTATTATATTATTAACTATAAAACATGATTATTTTTTATTTTTTGATCTTAAATGACAAAATTGATGGATATTGTTTTTTATAAATATGTAGGATTTAACATTGCATAAAAATTCTGGCCTTTTATGATAATGAATGAAAGAAAAAACTTAATAGAAAATTTACAGAGACAAAAGTTCTATGTCGTATTTAATTTTTATTCAATTATACCAGTTGCACCTGATTGCAGTTACTATTATCTGCTACCTGATCTGGTATTATCGCAGCTTCACACAAAATAATTTCAATTTTTATATTTAAATTAAGTGTTAATATCTAAATCTACAATTTATATGATTCATGCATGGGATAACATTTTCAAACAACAATAATAATACTAAATAACATTAAACAATTTTTAAAACACAACAATTATTATTATCATTATTGACAATAGAAAAAAAAATTCATTATCTAGTGGAATGTCAAATACACACCAAACGATTAATTATTTTAATTGAAAAAAAAAATCACTATGGTACTAAATTCACAACCTAGGTAACAGAGCATAGCAAAAAAAATTAAAAAAACCTAAAACCATTTTGTTTTCTAAAATTCAATTTAACTTACTGTTAGATAGAGCACAACAAAAACAAACTAAAAGAAAAAAAAAGTGTGATTATTAACCAACAATTCCAAAACACGATTTTGGCTTTAAAAAATAAATGAATACGAATAAGTAATAAGGATCAAAAAGAAAGAAAGACTATTAATACAGTATTCATTAAGTTTATACAAATAGCTTGTAATTTTGTATGTATATATAAAAATAGCATATTTAATTACTTTAAAGGAATATTAAATGAATTTAGTCTAAAACAAACACTGGATTTTTGAGCAGTTATATAAATTTATTTCGCCTGCTTATTTAGCTAAAGTAGTGCATTTAGACCAAGTTAAACTCATTTTATTTAATTAAGAAAGACATATTTATTTTCATTGTAAAGACAATAAATCGTAATTTAAGATAACAAATTAGAGAAAAAAACTTTCAAAAGAAAACGGAACTATATTGAATAATTATTTTGGCCTAAATGTAAAAAATAATATCACCCCTTGATAACTTCTTAGAAAAAGCTAATTTATTTAGTTTGTCACTCATTCTTTTATAATTTTCTGATATTCAGTTTAGTTCATAAATTACTTTAGTTTGAACAGATTACTCAGTGTTGTTCTTATCGGTTTTAACAAAATAAGAAAAATAATTATTAATTTTTATTTTCATGTTATATATAAATTACTAGATTCACATAACAAATTTTCATCTTATTTTAACTACTTATAATTCATCATATTATATGTTTTATTTTTAAGTCTTTTTTCTTCAATTGGTAATTAATTGATAGTATACAAATTTTTTTTTGGATGTTTAAGTAATTATATTGCATGAAAATACGGCTCCAGGTCATGACTAACAAATCGCTTTGTAACATTGTGATTAAAAAACAAAAAATTATATTTGATTTGATATTAAATGATAACCAAAATAAAACTGTACACATATTTAAAAAAACAAAAACAAAAACAAAACAAAGAATAGAAATACCTTCAGAATTTTTCAGTGAAGATACATTCTTCCAACAACTGCTATCAATAATAATAAAATATTTAATTTTAACTAAGCATAAAAAATGTTGAAAAATAAAAATTCAAAACAACAGAAAACTAATAAAATGGAAATATAAAATTATTTCAAAAAAAAAAAAAAAAAAAATTAGAGTAGGGCTCTGGCAAGGGAAGAAATATGACGGTTACCCATTGCATTGCTCTGAGTGCTCCAATCGCCGGTGGGTATTGGTGTCGTATAGAATTTTGTGGATGTCTTGTTGAAAATAGGAAGCAGTTCATTTGCCTCATTGGATAAAGCCTTAAACAATAAAAAAAAAAAAATAACAAATCTGAAACTAAAAAAACTAAGGTGAGTGCTTGAGACCACACAATAGAAGTGAAAACATCAATAAGGTAAAATTAATAATATGAAATATAGATTATAAATAATAGCTCGTTATACAGAAGATGAAATGCTGAACATTCCCCTTGCTTACAGAAAGCAGGTCCTATTTTTAGTTTCTAAGATATTTTAATCCAAATCTTCAATAAAACTTGTTATCATTTGGTTTTCGACACTATTTTTTCCTTTTCACCTCTCTCACACAGCTTCACTTTAAGATATAACTTTGAATGAAAACTCAATATAAAGAGGATGAAATGATAAACATTTCCTTCCCTAACAATATGCAGGTCCGATTTTTAGTTTTTGAGATATTTTAATCTATATGAAAAAACATTTCAATTAGTCGATTTCACCCGAGCGTTACACATTGAAAATCTGACGGCTCAATCTAATTCTCTCTCCACAAAAAAAGTGCAAAACATGCCTCAAGAAGTTTTTACTTTAATAAATAAAAGAAAAATAACATGAAAATATTTTAACCTTTTTTTTTTTAATTCTCTTTAATACACTTATTTCAAAGAAACTAGTTAGCTTAAAAAGGGCATGAACTAACTATCCCAAAAAATCTAAATTATTTTGTTTATCATAATTCATAATAATTACATCTATTGGAAAAATTAAAATTAATTATAAGTTTACTCAAGAACAAAAATCATTAGTAATTCCAAAAATACAAATTTATTATTAACAAAACTAATATTTTATACTTATAAATTTTTTACTTATAAAAATTACTTATAAAAATAATCCAGAATTTTGGAATAAGAATTGCTGCAAATACTAACTATAATTGATAATGAGATTAATTGATTAAAACATAGATAGAAAAAAAAACTGTTCTTAACACATAAAAATAGATCAGTCGGATAATTTAGTGTTTTAAATAATATCTACTTACAAAGCCTTAGAAATTATTTGAAATGTTTACATCACAGAAAAAATAATTCATATATATAAATTTATATAGAGAAAATTACCTTCATGAATATTATGGCATCTGTGCCATGACCATCACATGATAAAAGGCTGAGGTCACCATGAAAGTATCTCGCATATAACCGAGATATTGGAAGACCGTAACCGTAACCTATAACAAAAAGTGTGTTTTGAATAAAAAAAAATAATTATTTATCAGATAATGAAGTATTGACATGATTCTTCTGTTGTCAAAACATTTTTATTTTTACTACCTATATATATATATATATATATATATATATATATATATATATATATATATATATATATATATATATATATAGTATTGCGATCGTGAAAAATTTCGAATCTGAGTTTTCAACGGAAATACATGTTTGTAGGTTCCCTGAGTCCAAATAACCAAGTCCCACAAAACTTAAATTTATTAAGGTTTTTATAAGCCTGAGATGTTACAGCAACATTTTCGTCAAAATTGGCAAACCGGAAGTGGTACTTTATATCATCCATTTAATATATTTTTACGATTTCCTCAAAAACAGCTCTAACGATTTTGATTAAACTCAGAATACAAGTGTATTATTAAGCAGTTTTTAATATAATGTAGGTTATATTCTCTAACAGGAATTAATGGCTAATTTTCAATATTAGCTTCCTCTAAAGCACCATTAATTGTTTCTATTTTAAATAATTAACCATTTCACATTAATCTTTGATATAAAAAAAGTTAAACAAAAAATATGAAAGAATTTGATAATTAACTAAAGGAGAAATAAGAGTTTGTAACAGATAATAGTTGTAATGGAGGAACCAAAGGAACATGAGCTCACCCAAGCTTGCCTGAAAGATTAGAACAGGTTTCTATAAGTGACGTGAGCTTAATATAATACAGACTCTGACAATATTATGTGGATATACATATATTTTATAAATATTATCGTTTGTATTATGTAATATTTAATTGTATAGATTAGTGATATAAAAACATAAGATTTGTACAATAAGGGTAATTAAACAAATAAAAATACCTAAAATGAAATGTGAATAAATATAGCATCTATAATTTTTACTACCACTTCCCTTTGTCTGAGAATACTTATTTCTGCTGAGAAGAGGGTGGTAAGTGAATGTCATTTGATGCGCACACCATATTTTTTATGTAAGGTTAGTTAACTGCTCTTTCAAGGCATCATTGAAATTTAGAAACTCATTAGGAAATAAAACTAGGATCTTTTATTTCTCAAAAATCTAATTGATTTAAGTTCATATTAAAAAATAAAATGGTTCTTTGATTTTGTTTTAATTACAGTACAGTCTCTATAATCCAGGCTAGATTGGAACGTGAACTCTGTATGTTATACAAAAATTTCAGATTACTAAAAATTGCGTAAGCTACAATATTTAGTTTAATTTATTTTCATAAATACTCCTTTACCTTAAATTTAATAAGTATGTGTAACTATATACAATTTTATTTTCTTCAACTCAATACTACATAATGAATATCTACATGATTTATGTTACCAATCTATTTCATGTATTTAAAATTAAAATTGTATTTATGGCACACCATAAATAAAACCTCAGTATATTGATGTAATGTAAAAATTATAAATTTTATAAAAATGAAACATGCCTATGTGTAAATGAGTTGTTTCAATGCAAATTTCAGGATAATATAGAAGAAAAAGTATCATTTTTCTGGTTATCCGGTCACAGATGTGTAAATTTAGATTATTTCAAATTCTCTCTTCAAATTATTTCCATACTTAACACTTACTAAATTAAATTAATTTTTTTTTAAAATCCTGCCTGTATTAACTGGGATTATACTTAACCACAAATTAGTATGATCAAAGGTTTCAAAATAAAATTTTATTTATAACAACATCTGTTCGTTGAGTTCTGGCAACTATCCAGTCATTTTCAATCATATTCAATTTTACTCATACAATTTTGCCAAACTTTTAAGTCTCAATATTATTTTCTTAGCTAGTAAATTACTTTACATCTATCTGCTAATTGTCATGTGCATGATAGATTTAACAATAAAATAGAAACATATATAAATTATTATTATTTTCTTATGCTCTTATGTGGCATACTCTTTTAAGTTTACATATTTACTCGTACATATTTTTTGAGGTTACAATTCAAAAATGATGCCAGATGAGAGTTCAAGCAAACAATAGGTCTGAATTTTGGCCCAGGAGTTAAGAGAAGTTTAGCACTAGTACACTAACCATTGGGCTGCCCAACTTAAACAGTTAATTTTAACAATAAAAGTTTAAAAAAAAAATCTTTTAATATAAAAAACGGTTCTTTATCATTTTAAAAGTAAATTAAACTAAAAATATAAACAAAAGTTAGTACCTAATCTACTAGAACTATTTTGATTGATCTCTAGGCTATTTGTATAGAGATCCCTTTAGAGATAATTTTAATTTGTCTAGAGATCCCGGTTAGGCAGTTACTTACTTCGACTCTCGTCCCAATCTACTCTGCACGAGCCACATTTAAAAGTTGTACTGTTCAACTGATAGAAAAAATTATCACAACTCAATGAGAAAAAATCTGGAATTCCGGACATCTGTAACGCGTTGTCGCTTAAAACACTCATTTTTCAACTTTGTCCGATCTTCCTGTTGAAGGTGTCATTCGATTCAACTTCCTATTCGAGCCTAACAAATGTCATATACATTTTTTGAGTTAACAAAACGGATTAGCTGGAAATTGGAAAAAAAAACTCCCAAAAATTTCACGCCGCCCCCCACAATATTCAAATCAAGTTCGAATTTTACACGAAAGTAGGTGACTCAATGTCCAATGCTATTTTGCCAGTGATAAACTCAGCAATTTTACACGAAAGTAGGTGACTCAATGTCCAATGCTATTTTGCCAGTGATAAACTCAGCAGAGCTTAAAGAAGTGGAAAGACTAAATCTCTTTTTGATTATTTCAATCTCTTCGCTTCACCATAAATGAAAATTACATATTTAAAAATTTTTAATGGATCAGTATTGGTCAGTTTAGTTGTATGGCACTTAAACAAATAGCCAAATACCAAAGTTTTTATTTTGACTATAACTTAAACAAATAGCCGAATACCAAAGTTTTTATTTTGACTATAACGAAACCTTGATTTCCATAAGCTGCACCCAATAAAAAATTTAGGCATTCAAAATTGGAGAGCGGCTGCATAATACCTGGCGAAGGCTAATTGAGGAGGCCAAGATCCACATCGGGCTGTAGTGTCATTGAAAGAAAGAAAAAACAAAACAAAATATTAGCTACTGTGGTTTTGAGAATATTTCTTTTTAACTGGTGAAGGCTTTGATTTTATAATTTATTGAGGATAGGGCAAATTAGGTGATCTGAGTTGGTGAAAAATGATCAGTAAATCCTTCATTCTATATGTAAAAACCTAACTCAAGTGTTTTGTTGATTGACAAAGTTTACTTCATAAGTTGGTCTTTAGCGATTTCTCAAACGATTCCCGATTTCTATAGTCACATCTCACAAACACCAGTGGACTTCAAGAGTTCTTCTTTCGAGAGTTAAGAAACTTGATTACTCCACATTATGTTAACTATCATACAATTAACCAAGAAAAAAAAAGATTGTTGCAATAACTGTGATACTGTTTCAGATTCATATTAATACTGACAACATATATCTGTAAATTCTATATTGTTCAAGACTCAAAAAATACTGATCCACAACATACCAAATTATTGGGGTAGCCCAGATATGAGACTCACATAAAATACACCCAAGATACAAGAGTACGATTAAAGAATAATAGTCTTAAAAGAAATTTATAAAAAAATTACAGATTATCCCATTTCATAAAAAGTTTAAAGCAAAAAGTAAATTGGTTATTATCGATTTTTTAAAATAATATGAGGGAAAAAAAATTATAAGCAAACAAATAAGTTGAATTACCACTACCAACCTGCTAATGGAACTGTTCCAAGGTCAGATTTGGATGGCTGTGGTGCAGTACTATACATGTAATGAAAAAGAAGATCTGTCTGAGACCTTGGAATACCGCCTCCTCTATCTGAAACCTACAGAATAGAGGTTTAAAACAACTGTAATCAGCTTTAATATATATTTCTACATTTAGAAATACAAATTATAATTAACAGTATAGTAATATAAAAAATAATACAAAACTTCTCATACACATAATTAATTACCTTGATACAAATATCTTCTTTTCCTTTGACAATTATAACGTTAATAGATGGATAGTTATCAGGGTGGTGTTCCATAACAGCCCTCATAGAATTTTTGAATAATTCAAATAATATGTGGTATAAGTGTGATGGAACGTAAACAAATTGGATGGGTCCTCCAGAACCTACATAATTTTATATTTTTTAAAACAGTTTTAACCCATAAACTCTTTTAATTTCACAACAAATATTGCTCAAGAAGGGATTGGGTATTTGGAAAATAATAAGTAACATTATAATTTATGGGATATGTAAAATTAAATGTATGTTAATTCTTAATTAAATATTTTACACAATACAACATTTGCAAATTTTAATTTCTTCAGGCTAGTGAAAAAACAAACAGATTTATCAGGTACATAAAAACATATTGGAAAAAATAAAAATACACATTTCACTCAAAAATTTGTTGACTCCGTAATTTCTCGGCATGCAAAGTGTTCACTTATTAATATCTACCTAAAATTTTTTGTAAAGCTTTACACAACAATGTCCTATAAAAAGACATTTTAGATGAAATATGTATTCTACGAATACATAATACATGAAGTATTCTATCTCAGGTTTGTTGTGAAATGATTAAGTGTAATGTATTTGTGTTAACTTAAAGGCTTCCCATAAGGATAGTAATTAAAATAATTAAAGTTATAAATTATTAATAACAATAATTACAAAATTGTTAAATTTATTATTGTTGTTTTTAAACAAAACGCCCTAAAAAAGTATAAGATTTGGAGACTTGAACAGGGAGGAATGAAAAAGAAAAGAAAATATATTTTATTTTTTATCACAAAACTAATTTTATTCTAAAATTTTTCAATCCAAAACTATTGCTATTATAAAGATACCACCAGTTCAGAATTTTATGGATCAGATTACCGCCAGCATCAGTTAGAATTTATGTCTCAGTGGCCCAGAAAAATAAATTCTATAAAGATTGTATAATGACTATAAATCCCATTCTGGTTAGTATAGGGCGGCAACCACTAGTAGGTTGTGATTAATTCAACAAAATAAAAAGTAGTGATAAAAGAAGATCATTAATTCACTATATGAAACTAATCAATAATATATAATCACAGGGTATTTACCGAAACATTAGAAATTGTAGTCATCTAACCAAACAATGTCTTTGGCCAGTAAACACTTTTATGAAAAAAAAAAATTATTTTATAAAAAGTTGCAAGTAATTACATCTTTATCCCGCTCCCTCTCCCAAGGGCTGTACAAAGGGTCTTAATTAATTAGAAATAATGGTACGAAAATTTGCAAATTGCAACAACAATTTGCAACGAGCAATGACAGTTCTTTTAGTTTTTATCTCTTGTGGAAAAATTATTAATTTACTTATGAGAATGGTTTTTGTAGTATATTCTAAAAATGAGTAACATCAATTTTAAACGTTATGCTATCAGTTTCTGCTTCAGACTTGGACACAGTGCAACGGAAGCATTAGAAAAACTGCTGTGTTTTGTTGAGAGCTCAGGTTTTAGGTGGTTTAAGGCATTTTTAGAAAGAAGAGAATCAATTGAAGACGAGCTTCGCAGTGGAAGTTCTTCATCTTCAAGAACCAATAAAAATTAAGGCAGAATCCTCGATCTCATGCATTCAGATCATCGTTTGACAGTACAAATGATCGATGAATAGTTGAATTTGACTCACACAACCGTTCATCAAATATTGACCAATGAATTGGGGATGTGCAAAAATAATTCTGAAAAATCTTTCACAAGAGCAAAAAGAAAAAGAAAGGTGCTTTGATTTTTTGAGAGCAATTGAAAACCCTGTAGCTCCTCAGCCTTCTTATTCAATCTACTTGTGTCCATGTGACTTTTTTCTGTTCTTAAGATTGAAAAATCACCTCATGGGACGAAATTTTCAGACAATGGAGTTTTTTTTTTTTTTTTTGTTCTTCCCTACCTCACCTTTAAGGCTATACGGGATTTTCCCGGGCCGGGGGATGAGTGTGGGAAATTTAAAATCCCCTCCGGCACCGGGACGCGAACTTGTACTTTTTAAATCATCTCAAATCTCTGTTATCCGGTTGCCAAGCAACTAGCGATGCTGTGCACATGCTTTAGCCCATTCGGCCACCCCGCCCCCCGGACATTGGAGGTTATTCAAACAGCCGTAATCGACCAACCGAAGGCTATTTCAGTATCCGAATCCCAGAACCGCTATGAGGAATAGAAGAATTGTCTCCAGCGCTGTGTGGCATTCCAAGGTAGGTAGTTACTTTGGGGGAGACAATGTGAATTTGTAATTTTATTTCAATAAAAATTTAGAAAAATCAGTCTCATTACTTAATATACACACCTCATATTATTAAAATATTGTTATGGGAACAGTCTTACAACATGCGTTAGAAATGAATGAATCATAAAAAATGAACTAATTTTAAAAGGAAACATGATAATAACAGCCATAGTAGTTACAAAAATAAAGATATACAAGGTACTTTATGATGCTAAACTTTAGAGGTAGGCTCTGTAATAGAAGCTGTTGGTAGGTCCTTTGTTCTTAGACCAGGAGTTTCTACACTTTTTGACACTTTTGGGCCATATGAGGTCTCCATCAAGTCCCATGGGCCACGGCTTGTGATGAAAAAAAATATTTGTTCTATGAATGACTTGTACTATGAATGATTCATAATTGGTAAATGGTTGACTGTCGTGGATAATGAAGAGAAGAATAGTTGGGGTGGTCAATCTAAAAAGAAGGCAAAAATAAATGATAATATTTATTTTTTACATATGCCAACGTTTCGACCTGAATTTATTTCATACTTTGTCTGTACATATTGATAGACTTTACATCTCAATTTTCTATCTAAATATTCTATTCAGTATATCTTAATTTTACTATTTATTTCCATTTCTTATATAACTTCATATTTTTCTGTTTTACATTTTATTCTAAGATTCCCTGTACAATACTTATGTCACCTTTTTTGACTATGTTTACTTCATCATTCCACACTTTGTACTTATTATTATTTGTCTCTTGTTCTTACTGTTGTCATTATTCTAACAACTTCATTTTACTGTAATTTTTATATTTCTCATACCTTGTTATCTGGTTCTTTCCTTAGTCCTGATGATGGCCTGAACTTCAGATCGAAACGTCGGCATATGTAAAAAATAAATATTATCATTTATTTTTGCCTTCTTTTTTGACTGACCACCCCAACTATTCTTCTCTTCATAAATGATTCAGTTGTGAAATGAGCTTTTTAAGAGAAAAAATCTATGCAATAAACGTTATATTACCTCTTGTATGAGTAATTTGGTAAATTTCATATTGTTTTTAAATAGCTTTTGAAACTTTACCATGAAATCGTCAAAGAAACTTTCGCAGGGCAGATCTGAAGTGCTTGCGGGACGTAGTTTAGAGACCCCTGCTCTAGACCAAAACTAGCCTAGGGAAAAATTTCCTCCTTGTTCAAGGTTTTGTCTCAGGTGTGATTAACAAGAATAGGGCACTGTGTGGTAATAGCATTTCAGTAGCTTAAGCGATTTTTTTTTTTTTTTATTTCATTATAAAGCAAAGATACTTAATCATATAACTGTGAGAAAAAAAATCAGGTTTGAGTTAACTAATTGAGGAAAATTTATAGTAGACTAAAAATCGTTCTTAAAATAAGAATAACACAAAAAGATAACCCTTGCTGTAACATTAAGGAGACTGAGATATGAACAAAAGATTGTATTAGACCTCATGTTGTAGCTTTAGATATTGATTGGATTCATTAGAGGGAGATATTTAGGTAACGGGTGTATCCGCACTGAACTTACAGTTTACAATTAAAGACTTACATGTAACAGATAATATAATAAATCAATATAATTGGTGATAGTTACCATTCTGTTCTAGAATGTTGAGTTTCGGTGATGCTAGATAGTACTGGTCACATAAGAATGAAGCATTGTCATATGCATCATTGACCACGGCTCTAATAGCACATTCAGGATCAATGCAACCAATATGCATCGTTTTTCTTTCCTTATCACGCAATTCATTCCCGAATAATAAAGCTGGAATCAAAGCATAAACATTGAACAAATTTAAATAGATACAAATTTTTTTGTTTGTTTAGAACAGGCTCAACAACTAACTGAACTACAACTTGGAACTTGCACATTGTATGGGTAGAAGGGATGAATTAAGAATAAATAATACAGTGGGTGAAGATGGTGGACCGTGATTATAATTTGAGAAGTTGGTGAAGGGGTGTGGTGAATATATGATACAGTCGACTCACGATAATTTAAATTTTTCAATAATTCGAAGTCTTCAGCTGTTTACTTCAGTAAATCAAAATAATACTGTATTTTGATAGCTCAATAACTCAAAATCGTTTTTGTATGTAGAGGGAATATGTGAGGCAGCAGTGAGTATTCTAAAAATACAACACCAAATCTGCTCAACTTTTTCCGATTTGATGCAACTGGATAAGGCTCATGAAGCCTGGCCAATTTAAGCTGGTGACCAACTAGTGACCTCATGGAGGTGTGATGTAGTCGGTCGATTGGAGGAAATATAATTTCAAACGAAATGTCATTGGGTTTATTGAGATCTAATGCAGCTGGGTGATCAGATTTTTTGGAACGGGGCTCATGAAGTCCAGTCAGTAAAAACTGATCGACTAGGGACCTCATGAAGGCAAGATGTAGTCGAGAAAAAGAAATGTCACTAAATTCATTAGGATCTGATGTAGGTCGGCATTTAGAACCTGTCTGAACTGGCTCTTGGAGCTCTGTTGACCACTAGGAGATGTTCTAAAAGAGTGGGTCATCTCGTGTAGAATGTACTTACAACAAAATGTCGTTGGTTCTTTTGGAGTAGGGCGCAGCAGGGTACATAGATCTTTTGCGGCCGGGCTGTTGCAGCTTTGAAGATTTAACTTTATCACAAACTGAGAACCTCTTGGAGGCACATGGAAGTTGGAAAAAATTTGGCGAGATATTATTTACCAATGAAATGGCACTGGATAGGTTGGTAGGTTGATCTGGCGCAAAAGGATGCTCAGATCTTGGCGCTGGAATCTCGAACTCTTGGAGCTACGGTAATGGTTCCCGTGTGGTAACATTATTGTCCAATGAAATGTCACTGGATTTGATAGGATCAAAGGCAACTGAGCAATCAAGTTCTAAATTATGGGCCACAAGAATGCTGGAGCTCTCGGTGGAACCTGTCCACTAGGGAGCGCGTCCTCCGGCTGGCGGATGGTGGATCCCTCTTAGGAGGGGTGGTCTGAATATATCGAATAAAGACCCATGGACCAACAGGTACCCAGTGCTGGTGGGTATAGCCCGGCCACCCTTTCTCCTGAAGGGACACAAATATTCAGGAGACCAGTTATCCCGAGGATACGGGGCCTCCATCGCTGGGCTAATAACCCGCATGGTAGCACAAAACCAGCGTCGAATGTGGACAGATCTCACGGAAATGAGGTGGCTTAGTAGGGACCGAGAGGCATGGCTGCATTGGATAGAGGCTCCTCGACGCTAGTAATGGCACGAAGATGAAGACAAAGAAAAAGAAGAAGGAATGCTGGAGAGGATGGAATGACTAATTGATGACCTCTTGGAAATGAATTTCAGTTGAATATCATCCCCAGCTTCAGGTTATTCCAACGAGATGACATTGGATTTAGATATTTCTGGCGCAACTAGGCGTTTAGAAACAAAACAAATTCCTGAATGTTGTGCCTCTGTGGCAATTATGAATTCACTGTCGCCACATTTTGGTCATTAGAAACAGATATTTCTAAAAATAAAGAAGATAGGGTCACAAAAAAATAAAATTCTGTATGTTGGCCACAACAATTCAAATTTTTTTGATAATTCAAACTTATTGATAACTATAAGTCTCGGTAATTCGAAGTTTTCTAGTAGTCCCTTGGAGAGTCGACTATCGAGAGTCTACGAAATTATTTGCCTGATGGCAAATACAATAAAATATATAATATCATGTATAAACCGCATCCCTAACCAACTCTTTCTCAAATAAATAATATAATTCTTCAAATACAGTAAGTTACAAAATTTAATTCTAAAAATAACAGAACAAACTGTAAAAATGTACTTACTATGTTGATTGATCAACATTCTTATACTTATTCGTGACATGTAAAATCTGTCAAGAAAGTATTGAATGCTGTGCTCAGTCTGAACATCGATGTCATGACTTTCTTTTAATTCTATCACTCCTTGTGCCATTGTTGGGATAACATCAGCATGCCTGTTTCGAATTTTGATCAAGGCCTCACAAAACCTGATAGAAAAAAAACAAACAAATAACTATTTTATATCAGTAAATTTACCGATTTCCATATAAAATATACAAGTTGTTCAATCATGACTTATAGTAAGTAAACTTGTGTCAAAAGAAACCTGAAAATTTTTCATCCTTTAAAAATAGCTTGTTGATGATCTGATGATTTTATGCCTTTAAGGCAAAACAAACAAACAAATAGCTTGTTGCACTAATGTGAATCCTATGAAAATATCCCAAATAAAATTTATTACCTTTGCCCTTTTTTTTTTTACTATTTCCAAGACAATATATAACATAATATTAAATAAAACAGAATTAAAAATGAGAAGTATGCAGAAAACATAAAAATTTGTTAATTATAATTAAAAAACAAACATTCAAATTAAAAGAAATAAATTGGATGAAACAAAGTATAAAAAAGTTAGAAGATAATATAAAGAAAGTGGGCATAAGGCCATCTGGTAAATAAAAAGAACTGTGTATGACAGACAAAAGTACATAAATGTTTTTCAAGTTTCATTCTTCATGAAGGTCAGCTGTTTTTATAGTAATATAAATAGTATTGGATGGTGAACATGACCTTACTAATCTTTTACCTTTTCTTAAGAAGAAAAAAAAAACATAATAGATATAATGTGGTTTAAATGTTTGGTAGATGTAAGGCTTTTGAAAATGCATGATTAATTCGAACAGTTGAACAAAAATGAAAAATTAGAAAGGTCATTTTCATCTCCCTATACAAATATGCATACATGAATGTTGTAATGTAATAAAGAAAAATAGAGGACAATCTTGATAAATTTCTTATTCAAGAAAAAAAAAGTATTCCTTTCTTTAATTTATCAGAATAAGATCAATATATGGCTATATAAAGAACATAGCTGCCAAGCAAAAAGTTCCAATCAATACCGGTAGTTTATGAAAAAATAGAAGTCTATACAGTACATTTTTTTTCTTTCTTTCTGGATTTAGTGACTTCCTATCTCTAAATATAATTACCTTTCCAAAATTTCAGGGGAATAATCCATTTTCTCGAATTCTAAAATTTCAGCAAAGGACTGTGCATACCAGTCATTTACTAGTACAACACTTGGCATTCTCAATAAGTTATCTGGAAGTAAATGAATTTCTTTCATAATATTTGCCAATCTTACCGGAAGTTCTTGCCTCAGAAAAATGTAAGATTTTTTTTCACATGCTCTCATGCCTGAAAACAAAATTTATATTTAATTTTAATTATTGTACAGAATTGAAAAACATATACTTGTAAGATTTGTTTTTACAATTCATTATCAAATATCTTCAATGCTGAGATAAATAAGTCTCTGTTATATGGAGACACATTAGTGATCTTTTAGTTCATAGCATATAAAAATCTAGCTTCTTGGGCCTTAAGAATATATGTCTAAAATAAGATTTTTTTAAAATATTGAATTCTGATTTGTTTGAGACATTGGTTAGAATATTATAACATAATAAATAAATAAAAGTTATCTTTCAGCTCATAGGAAATAAAAATCTAGCATTTTAGTCCTTAAGGATTTATGTCAAAAAATAAGATTTTTTTAAAGATGGAATTCTGATTTGAGTCATTGGTTACACCCAACAATATAACATTATATATATATATATATATATATATATATATATATATATATATATATATATATATATATGTATATATATATATATATATATATATATATCTTCCAGAGGCACCATCAAATTGCCATTTTTAACTTATACCTACTCTTAAGGCCTAATGAGCCAGAAGTAATTAATTAAATGATCTTTCTAAAGCCCTAATAACTGATTACTAATCCTTAGAATTAGTCTTCACACTTTGGACATCAGCAAGATAAATTAGACATGATTTGAGTGCTGTGTGGGCACCCTTATAAATTTAATTTAAATAATTGTTTGTCAATATAGGGGCTAAAATTTGGTCAAGAAGTGTAGTCTACGATGGACAAGAGTTTCAACTCAAACAATTCTATGTTTGAACTAGACAATATAACATGATGAAATGAACCAATTTGTAAGGTTTCCTAAAAATCTAGAGAGAACTATTCAAGCAAGAAGATGTGTCCCTATTTAAAAAAAAATTTAATATCAGCACTTCATGTCCAACAGTTGTTGAGGCTGATGCACTGTAATATTTGTCAATACTAGTGATATTTTAAATTATTTGAACATTGCTAGTATTAGAAGTGTAAAACCCCTGAAAATATCTTGACTTCTATGACTGGAAACTCACAAAATATAAGTAATTTCCAGCAGGGAGTGAAAAGAAAATCAACCCTTGTACAATACCAAATATATTTAAGAAATTATTTTTTGTGAATTTGAGAAAATTACTCCTTTTTTCTATTTAATTTTAACTTTTTGCAAATGCATTTATCCAATCTTACCTCCTGTACCTTTAAAAATGTAATTGAAGTAAACAACAAATCCACAGAAAAACAAATAAAGAAATCAAAATTTAAAAAATATTTTTTTAAAAATAATGTATATTTTAACATATTTAAAAAAAAATTCCTGAGCAGTAATTTTAATATGTAAATAAAATTAAATTTATAAAAGATGAAAAAAAATCTTTTCCCAGAGTATATTTGATACATAAAAATTACATTTTATCAGGAAAACAATAAAACAAAGAAAAATGCAATGTATAATTAACATAAATCCATTTTTAAGAAATGTAATGATAAGGTAGAAAAAACAATGACAATTAACTAATTGGAGACATAAAAATGCATTGTAAATTTTGTTGTAAAAAAAAACAAATTACATATTACCTAATTAAGGTTAAGAGAAATTAATGCTACAATAAATAAAATGACCTTGAAACTGATCAGTTTCAATTTACATAATTTATAGCTAAATTGGAACAACATTTTGAATATATTATGGATATTTTATAGTGTTAGGGTCTAGACAGCACTTGAGTGTAAACACATGTACCTGATTATGATAAACAGAGATACTGTATTTTTCTCAAGATTACACTGATAAGAATATCTGATAAATTTCTTTTTATTCACACAAAATTTCTTCTGACTTTTTTTTTTGTGAATGATATTTGTTCTATTAATAAAAAAAAAATTGACAAATTTATGTAAAAAAGACAACAAAATATACATATATATTAATCACCAAAATATTCTTAACTGGGAAGAGAAAATATAAATAATAAACTATATGTATAAGGATTAATATATTTAAATTATGAGTGCTAAGTAAACATATACGTAATATAATGTTTACTCAAACAAAATTGTGTACATAAGTGCAAAAGCTCAAAGTTCTGAAATCCTGAGTTATATTTAGATGCTTCTTCAAACATTTTCACTGATTTTATTCTTAAAATTTCAATTATTAGTCAAAGAGAAAAAGATAATACTTTACAACAGACCAATTTAATGACAGCTTAAAGCGACACTAATCATTCTCAAAACCACACTATTCTAATTACTTTAGTAAAAATAAGTTAAACGTAAACCATAATAGTAAAAGTCTTAATAGCCAAGAAAATTAACAAACAGGATTATCGATTGGAAATAAAAAAAAAAACTTCAATAGTGAATAACTCACAATATACAAAAAACCTGAATGGAGCAATTAAATTTAATTATAATAATAGAAAAACATGTTACTTAGTACATTAAAAGAGGATTAAACATTATCTAAACATAATTATTTTATTTCCATGATCAGAATTTTGCCATGATTACATTTTTCTACAACTATAATATAAAAATTTAATAGTTTATTAGAAGAAAAAGGCTAATTTCTTTTTTCAGGCAGAGTAAATAAAAAAATGAGACTTACCAAAATCGACAAAATGTTTTATTGAAAGAGGTGAAGGATTAAACTGTGCATAGAAGTCTACCATTTTTGATAGACCCGAAAAAAATCTAATAGCAGTTAGTCGCATTTTGATGTTTTTATCAACTTTATCTTGGTTCAAAATCTATCACATAAAATGGGTAAAACAGCCCAGGGAAGAAACAGCACTGATGATTCAGAAAAAGTTTAAAAAAATTATATTAAACTAACAAGGATGTGACAAACTAACAAAAAAAAGCACAAAAGGCCTTCGACCGTGATCAACACAATTCATATTGACTAGGTTCTGTCCTTCACCCTAGAAACAAGTAGAGGTAACTCCAACAAAGGTTAACCACTCACTGACAGTTCCCAAGGCAAACTGTCTCTGATAGCAATGTTATTGAACTGTTGGAACGGTTACAAGGGAACCGCCGTTGAAGCGGTTATAATAGTGTTACTTGATAGTTCTAGTTCCAAGGATTCTGTCTTTGTAACTGATTCCAATTATATTAAGTATGGTATAAAGAAGAAAATATTCAATTTAGGATTCAAAACTTTCTAATATTAATATAGCAAAAAGTTCAATATATGACAAAATATATTGGTTTTCCCTGAGAAGCTTAGATTAATTAATGATTAAATATGTAATATACAAAAAAATAAAATTATGTGTATTTTGTCAGCTATCGTATGTGATTATAAGTATATAAATCTTTTAAAAAATTTGTCCAAAACTTATTCTTTTTTAAATTAGCTATTAATTAAATATTAGGAGTATAGTTGTGCTAAAATGATGATTATATCTGTAACGATAACAATTAAATTTTTATACATTAATGAATATAGTAAAAAACTGAAACGTTTTACCAAGGAAATGACATTAATAAAATACGTGACCGTAACTTTTGAGGGAACCTTACGGGAACTGGAACTGTTGAAGCTAATAAAGATTTTAACCGTTCCATTACATCCCTACTCCCAGATTCCGACCGCAAGTGCTGCTTTTGTGGTCTTAGAGGAAACTATTATTATTGTTTATTCTTTTAAATTTTAAATATAAACTAACAACATTTATTTAAACATTTACGTAGTTGGGCATGACGTTTGCAGAATAATACAATATTATTCCAAAGAATCAGACATGGTAAGAATGACTCGAGGTGAAAACCATATTTTTTTGGACTTCTTTGCTAATCCTTCAGTATCTCTATTCCATCTAATAGTTTCTTGCTATTAGTTAGCTAACGCCAAGTTAGCTTTGCAAATGGTATTTACTGGTAATTATTATTAATTTTCCCATATTAACACTGTCCTAAATTTTAATGGAACAAATAGAATTGGAACATTCTACTTTTTAAACATAATATTCATCAAAATTTACTGAATATGAAAACACAAATAATTATAGAATGATGATAAATCGCGGAGAATGATATGTAATAAAATGAATAGAGGATTATTGGTAATAGTTAGAGAAGTAAGCTTAGTAACTATAAAGTTTGTGTGAATGGAATTAATGATTGAAGGATTAAGTTCCTATTTCGGAGTAAACATATTACAAATCCAGCATTAAGGTCTTTGAGGATAATGTTATTAGTAACATTATTATGAGATTGAATATTTTGAGTAAAATTACAAGGATTGGATTCGTGAGGAATCTTTTTTATGTTACTCAAAAACATGATTATATATTTCACAATAAGCCCTGTAATAATATAGATTAGCTATTATGGGCATTGAAAGAGGCATTTACTTCTTTTGAAACAGCTACCAGGAAATTATGCCTCTATTATAAAGTAAATAAGCAAAAAACTAAATATATGCTAGCCGACGGTGGTGGAGACCATGTCGCATTCCTGTATAATGATCCCGAAACGTTTCAGAGAGTGGAGACTTTTGTGTACATGGAATCCGAAGTGAACTCAGGGAACGATGTATCTGAGGATGTCAGCAGACGGATCAATGCTGCCGATATATGCTTACATAGCCTGTCCAAGCTTTTCAAGAGCTTTTTTTTTATAACAGAGAAAAAAATCGGCTGGTCCGTCCAAAGAAAGGATGATACTGAGCTGTTCTCAAATGCTTGGTTCCGTTTTGTTTTTCTCGTTGTTTGAATTCCTGAGATGTAACTTGTCCACCATTGTCACTGACTAGGATTGTAATCAAACCGAATCTGGCCAAAGATCCCTTAATTCGTTGACTCTGCCCTACCTCAATATAGATTTCATTACCACTTTTAATATAGATAATACGTCTACAACAATGATGAAATCGTTTAGAATACATGTTAGAGTTGAGATGCTTCATAAATGATTCTTTCCAAGTCTGGATATTTGTGTAGCCCATTTCACCAATGATGTCTTCTAAATATTTTATTTTTACGATTTATCGAAAAATTTACGGTTTTGCCTAGTATTGGACATTAGTGACCAGTAAAAAATTGGCTTTAAACGGAAACAAAGTTTCCTTGTAGATGTACCTTTATGTCACCATAGCAACACACTGTCCAATCCTGAAAAGGCTCAATTTATTGCCTTTTACCCAGTAATAGGAGCCACTTTTAAGCTGAATGAATCTGTTGACTTTACACTTCATGATTTGACACACTTAAAGTGTGTCTAATAATGTGAAATCTTGAACGTTTCTCCTCCAAAATTACTTACACATAGACTTGACATACTGTGTAAGTGGACTTGACATCGCTGCAAGTGGTGTGTAATGAAGGATTATGTTAAAGGTAATAAGAATATTTTTCTAATACAAGGACAGGGTATGCCTGATTACGCATTATTGCGGTATCAATGCGTATCCTTTAAAATATTAAACTATAAGTGCTTCAGATCGCGATTTACGACTTCCGTCAACTTCCTTATGTTCTTCTTCTCTCAAAATCGGGTCTTTATTAGTTTTAATTACATCGATCCTTTCGGATACCCCTCGCTCAAATGAGATAAACAGTATTTTTCAGTTGAGGCCTTCTTCCAAACATTTCTATCACCCTGGTATCGGAATTTTCAGAATTAAATCTACAATATCATGAGATCTTGTGACCGTCCATCAAGGTAGAGCAGTGGTCTCCAAACTATGTCCTACAAGCACCTCCAATTCTTCTGCTAAAATTTCTTTGGTTACAGGATAACATTTTACAAACTATTTAAAAAAAATTGAAATTTTATAAATCACTGTTATTATTATTATATAATTTTTGCAGGGCTTGTTTCTCTCAGAAAACTCATTTTATAGTTTGAAGCGTCATTTATTGAATAAGCTCATTTTTTTTTTCATAATAAGCCTTGGCCTGCAGGACTTGAGGATGATCTGAAGGTGGAGAGTGGACATAAAAGTTTGGAGGTAGAGCAACACTTGTGAAGTAGTGCCCAGTTTAGAACTAATGGCTTTACCAAATTTAGTATAAATTCCCAATTAGTAGACAACCTGAAGATCAATAGCATATCTATGATAAAGATCATCACTGTCAAGTTTTATACTTTTATCTGTAAAAGTATGACCAATGTAGTCCGTAACTGGGGCTTCGAATTCCCTAACACATCATCAACTGAGACATTAGTCATACATTGAAAATGTAGGTCCTATAGAGGAATATAATATGATGGAACGAAAAACTCGTCTAAATGAGAACCCTCCGTTTTTTTTCGATTCAGCCAAAAGAATGAGCATATGTTGACATAAGCATTCATATAGTTTAATTACAGGCGTTTTTCATTGGATAACGACAGATAAGCAATATCGATATCTATGATTATGACTGATAATAAAACTTAATGACCAAGCTAATTTTATTTTTGATTCTTTAGCAAAAATGTAACACGATTATTATAATAGTTGATTACGATTATGCCCATCTATGGGGTCAACAAGAAATGAATTTATATATTTAATGTAGGTTAAATTGGTTTGAGGCATTACTTATAACTTCTTTCAAAATGGCATCATGGTTCATTTTTTGTATTATTGAGAAATGTCGACACAATCATATTCATAATATTGTAAAAAAAAAAAAAAAAAGGAGTAATTTAGAAGCTCAACAGAGTTGAGAGCAAATTGTTCTAAACAGGATATTAGAGGAGCTCGGTTGGTAGAACTTGCAGTTTGGTAACATCCATTTGCTTTGAGACACTTATCATTCCATGATTATCATTTGTAAGCTCGGTGCGCTACTTTCTATTTTATTTCTCAAGTTTAACATCAATGAAGTGAAAAAACAAATATATATATAGGAAAAATAAATAAAAACAACAGTTTTTTTTTATATGAAAACATTAATTGTGTATGTATAAAAGATTACATATAAATGACAGTGACATAAGGATTTACAATGTTATAAGCTGGAATTGTATAAAAAATAGTGCCTTACAACTTCCGCATCATAAAAATGGAATCTGTAATGACACTTATAAATAGGCCCTAATTGATAAAATTATGGAACATTTTAAGTTTTAATTATATATATATACGTTTATATACATTATTAGGCACGCATATCAAAGGACATGTAAAATACACATCGCTCTACCCCACCAAACTTTAACACAATACTAACAAAATAATAATAATACACATCATAGGAATAAAATAAGGCCATTCTTCGGAGGATTAAAACATGCTTAACATATCCACTGTTTGTCTAAATCACAAAATATTTGTACACGATTTAAGTCATTCAATGAGATTGTCAGAGCAATGATCTGAAGTATAACATAAATTTTTATCAAGATATCAAGGTTTATTCTGGATATAAGGAAAGAATCCAGAACCTTTTGCTGATCTTTTGTTGATAGATGTAGAAACAACAAAACACAAATAAATAATGTGAACAAATTAAAAGTAGCCAAGGTATAGCTTACCATGGCACAAGTCAATAGAACTAAAAAGAAATTGAAAATAAATACTATCAAAATGACATCCATTAAGATGGCAATATTTTATTTTTATTTTTATTTTGCATTTGCATAACAAAAGCAATTAATTCTTAACTTAAAAAAAGTAAAAAAAATAAATAATAGTTTTAACATAATCAATTTCACTAAAACAAAGTATAAATTATATAAACATGTTTTTGTAATGAGTACCTTAATTATTCGATAAGTAATTAAATATTTTTCTGTTCAGAATTTTTTATCCTGATTTATTTCTGAACGATGCATTATTTAAACTTTAAGTTTTTTAGAATTTAATACTTTAATTGGATATGTAAATAGCCTAAGCAATTACTTTTCATTTAGTTAAAAATGTTTTTTTCAAATTATTGAACAATAATCGCAAAATATATATACATATATAAATATAATGTTTTAATATTGTACTAGTTTTTAAATGCAGAATGGATGTTATACATTCGATAAATTTCATGGCGCTGGAATGTTTTGAGCCAATTCATTTTAAGCATTTACGACATCATTAATAAATACATTAAAATAATTTTGGGAATGATCATGTAATGCTGAAATTAACACATTAAAAATAATTGGGTCTATTTTACTTAAGTATCGACAGTTAATTTTTTGTCACTTAATTAGAACAGAACTGTTATAGATTAACCAAATACATATGTAGCAACACTACTATCTCCAGCCTAATTAATAACTGCGTCAGTGATAATTTTTATCACCATGTGATATAAAAATGAGAGGTTACAGAGTAGATGGTATAGAGTTATGAATTGAATGATTGCACCACTTGTAACATTACTCGTAAATCAAAATATTGTTAACATAACATAAGAGAACACTCTCATTTGTAAGGCCGAGCTCTAACATATGTAAGTGTAACTAAGAATTCTTGTGAAATCATATCAATATTATTAAAATAAATATATTTATCAAGTGAATTTGCATTACCTATTCAAATCATCATAATAAACAGGTAATACACACAATTTCATAAAATATTATGATTGTATTAATGAGGTTGTAACCAAAATCATAAAAGTATTGTTTTACTGAGAACAAAAAATTAACTTAAAATTCAATAATATTCTTTTGTTACAAAGAAGTATGCTTACCCACATCTTTATGAGTTTGTTTGGAGAAAAAAATTTAAAGGTTTTGATTTATTTAATGAAATACCTCAGGCAAAAGTTTCCAATGAGAAACTTTTTGTCCCTTGAAGATTAATATTCTTAAATATTTAAAAAATGACTAGCGATACTTAAGTAAAAAAGACCCAAATAATTCAGTAACTTATATTATTAACTTTTAACATATTATAAAGCATTATAGTCATTGTTGAATATTAAATTGAGCAGAATGACTTTAATCTATTCCTACTAGTTTAAAATTAGGACAATAGTAATAGTAGACCATGTGAATTTCATTTTAAAAATGAAATACTATTATATTCCTCAAAATAATTTTTACAATAGAACACTTTGAGAAACAACATAAGATGGAATTCAATAATTCTGAACTAATCCTGATGTTATTGTGAGAAGAATTAATTTTAACACTTTTTCGAATTTTATTAAAAAAAAATTCACATGTTCACAATTATTGTCAGCAATCTTAAAGAAAAATACTATTATAACCTAAGTACCTTAATCTATTATATCATGCATATTTAATAAAAGAACAATAAATAATTTGAAATAATGGCACACTTAAAAGAAATAAAAAAACATTTACATCATTTTGAGATCTACACATAAATAAATAATCAATAAAAAAATAAACAATAAGGAACTGTACATTTATTTTTACTTTTTAGTTAGTTTTATAAAAAAATCAATAGCAAATTATAAAAAGGACAGAGAGACGATTTTTAAATTTTTTATAATACTGTTCAAATATAGCACTGATAATCAGTCTCAGTCTCTTTTGAGGGCTGAAAATGAGAAAATTAATCTCACCAACATTTTTATGGAATATAAAACGTTTTGACTAACATAAAAAATTAGCCATTATGGAATAAAAAATATCTGCACTAAACACAATTTACGTAGTGCACAATATGCAGGATAGAAAAGATAAACTAAGTCAAATAAACATTAATATGGTAAAAAAAACAATTCGGAAACATTTTTTAAAAAATATATAAATAAATAAAAAACAATTAAAATGTCAATCGATGTAGGTTGGAATTAGTATTTTATAAAACCCATACCCCATCTATTTATAAAATAAAGTCTTAGTTTCGCAAACTTAACCAGAATAGGTTCATTAAAGACTAGCATTGGAACTGAGATGCCGTGATGGCGTTTAGGTCTTTCATCAGGCCTTCGAGGTTCGCCATCTCTTGATTTAGTTCTTCGGTGCTATAAGACGCTTGAATCTTAGGCAGCTCTTGCTCTTGGCGCTGCCTAGGAAGTGGAGACGTTGTAGAATAACTACTGCCCTTTTTATAAGGACTCGAACCTTGAGGACGAACAGTGACGACGTGCCTCTGCTGGGGAGTTGTGGGGGCAGAAGCGGGAGGTGCAGGTACGCTGAAGCTCTTCAACGGGTGGCTTCCACCTCTTTTACCGTCGCCCGATGAGGTACTTGCTCCTGTACCGCTGCTAGTTGCACCACCACTGAAAAAATATTTGCACATTGATATTAGAAAAAAACACCCCCCCAAAAAAAATGTGAATAGAAAACACTACTAAGTTTTGAGGCTAAGGGGATAAATGATAAGGTTAAAGTTTTCAGTAAAAATAATTCCAAAATTCAAATTATTAACATTATTTAATCGACTGAAATTTCAGCAAAATATAAAGTAAATAAATCTTCCTTACATGAAGAAGGGTTAGGTAGTATTGGCAACCTTGACTCCAAGGCCATGTTTACAGTAATTTATTAAACAGATGATTACCACCAAGAATTTAGATTATTAGATTAAACAGAGCATTTAGTTTTTCCTTCCGCATTACAGACTTGTTTGTAAACACTATATTGTTAATGATTATAATTGTGAATTCCTAAATTTCCCGAGAAGATTTTTAAGACAAAACTCTCGTAACGGTATCATATCGGTCAGATATGTTTTTTTAAAATTTTATTTAAGACTCCAAATTATTTCTAATTATTCACAAAAGATGAAGATGTTTATTAAATTATTTTTAGTTTTGTGAACAATCATGCATTTTCCAACATATTCTTTGACTTTCTAGTCATCAAAGTAGGATAGACTTACAATTTATATGTAGCCAAACTAAATCTGATGGTTATCTTTGCTGATATACTAATTTTTGTGTAAATTTATAAGGTTAGATCAATTATTTTACTTTTTATTTTTTTTGTTTAATTTAATGCATGTAAATATTCTACATATAAGCATCAATTAAAGGAACATTTATTTATTTTTTGATTGTTGTGTAACTATATATTTTTTTTCTGTTTAATAAATAATATACAACTCAGAATTATTTTAACTTTCATTGTTAATATGGTCATAGCTGTGTTTTAATCATATCACAGTTATATAAAAAAGGGTATTTGTGAAATATATAAATATTTAAATAAACCCTCTATTAATAAGGAGACTAAGTAATTAATTAAAATTTGTTAGGATTTAAGTTTACCTATAAATAACAGGAGTTGGTGCTGGTTCATATGGCATACTACTGCTACCGCCACCAGATGTAGATTGCACTGCATAAGGGCTCTCGGGAACTAAAAACAATAATGTCAAAACATAATATTAAAAAAATTAATTGTTTCAAGGTGAACTAAAGTATTTATTTTCTTTGAAGGTAACTTTATACAGCAGATTTCTCACAGGCTGATTATGATATTTTTGCCATAATATGATGGTGTGTTGAAGGGTTTAACAAGTAAAATTATTTTAGAAATAAGTTACCTTAACATTATTTTATTTATTGATAGCATAAACAGGACAAATAATATAATCATAAGATAAATTAATTAGAAAGAGAATATCAATCAAAAATATTAGTGCTGGTGATCATGAACATCAACTTAAAATTAGTAATCTTACCGTTAGGATCAATAGTTACGTGGGCTCTTGAAATTGAATATTGTGTTCTAGGATACAAAGGTCTGGCTTCGATGGCAGGAGTTTGTCCGCTACTACCAATCGGAGTCGCAGTGGCAACAGCTAAAATTAATTAATAAAACAAATTATTAGCTAAACATATAATTTAGAAAATATGATAATAAGAGGCATAACAACTCATTAAAAAAAAATACATTTTTTATATTATTATTGTTTTCTGTCATTTAATATATGTTATATTTCAAAATAAAATTAAGAAATATGATTTTCTGACTGACAGGAGATTAGACAGTATATGAATTCAGAAGAGATTGGCCTGTCACATGTCAGTATGGTTTTGCTCAGAGAAATCCTCAGTTGCCTTATTAGTTTCATCACATAACGATGATAAATATAGCTAAAGTGATAAGATAGAAATAAACCTTTATTTAAAAGTTATTGTTATTTCTAGAACAATTGTTTGTTTTTTTAAATTCCAAGATGGCTTTAGATAACCTCTTGATCTTTTGGTATCTTAAATAGCCTGCCCAAACTTTCTATCTCGGACTATTATTTTCTGGGTACAGGTCTGTTAAATTTCTTTTTATCTTTATTTTATTTTTCATCCCTGTCTTGTGGGTAATACGGGTGTTCGCTGGAATGGGATGTTAACAATACACAGCTAAAAAATACACTACAGCGACTTAGTTCATAACGTTTATGGTGCTGTGGACAGCTTGCTCGTATTTTTTCTTTCTAAAGTAAGGTGGCTTATAGTGAAGAGTGATTTCTGAATTCTGGTGATCTTCACAGGACCAGTTCTCATCTCCTTTCGACTCCAATGTTCTAGAGGGCTGAACCCAACACCATTTTCCAACCATAAAGGAAAACTTTTTTCAATGAATAAGTGAATTTCCGTGGTTGTCATTATGGTGGCTTAATCAATCAAATGTAGTGTAGGTCATGATCATATACTTAACAGTCTCCAGAACACCACGATCGGGGCATTGGGGATTTATGTTCTGGTCAAAGCTATATAGCCATGCCTGGTTCGAGTAAAAATGTTTGTGCAACAGAAAAAAAAAAAACCAAAAGAATAAAAATATAAACAAACAAAAACACTTATTCAATATAAAGTATTTCTGACATTAAACTTATGCTGTAAAACGGTCCCTAATCCTTCAAATTGGATTCAAATTTAGACTAGGAACTGCCAAAGCCATACCAAGCACTTAATCCTAACCTTATTGAAGTAGTCGTTGAGTACCTTCTAGGGGACCTTATACTGAATTAGAAAAAATCTCTCACTAATGTGGGAGCACATCTTCTAAGTATAATTGCGAAGTTAAAAATCTTTATCACCCAATAATCAATTCAGTTACAGTCTATTTCTCTGAAATGATGAAAACCTTTTCTTATCATCAACTGATTTACATTTCGTATCCTAACAAATTTAATGTTCTGACTCTGGAACATCAAACCTGCTCAAATATCTGACTAGCGCCATTAAAAAAAAAAAAAAAAAAAAAATTAAATATTCAAGATTAAGAAAAACAAAACCAATAAAGGAGAAATTATAACCGAAAATGAATAATATGTGAAACAGAATGTAAGGGTTATTATATTATATAATAACAAGAGGGTTCACAATCAGTATAAAAATAAACGCAACAAGTAAAGAAGGCATTATTTTTATAGCTTGTTTTGGCTAAAATAAAAATTTAATAAAACAGATTTGATTATAAAATAAATAAATTAAATAATACATTGATCTTATTTATGCAGGAATGTACAAAATATTTACTTTTTTAAGAGCACTATTAATTACAACTTCAGTTTCATTATATCATGACATTTCTTATCAAGAATTTGTTTTCAAGAGTGGCCTTCAAACAGGAATTTGAGATAGGCACAGTTCTGAATGACCTGTTGACACATTTAGATTAACCCTCAATCTATTAAGTAATTAAAGATATTTAACAAAAAATGTTTATCAGTAATTATTTGTTTAAAACTTTAGCTAAACAAAAAAAAATCTAATAAAAGGAAAAATCAATTAGTCATCATTGCCAAATAGAAGTTGTGGTTTCAATTTAAATTTTAACTTTTATTTGTTTATTATTTAAATTAAACTTATTGAATAACATCTGGCATTGGTTTAGCAAAGTTTTAAGATTTAGTTCCAGCTTCAATCATTCAATTTTATATCACTTGGAGATCTCCTTTAGATAATGAATAAAATATTTATTTATATAGTTTTATTTGGGTGCCAGTTGCAATTGCTAAGGTTAGAGGCACCTTATTCAATTACATTTCCAATAAATATATGTCTGCGAAAAGATTATGTTGTTTCTGATGAGATTGTGTAGTTAAGATATGTCTATGAACAATCCCTTGTTACAACTGAATAGGTTAATTCTAATGTGCATGGTAAGTGTGTTGTTTAAATATGTCTGTAGTAATTGTGTTTTTTTAGAAATAGGAACAATTTTTAGTAAGTTTTCAGGTTGTAGTGCTTGTAGATATACCCGGAGATGATACAAGGTCCCTAATTTATCCAAGGTCGGACAATGTACTAAAATATGTTCTGTGGTCAAAACTATATTGCAGCTGCGACATCAGACCAATGGCCCAATATTTTTGCAGGCCATCTTTTTTTTATCAATTTTGTAATCAAATTATCTTACAATTCAAGTCGAAAGAAAATGGGTGTTTATGAGTTTTTAGTACCTACTTAAATAAACAATCAACACTCAAAATGTAAACCTAAAAACCTCTTATCAACTGATATTCCAAAACGAAATGCCTGATGGTAATGCCAAGTTTTAGGGGTCATCGTGGACTGAATTGTGACTTTGAAGCTAAATCTAAAAAAATTTAATCCAGTAGTCATGAAAGAAAGATATGTTAGAGGAATGAAACTGTTATCTTTTTTTATTCTATGAATCTTGAAACAGAATATCTTTAATATTTAGGGAGATGTTAAAATTTAACTTAAAAAAAAAAAAAAATTTTTTAAATTATTTTTTACCCACAATTATTTTGTTTATTGTCTATTACAAAGGTTTTTTGTTGAAAATAATTAAAAACTCTGATGGTAGGGCCTATCAGACAGCAAGCAACTATACATCAACGAATTTAGAATTAAATCCCTAAATTAGAATACTAAAAATTATTTAGAAATTTATTAATAGTTTAAATTTAAATATGGATTTTCACTCTAAGGCTAGAACAGGTCGATGAACTGTTGATAACCTGACCTAGTAAGACAATCGCAAACAACAAAAGAATACAAATGAATGCTAAAAAAAATGGAATCAAACAAATAAAAATTCTTCTAATTCCACAATGAACAATAAGAATAGTATTTTAGATGATATTTTTATTATTTATAATGTATGTACAATTAATACTTATATCTGGGAGAGAACTCTGATTGATGAAAAATAAGTAAATAACAAAATAAAGTGTGCAAAAATGTTTAACAGAAAGAAAATAAATATTAAAAAAATAAATAAAAATTATGAAAAATTAAAAATATAATAAAATAAAACAAAAACAAAAAGACTTACGTTCCCTAAAGTGAGAGTTATCTATAGGCAAAGTGATAGGTTTATGTTTATATGTTCGCCGCAACGTTGATGTCCTCTCATCGGGGCCTAGAAGGGGCTCACATTGAGAACCTACACGACAAAGTCGCACTGTTATATCTTCAATTAAAAAAATATCACGCTTCACACAAAACAAAATAACAATAAAAAAAAAAAATAAAAAGTAAAAAAATAAATAAAAAATGATGATACTCTTCACAATGACAGATTTACTAACACAAGACTTTCTTTTTATTAAAACAAAATAAAACAAACTTAATTACACTCGTACAAGCTGATGGGATGCATTAGATAAAAGACGACGGAATACTCACTCATGTACTGCGGATGGTGTTTCTCCGCTAATGAAGATGACTCGCGAGGAAGGCTGCCTCCACTGCCAGCACCTCCGCCACCACTTTCTTGATTTTTTTCAACATTTTTCAGTTCCATCTGATCATGATGAATCCAAAGATCTGGAGGTTTTATTCCACTAGTTCCGGCTTTATAGCTGTTAAAAGGAAAATATTAGTTAAACAAATTAATTAGACATATTACTATTTTTTTATTTTATTTATATGATATTTACAACTGTATAAAAAAAAAAAAAAAAATACATCTAGTAAATTCGCACAAGGATATAATGACATGAAACGCATGTTGAGAAACTAACCATTGGTAGCACTCTAATCATATGTCTATATTAGGATATCACGTGGCCATCTTCGGAGGGTTATCAGGAATTGAAGAGGAAGCAAGGTTAGAAACAAGAGTGTGGGATGGTTATGAAGTTCATTATGGAAGGACAGATATCTGGATTGGGCCAAATCTGATATATAAGGAACATTAAGGTCATTGTGGATGATTTTATTTGTAACAAAGTAAGGAGCATTGAGGATTTTACGAAGGATTTTGGATTGTAAGGATTGGACAAGAGAGGAATTTGAAAGGTTTGGTGGAGCCCCATAGACCAACTCCGTAAGTCCAAATAGGCCTTATTATAGTCATGTAAATGAATCTTGTGTAATTAATTGGAAGGTTAGAGCATTTGTCTAGTAAATATTGAAGTAATCGGAAACGTCGAGCTGTTTCTTGCCGTTTCAGTCTGGTATAAGGATTCCAAGTTAGACGTTTGTCCAGGTGGAGTCCTAGGTAACGGATTTGTTCAACAGGAATAAGTGAGGTGTTGTTAAAGGATACTGAAGGACAGGAAGTCATTGGTTCACAACGAGACATATTATTAAAATTGAAAAACAAACAAACAGATGTAGTCTAGTTTTTTTTTTTTTTCCACGAACCGGCCAGCAAGGACCAAGGGAATATCATTTCCATTTCCTCTTCATTCCCTCAGCCTTCCTCTTACTCCAATACTCTCTCATCCTCCTGGACTGTTCCTCTCGCTCTTCCTTAGTCCATTTCCTCCCTCGTCTCTCCCTCCCACCTACAAGAACACCAACCCCTTTCAGTTTTTTGCTAAAAAGCTCTCTATCCAAGCAATCTTTATCCGTGATTTTTAGCCAGTCTAGTTCCTCTTCATATGTAGTCTAGTTTATTTATGTAGTCTAGTTTTATTAATATAGCCTTCTAAACAGATCTTCTAATGTAAGTATTTAATTTCTTTTCCATAACAGTTTATATTTCCACACATTATAATTTTAAACTTTTGTTTTTTTCTCTCTCATAAATGACCTGAAATCTTTAAGGTTTGTAAAGGTCATTAAAACCAGGCCAACAATATTGACAAAACAAGAGGCAGTTTCATTTCAAGTTTTTCTTTTAAGGTCTTCTGAGAAATTAGAAGCAAAACTCTGCTTTAGATGGGCAGAGTCTACTTATTACTATTTACGTACTTAGAAAAGTGAAAGGACTACATATCAGTCAATAGCAATCTCTATTTGTAAATTCTCCAACTTGGAGAATGAAACTGCTTATATCATCTGTTGGGGTAATGGACTGAATTGTGTGCTCTAAGATTTCTGAGCTAGTTAATTCATTATTAACCATATAGAAATTTGCTAATATTTAATAAATGTTCATGAACACCACAGAGGGCTTAAGACTTATAAATTTTTATTCTATACAGTCATATGCCTCTCCTTAGTCTTTTTGCTGTTGTGAGTGATGAGCTTTACGTCTACTACAGTGCTAAGTAAGCCAACTACCTGCCAACCTGCTACATACTTTTTACCTGATTTCCACCCTTCATTACCGGCTCTTACTACTATATTTTATTGTTTCTATTCTCCTTTTTGATTTGGGCTGAGGATCGACACTGGCGTAGTTGAAACTTTTTTTTTTTTTTACGTTCAAATGTTTATTTATTATTTAATTTTGTATGATATTCTTCGAAACATTTTCCATTACAACAAAAAACACCTTACAATTGAGACATTCTATCTTTGCTCTAAATATTTTTTTATATTATATTTCTTTCGGCAGAAGTTATGAATTCAGCTGCTTCTGCAGTAGTAAATCACTGTTTCTCCATTTTAAAGAAAATAATGCAGAAAAAAAAGAATAACTTTTAACTAAAAAATAATTAATTCTATACGACCACGTAACTAAGCTAGTCTTATTTGATCTAATTTCTACCTATAATTCATAAACTCAGACCAGTTGAACAGATGTTGTTTCACACAGAACACAAAAACAAGAATGAAAATGATTGAGAAATCCAGAGAACGGACGAGTCACCAAAAATGAATTCTATAAAAAAAGCTCCAAAATAAAAACCCAAGCCGTCTGTAGGTTTTAGTTAGAAGCTTTATTTTACTAGGAAACCAGTACAAGGTAGACATGGTCCCAGCGGCTATACTCGACATTAGCAAATGGAAGGAAAAGCAGTAAAATGTCTATAGCCGACATTAGCAACAGGGGCACGTTCAGTTGTGGCGGTTATAGCCGTCGTTAGCAGTTAAAGGGTTAAATGAGAATAAATTTACCTTGAACAAATAAATGGTACCTGCTACCTAACTGATTAATATTCTATAACATGGTCTAAGGTCCAAGTAGACAACTCAACTGAATCAATATTTAAAAAAATGAAAATAATAAATATTGCATACCCTTTTTTGTTCCGCTCTGGGGTGTTTTGTCTGGCTGGTTTTCGGCAGCAGAAGAAAATAATACCAACCGCCAACAGGGTGATGACAACAGACGAACATATTATAACTATGTACATAATTCCACTACTGCCCAGTTTTCCTAAACAGAAACATTAAAAATAAAAATGAATAACTATAATAAAATGATGACAGATATTTTGTTAATTGATATTATAATATGTTTTGAAAATGACCTTTATAAAATAAATCTTAGTGGCTAATAAATTTCATGGGAGGAATGAATAAGATTTCCCTCAGAATGAGACCCCGACTGCGATTTAATCTAGTGTAGGGTACATTTATTGTTATAACTTAAATGAATTATAACAGTATTTTTACCCAATACTATGAATAAAAAATATCAACTTTGAAGGGTGATACTTCTTTAGGAAATTTCAAAACTACTTATCCTGTTGACACAAGTAACAACAAACAAAAACACCTTATTCTAGCTAAATGATCATCTATACTGAAAGTGTATGCTTATCAATCAAGAACTGAAACTTTTATGAAGGCCATCAAAACTTATGAATACTCAATGACAAGAGTGTATATCCTGCCTGCGGAGCTTTTCATTTATGGATGAGGGGAAAAATATTGCTAAAAATAATTAATATAAATGGCACTTTAGCTGACTGATAATATAATTGGAATCACATCCCACAGATACCCAGTACTCACTAGCGTAGTTAAAATTAAAATAAACCAGATTCTTCTGGTATAATAAAGATATAACCATATAATACTAACCTTTGAGTCCTTTTTCTAAAGAACCAGAGTGTGCTACAACAAACAATGAAGAAAAAATTAATTGAAATCTGAATAATGTATATATTGTAGAGATTTTACTTATATTTACTGGAATTTAAGGAATTGTAATTTCAATAACATTAAATTTAATATGATTAAGAGTTTAATGTATTTATAAAGTAATAAAAATAGCAAAGGTACAACAATCTAGAAGGCATTGAATTGAGAACAGTCTCTACTTGACGAGCACTATTACATGAGGGCAGATGTTTCATAGATGAATTAGTTTGAAGTTAGTATATGCTTAGTTCATAATCAATGTTCTTTCAGTTCTTTATGACAAGGTTATTTGCCAAGAAAGTTACTAGTGAGTCACAAGGCCTCCAGTAAGCAATGTAATTTGAAATAATAATTTAAATTATAAATTATTAACAAACATAGTCATCACAAAGAAATAATTATAATTATCTTTTATTACTCACCAGATAAAGTTGTTATGGAGACAACCGGGGTACTGGAATAGCCCATACTATTTTTAGCTTTGACATGAAAGTAATAAGTAGTGGAGTGAGCGAGTGACTTGATCGTAGTAGACAACTTGTCGCCTTTCACCATCTCCATAATCCAACTGTTTTCCTTGTTCAAAAGGTCGGTAGTGTAAGAAACTATATAGCCTAAATTTAAACAAAAAAAACATTTAAATATAATTTGATTAAGACATGGACATTATTCTTGAAATAATTTATTTCTGAAATAAATCATATGATTATTTCATGAATGAATTATTTCCGAAATAATGGTTATTTCTGAAATAATATTTTAAACTGCCAATGGAATAATCTCGATGAAATAAGTACTACATTTATTTTGATATAATTATTTCAACATTTTAACATTCATTGAAATAATGTAATTTATTTTGAAATCAATCATTATAGAAATAATTATTTCTGAAATAACATAAAAAATCCACCAATAAAAAAAGTATATAATATTTAAATATATAGTATAACACTAACCGATCAACCTCTACTCCACCGGTGAGTGTGACCGGTGCATATTTCGTGCAATACGTACAGGTATCAAGCTCAAAAAGACTAAGTGTGCCGGACGACCTTAATATTATATTTACTCCTGTTTGAGACACTTTAACCTTTGTAGAGGTTAGAGAATTTTCAAGATTTCATTTCTTCTTATGCCCCTTTTCGTTTTTTACAATTAGACAGACTTGATACATTATATTTACTGCTATTTGAGACACTTTAATTCTTGTAGAGGCTGAGTGTGCCCCACAACTGTTTAGTTTTTTCTTATGCCACCTTTAGGTTTTTTTTTGTAGTTAGATAGATTTGAGCCTTGAGAAGAGTAGGAAAACAAAAAAAAAAAAAAAAAAAATCCGGTGGAAAGATTATCTCAGCTCCTACAAAGATTAAATGGTCTCAAACAGCAGAAAATATAATGCCTTAAGTCCATCTAATTGTATAAAAAACGAAAAGGGGCATAAGAGAAATAGAATTGTTGACGGGCACACTCAGCCTCTACAAAGATGAAAGTGTTTCAAACAGCAGTATCCTGTTAGTATAATATAACATAATATAGTATAATATAATCCTGGCAGTATAATATAATGCCTCAAATTCATCTAATTGTAGACAACGAAAATAGGCATAAGAGAAATGGAATTGCTGACGGGCATACTCAGCCTCTATAGAGACTAAAGTGTTTTAAACAGCAGTAAATATAATACCTCAAGTTCGTCTAATTGCAGGAAATAAAAAGGAAACATAAGAAAACTTAAAATATATTGCTGTAAAAAAATATATAAATAAATTTTAAAAAATAACTTAAAGGGCCCATGGTAATTAAGTTAATTTTAAAATAATTTCATATGACTCATGAGCAGCATTCAGTAATCCCTCAAAACTATTATTTAAAAAAAAAAAAAATATATATATCCTTTAACAAGTATTAAATTACAAGTATAATATGCATGCACATAATAAACACGCATATTTACTCAAGTATATATATTTTTGCCACCACTTTCTCACCTTTTATTACAATATGGGGTTTGGACCAGGGGGAAAAGGCAGAGGATTAATGCCACAGTTAAAAGCTTCTTATTTTTTTTTTTTTTTTCTTAGATTCTTATTTAAATTTATCAGATTGACGGACAACACATGTTTGACACATAGGTTAGCTAGCTTGGCAACCTCACCCCCACTACTCAAGTATATTGTCATTTGTTAAATGTATGAAACAAAAATCCATTGAAAAAAAAAAAAATTGTTTTTAATGTTGTTAATGAAAGAAACATTTTCATTCAGCCAGAACAAATCTTATTTTAATGAGAAATAGAATATATATGAGGTTTTACCGATTATTTTGTTTTATGAAGAATTTTTATAAAAATTATTCAAAGGTAGAACCACATCCACATCTAATCATATTATTATATCAAATGGGGTTATTCAAAAATGTTACAATATTTATCACAACTAAGGCGCTCTTTCTTCATACAAATTAAATTTTTAAAAAGGGACATATTTGGGGTCTAAAATCACATGCATAAAATATATCTACTACAAGAGTTTAAATTAATACTGTACCAATTTATTATATGAGATTTATTTATTTGTATTTCTCATAATGCTCCAAGAGAGTTACTTATTCATAAAGTTATTAAATTCTAATATTTCACCATTATTTTATAAATTTAATTCTCATATACATAATGAAAAAAAAAATGGTTTCTTAAATTCGAGGGGGTCTTATGTAGTACAATATTATTTTATTTTATATTTTAAATGAAGAATATCTTAAGATGCTTTGAACTTTTATATAGTTTTATCAAAATTGAGCTCTGTTACATGTTCAATTGTTTTCTTAAAATTATCATTACTCCTATTTTACAATCTTAAAAAATTTTATTCCTTAAGTTGTACTTACTTGAAATGACACCATTAGGCAATTTAGGTGGTAACCACGACAAAGCGACACTGCCAGGTTCTTCATTAGTTACGGTCAATTCTCTCGGCGGAGATGCTGGAGCTGCCTCTTTGGTTGTATTGTTCGCCACCATACTCCAAGCACTCTCCTTTTTTCCCTATGATTAAAAAGATTATTATAAAAGAATTTTCAGAAATTTAACAAAGCAAATTTATGCTTACATAAATAATAAATTACCTTTACAACTTTGACAGTGAATTCGTAAGTAGTGAACGGTTTGAGATCTTCAATTAAATAATTAAGCGCTGTTGAATTGTGGTACCTATAGCGCACTAGAGAGCTGGGGTCGGATTGCTGCTGGTTGTAGCGAACCACATAGTATCGTTGGTCTGTAATCTCCTGATGATAGTAAAAAAAAGTTTTTGGTAAATATTAATTAGATTGAATAATAATTGGGGAGTCCATGTAAAGAATGATTTTAGCCAATTTTTTGTAATGATTAAGAATGCAGAACTATCTTGTGCAGAATGAAGTAAAATTATTCAGATAAAATGATGTTGGCCACAATAAAAAATGGAGAAGAAAATATCATTTGCCTGGTAAAATTTGTTTTAGTCTACATGTGCTAGAGAAAAAATGTTTATGATGCCCTCTGTGATATGTTTATTTGAATTAACCTTGTGTTGGTCTAGTATTGAAAGAAATTTTTCATAACCATCACATTGTGAAAATTATTTATGTAATTAAAAGTGCAACATTTAACTTCAATTTTGAAGTTATTTGAATTGGAATTTTATTTGACTAAAATCATTTTTTCCTAGGACTATATAATTGTTTCAGCCACATAAATAAAAATTTGATAAAGAAATACAGTTTTTTGTGTATCATATATATAAATACCAATTGCATACCTAAATGAAAAATTTTGATCTTTAGATTTTGAGCAAAAAGAGAAGAGTGAAAGAAGTGAAATATGAAAATATTTTATGGATATCATCCATTTATAATGAAAAATCATCATGTAACATTTTGGAAAATTAAGTTAATGATTAATTTGATGAATTTTCCCTTTGTGATATTCCAACAGTATCCACTTACAATTAGTGTGACAACTTTTGACCTATCTATGACAGACAATACAAATCTCATAATTCCATTTTAGTAAACTTTGAAATGAAAAATAACAGTTTAATAACTAATAGTCGTACAATCCATAATTGTATATAATAAATAGGAATTCTGTTATTTTAATGGTGTTAATGATTTGTTAGCTGAAAGCTTTAGTTCGGTTAAAAGTCCACTTCAGAAATTTTATAAGAGTCCAACATTGCCAGAAAATAATTTCAATTCAAAGTATAGAGGTAAGCGAAGATTGTTTTATTGTCCTTTACAATTACATTTTTACAAAAGCAATTAATTTTCCAACATAATACATTTTTGGAGACATCAAATGAATCATTGCATTTCAAAACCAGCCAAGTCTATTTTCTGATTTTTTAGTTAAAAGTTTTGTTACAGGATTATCATGAAGTTAGTGAATTTTATCCAAAAAAAATGTTACATCATAATTATTAAATTACATAATAATTATTTTGCCACAATAACTAAACTTTTAATTAAAAGATAAATAAATGAAAATTAGAAAAATGGACTTGGAGGTGAACAATTCAAATATTAGAGTGATAACACTTCATTTTAACTAACAAATTAAAATAAATTTTAACCCATTCGTCTAAAACTTATCATTTTACATAAAACTGATACCTGTCTAAGGCCTAGCATACTGTCCGTCCAGAAGAGAACAATAGTTGAGGGCGAAAGGACAGAGGTCTTCAAGCCAACAGGAGGGATCAATTGAAGAAGAGATTCTGCCTCTGAAGTTTCATCTCTAGTCCTAACGTTTTCATAAATAGGGGGACCGTTTCCCATATCATTTTGTGCTTCAATAGATATTACATAATCTGAATTAGCATCTGAAAAAAATAAATCAATTAACTCTCTGTTATAATTGTTAAAGAAAAATAATAACAGTTATCATAAGATTTATTTTAAGACCACTAATATTCTCGGGGTTGAATAAAAAGATGTACTCGAATAAAATTTTCATTTTGATAACAAAACATGACAATCTCAGTAATCTGACCTAATTGCTTTAGGTGAGTGTTCGTGGATTATATAAAAGTTTGGAAAAACTACATGAAATGCAATAGCCTTCATTTATGCAATAAGAAGTTTCAATGTTGAAAAGAGGGCCAAAGCCTCCTTAATAAAAACTTTATAACCTAACTCCAATCCATGTTATCAACAGCCTGCAGACTTTTCCATATTCCAATTTCTATCTTCAGGCTCTTGAATCCGGTCCCCTCCCCATTTTTTTAAACAAAGCATTCCACCCACACCCTTCCCTCAGTTCTTTTTGGCTACTCTGAATTACTGCAATGTTTGGACTACTCAAGTTCAGAATTAATAAGATTTATTGATTTAAGTGTAATATTTTAAAAAAATGGATCACTATACATGTTTTATTTTTTTGTTCCAGAAAGTCTTCTATTAAAACTTTTTTTTTTTCTCAGAAACTAAAACATATAGTTTGTCTTAAAAAAAATTAAACGTAACAGTATCATCAAAACTCTCTAAAACACACAAAAAAAAAAAAAAAAAAACTAAAGCGTGTATTAATGAATTTATGCAAAAATATACAGTAGGTTATATGTAGACCATTAATATAATGAAATGAAAAAATAATTTTATTGTGGGACTAAAGTCACCTTAGAATAATAACAGAGTTAAGAAAATATATACTTCAGTCTAGCATGAGGATATGAAACAGATATATATAAAAAATACTAAGAGAAGATACAGATATATACAAACAAATACAGAAAGAAAAATGAAAAGACTCTTATTATTTATCTATTGATGAGCAATTGTGTTTATATAGCCTAAAAATTCTTACAAGATGGCAGAAGTTTGAATGTGTACTAGGAGGTGGAATAGGAGTTGTTTAAAGGAATTTGTGGACATGGTTTGGCGTACAAAGATAGGTAAGGAGTTCCAAAAGGTGGTAGCATGAATGAAAAAGGATTTGCTGAAAGAAGTTGTTATATGGGAGGGAATATAAAGGTCAATAGGTTGAAATCTGGTATTAAGAGAGTGGTGGGTAGATGAGCATAGACTAAGGAATTCTAGGATGTAAGGTGGATTTTTGGTTCTGAGGACAGGGAAAAGGAAAACACCAAAATCGGGAAACAGGATAAAGCCACCTCAACTCGGTGTACAGGGAGGATAAATGGGTACACCGAGGAATCCCAAAGATGAAGCAATCCATGAGTATTTTCAGTCTTGCTTCCAGTCTTGTGAATAGCCCTCCATAAACCAAGCAACCGTAGTCGAAGTGGGAGAAAATAAGATATGCTACAAGAAACTGTCTGGTTGTTTTTGGAATAGAATCACGAAATCGTAGGAATTGTTTGAGAATAGTTATGGATTTTCAGGTGATCTGGGAAATGTGGCTACTCCAAGAGAGGTTCTGATCAAAGATTACTCCGAGGTTTTTAACCGTCAGAGAGAAATGGATGGTGTGGTTATTGAGGTTAAGTAGAGAGGAGAAATATATACTATTGTATAATGATAACAACCAAAATAGATCTGTGAGGGACAATTTTAACTTTAAAAAAAGACTTCTAATTATAAATAAAATGACAAAAATTACCTAAATTTTTAATAACAAAATATCTTTGCTTTCCATCAACTTTTTCAGTTTTTCCACCAGGAGCTCCTTTACCCCAGCTGATGGTATAATAGCGTACCAGAATGTTGGTGTCTTTAGGTGGCGACCACATAACATTAATAGAATCGGCTCCAGGTTTCACTACACATCGATTCAAAATATTTTTAAATTAATTATAAAATTATACAAATAAATAATTAGTTATAAGTTATAAGAATACATTTAAATTATTTACCTCTGATAGAGGTTGGAGCACCCGGTACTGAAGACTCGTCAAGGTTATTTTCATAAGTTTCAAACGTATACCACTCCGTAGGGGGGCCGGTACCATTTACCGTCATAGCCCACAGCCTAACTTGATAAACCTAAAATTAAAATAACCAAATGTTTCTTTAGTTTAAACGATAAAAAATATATTTTTTTTTACTTTTCAACTAATTTAACACTTAAACAAGTTACTCAATAAAATATTAATGTGATGAGGAAATTTTCCCATAAACTTTGGTAAGCTAGTTAATGGTTATTGGCAAAAAAATTTAAAGGAAAAACAGCTTAGTTGTTCCAATTTTAATTTTTTTTTCTTTTTCAAAACGTACTCAATTTTATGCACGCAAACTATATAGTTAAAATGATATCTTAAAAATATAATAAATAAATAAAAGCTTACAGTGTTCTTTTCTAGGTTCTCCAGCAGGTAATTTCTCCGATTTCCACCAGTCGTTACTGTTTCTGATTTCCCTCTTCTGTCTCTTGCTCTGTATCTCAACTTGTAGCCGGTGATGACTCCATTACATTCCTCCTTAGGAGGCCGATCCCAACGCACAATTACACTCTGCAATGAAAAATTATTCATTAAACAGTAATCCTTTCACAAATATTATTTAAAATTATTATAAAAAGAAATTTAGACTTTCTCCTTCTATTATGAATGGTTAAGGGAAAGTTAATCTAAGCTCAAATAATTAGTCAAAATCAATAAAAGAGCTAAAAAAGTATAATTTGTAGATCTAGTGAAAGATTTTTGTTGATTTCAACTTACCGTCGAGCTAATCGTTTCGAGAGTGATATTTGTAGGTGCACCAGAAGGTTGATCGGATAGTGTTCTTATAGTGAGTTCTTCTGAACTTGCTCCAGCACCGTTTTCATTATGAGCTATTACCCAAACAATATATTCGGTATATTTTTTTAATCCACTGACGGTGTAACCAGTTTCTGTTGTATCAATATGATGTTCTTCTGACGTTTCATACTGTAATTTAAAAAAAATAATATAAGTTAAAAATGACATAAAGAAAAAGGATATAAGTAATAAGAGAGAGATGCAGAATAAAACTGTACAGCTGCTCGACTAAGTTAGGTTGCTAAAGCATACTGGTCAATCTAAATCATCAATATTTAGTAAGAGAGAACAAAAAGTTATTCAATTTTTAAATTAAGAACTAATATAACAGTAACATGAAAAATTAAATAACGGATTGGAACCAGACCCACGTTATACATGAATCCATAATATAATAATATTTCATGTATAAATATTGCAACAACCTATTAACATGATGTCTAAAAGAGTCTGTCAGACAGATTCCCTTAATAGGCTTTGTGTTTATAAGAAGATTCTGGAAAAACTAAATTACCCACGAAAATTATGTCAATAATTTAAACAAAATATTTATTTTAGTCTATTTTCTTGGCAAGTACTTAAAAGTATGAAAAACTTTCAAAGCATGAAACTAGGGCTTATTTACTTATTGTTTATAATTATGCAATTCCTTAATAAAAAGTTTAAATTACAAACATCTGATTCACTTAAGAAATTTTGTTTGTAATATCATTTCATATATTAACTAAAATTAAAAAAAACAGCCCAAAACAGAATGAATTCATTATCACAATATTCATACAGTACATAATGAGAAACTAACTAGAACATATTTAATAATTTGTCAGTGTGTGGATCTGAAGATGTACCAGGTCATGAGGGTGCATAGTAAAGAAAATGAAAAAAAAAAAAAATTGTTTGAGTACCTAATTTTTTAAGATTATATAATTTACTATTTATTTAGTAACTTTACATTTTATTATTAATGTAATGGGTTATAGGAAAATTTCTTGACTTTTTCCAGTTTTCCCTGTCTGTAGACTAAAACTAAGAGTTACTCAACTACATATAATTTTAAAGAATATGCAGATTAAGAATTAGTGAGTTCATGAATCACTCAGGGTGTACATCATCAAGATTGGTACTTTAAGTAATGAGTACAAGATATAACTATAACATGAAATAATTACCTCGTAATAATAAAGTCGATAAAATTTTATAACTCCATTAGCAACAAGCGGAGGAAGCCAGGATACCGTAACGCTTGTAGTAGTAGGAATAGCAGTCAAAGAACGTGGAGGATCCGGGACACTGAGTTCTGGATTAGTCACCACGGAGAGTGGAATTGAAGCCTCTCCTAATCCAGCACGACTCAGCGCAGCTACGCGGAAGGTATAGGTGGTGTTTGGTTTGAGGCCAGCAATGTTTGCTTCCTCAAGGCGTGTTCTCGAAGTGTTTACTACTCTTTCCCTAAATAATAATTCAAAGATTAAAATTAACTAAATAAATGTATAGATAACATGAAAAGAAAACAGAATTAATGTTAATAACAAAAATTGTTACATCAAAATAGTAATTATCTATGTTTGAAATAATATATAATATCCATAACTTTTTTTTAGAGCTCACACCAATACTGGATACATTTTTTTTTATGTTTAAGAGAAAAATTGTTTATGTTTAAGAGAAAATTTATTTATTTTTATGTTTTAGGGGGAATTTATTTATTTTTTATATCATAAAGGGATTTTTATGACTTAGTACATTATTTATGTTGATGTATCAGCCTTTTAACAAAACAAATGAAAATACTCAACTGGCTTAACGGGCGCAGGAGTCTATATAGAGAATTTAAATTCAGAACTAAGCACTTCATTAGCCAAACATGCTACAGTATTTCAAGTGGAAGTGTTTGCTATGCTCTCTGCAGCTACTTCTTTGGAAGTTATCAACTGTGAAAGAACTGGCATTACTCTCTTAGCGTTACTATCTATTTGGATAGTCAGTTAGCATTTTAAGCAGACTTGATGATTAAGATGACCTCCGCATTGGCCTCCTCCAAAAGAGTGAAACTAGTGTGGGTTCCTGGTCATGAGGGAATAAAAGGCAATAAGCCTCACAAGAAATAGAGCGGAAATCCCTATTATGAGACCAGAACTTGCAATAGGAATATCATTGGGCTCAGACAAGCCAAACAGTTAATTAAAAAACCCTCCCCATTTAGAACTAAGTGGCTGCTAAAAAGGAAATCAGACTAATCATTAGGATACTAACAGGCCACTGCAGACTTAAAAGAAATCTAAAGATTTGTGGGATAGTTAACAATGAACACTGCCATTTGTGCAGAAATGCACCAAAAGTGCTTTTCACTAGATACCAGAATTTGACTGATTTGCATCGCTTAGATAAAGGCTTATGTGTTCGGAGAGTATACTAAAACAGGAAACTTCTTCTATAAAATGGCCATGCCTTTTAAATTTCATTAGAAGAATGAAAAGAATTTAGAAAGATATGGAAGTGTAATATACTATCATTGGCATTATTATCTTTGTGGTTGGCAAAAACAAACAAAAGGCCCACTTGCCAGACTTATTAGCTCCACCAGTACCAGGACCAGAAGGGGGAATTTATTTATTTTTTATGTTATAAAGGAATTTTTATGTCTTTGTACATTATTTATATTGATGTATCAGCCTTCTAACAAAACCATCTTTAATAAGCAAGCGACTTCAAAGCCTTAGAATAAGATATGATTACTTAGGCCTAGACTAGGCTCTCTAACTTTCAAGTATGGGGTTAGTTGTTTACATAAAAGCAGTCAGTAGAAGCCGTCTGTTCCAAATAATTGAAAACTAATAAATGTTAGGAAATAAATAGCGAAGCACTTTTCTCATGCATTTTTTTTATTATTTCTCATAGGACCTTTTACATATACAGTAGTGATATATTTTTTTTTTCAGCTCTGAATTTATTATGTCTTGCATTAATACATATAAATCCTTCAGTAATACTACAAATAATCACAAGGAAACTTACCGCATAGATGTTTCTTCAGAATAAAAAACAGAGTAGGATAAAATTTCGCCATGAGAAGTTAATGGCGGTTTCCAGCGAAGTGAAATGAGTCTCGGTTGAACTTGAACTGCCTCCAATTGACGAGGTGCTCCAGTCTCCGACCGTCCATTTGTCTCTACGGGAGGAATTGTCACTTCACCTTCTATTTCCCATTTGAAAATAATGGGTAAAGGACAACGGATGGGGTGGAAAATAAAAATAAATAAATAAAAAACAAAATAAAACAGCTTAAAAGAAATAAAAGCAAAAAAAATTAAAACAAAATCAATATCAAATAAAGGTGTTGATTCAGGCATAAAAAAACGAAACAAAGTAAAATAAAAATTGAAAAGAGAAAAAAGGCAGGAAAAAAATATGGTGTAGGTGTAAAAAATAAAACTAATATGAAAATCGTATGCTAAGACATGTGAACTAAAAAATTTCATGCATGTATTATTTAAGAGGGTGAGAATGATGGAAAAGCAAGTCAATTTTCCTTTTGTTCAGAAAGTAAATGTACTTAAAGGATATATATGTGCTGGGATATACCATTCAGGTATATATTATGTTGGTAAATAATATACATAAATTGTTTAAGTACATTTACAAAACATTCAATTTCTGAATAAAATGCCCAATTTACTTATATTACCCTAAAATCATTTTAATTAACTCTCTGATTTAAGTTCATGAGTATTCCATTTAGTTTTTGTCTTTTTTTTTTAACCATTTAGGTTTTCCCGTTTCTGTAGTGAGAGCGGAGGATTGATGCTAGAGTTCACCGAGATTTGAACTCGTAATCTTCGATTTGTCTGGTTGGCAGAAGGCTACGAGTATTTTGCACATGCGTTAGTTCACTCGGCATCCTAGCCCCAATTTTCATTATTTGTCAGTGCGTATACTGAGAATACAGAAATATTTCTGAATCCATCTTTAATTCTTAATTTACACAATCTATCCTGTATCACCTCAAAATCAAGAATATTTTGGAAGGAGATGGTCCGAGGTGGGGATCATAAAAAAACCCTGAAAATAGTGAAATGTTTATAACTTTACGCTAATGACTGCCACCTCGGACCATCTCCTTTCTGCATATTATAAAATGATCAACCATTTATTACTCAAAATCAAGAATAGATTTCTCAAGAGCGCTTTTCACACAACAAAGCCATTTTTAAACTGATTAATTTAATTTTTTGGACAACTATTTCTTCTCAATCCTGCCAATAATATTCAACACCATTATCAACAGTTTAGCAATGGCATTCTTAAATTTAGTAAGTTGGTCAGTAATTCCTTTTATTTTGCAGTCTCGGCATTGTAAAGAGATTCCATATGACTAATGAAATTTCAAACATTTTCCATTTTGCTTTATTCCATTAGGCACACCGTGATATTTAACCATTTCAATCGTCCATATTATCTATATTCTGACTTTTCGGAAGAACAGAGTTATTTTTTTTTTTGGGTCCTCCACTTCCTCGCCTGTAAGGCTATACGGGGTTTTCCCGGGCCAGGGAGTGATGGCGGGGATTTAAAATACTCTCGAAGCACCGGGACGCGAATTCGTGACTATTTTTATCTCGTAATCTCATGTATCAGGTTGCCAGGTAACGGCGGTGCTCTGCACACACGTTAGCCCATTCGGCTACCCCGCCCACAAGAACAGAGTTATTATGAGATGGGAGCGTTCGCCTGGAAGACCAGTGGCTGGCTTCATACCGAGAGCTCAGACATGGTAATCATTTATACCCTCCTCCCTCATAATACTTGGAAGGGAAAAATTAAATTGATACTCAAGCATTTAAGAGCACTCTAATAAATATTGCATTTGACTGGTAGAGAAAATATTCAATTAAACATTATTCATAACTTTTAATACATTACCTGGTTGTTTTATCGATAAAAGAGCAGCAGCTTGAATATTACCAGCAGGATTTGAAGCAACACATTGAAATATTCCATAATCCAAAGAAAATACACCCAGGATTCTCAAATTATTTCTGAAATTCAAAACAATCAATTAGTTAAATGAATAAATAACAAATTCCATATTTTGTTTGTGCTGTCAAGATTATAAATAAGCAAAAATAAATATATATATTATTAAGTGTCATATATCGTCTTACAGATGGTTTTGATTAACGAAAACTAAATTTCATAATTAACTGATTGTTGTAAGATATATAATATGTGATTGATGTATCTTTGAGCTAGAATTAAAAAAAATATATAATCCTTTTGTTTTAATAATTACGAATTTTAAAAAGTTGTTGGTATACAAACAATATAACTATGACACTGAATTAAAAACCTTGATTAAGAATTGAAACAGTGGAATTGAAACTGATTCACTGAATTAACTAACTGGACCATAAACTCTTTTTTTTGAATAATGAACTAACTAATTTTAGCCTAGTTAGTTGAAATTGCCAGCCGAATCTTTTCACAACATTCATTATAACCTAAAAAACATTTATAAAAAAATAATAATTACCCATTAACAATTTGCATGTAGTCATTTTTTTGCGAGATGGGATCACCATTTTTCAGCCATGAAACAGTTGGTTCAGGTTTGGCATACACCTGACATTCTAATTCTATATCAGACTTCACAATAGCAGTGAGCGAATATGGTTTCTTTGTGAACTTGGGAGCCACTACAAATAACAACAAACATGCAAAAATGTTATATTTTTCATATTATATGTGAAGATAGTTGACAATATGATAATAAAATGAAATGAAATGAAAAAATAATTTTATTCTGAGACTGAAGTCCCTTAAGAATAATAATAACATCATACAAAACATTGGTCCATTAGACTGGTCTGACAGAATACTAAGAGCTCATTTGAATATTAATGATTAATGATTCAATTGTTATCGCAATCATACCTGAATAACAATAGTCAACACTTTAACAAGAGTACATTTTACATGGTTTACATGTACACAAATAAAAAGTAAATAAATAAATGAAGTAAAATCAAATGAAACTTGTCGATAAATTGTTAGTGAGCAGTTGTAATTACAGAATCCAATAAGTATTAAGTTTGAAAATGAAGTTGGTGATGGAATAAGCGTTGTTTGAAGGAATTTAAGGATGAGGATTGCCATATGGTGATGAGTAATGAATTCCAGAAGGAGGTCGAATAACAAAGAATTTGCTGAAGGATGTAGTTTTATGAGAAGGGTTATATAAATCAATAGGTTGAGATCTGGTATTAAGAAAGTGGATAGAGGAACGTTGAGTCAGGAGTTCCATAATATAGGGAGGATTTTTGGTTCTTAGGACCTGGAAAAGGAAAACACCAAAAAGGAATAATATAATATGATAACTCAAGAAGAAAATATTCAAACAAGAAAAAACAAATAAATTCTTATTATTTAATCGATTAAACCTCATTCAAGGTCTTCATCAAAGCTAAAAAGAAAAGGTGAAAATATTTTAGGATTACATAAGCAAAACTATATAGAATTACTAATGTAATTATTGAAACATATTTTTAAATAAATAAATATTTTGTACATTTATATTTATGTCAGTAATTCTACATACTTTTGGTATTTTAATTATAATTTGAGAATTACAATTTTTGGTGTCTTTCTTTTTAGCCCTGATAATCTACAGAATTTATAATTATAATCAGAATTTATTTGATTTTTTTCTTTTTGATCGACTCTTTCCTTCCGAGCTCGATTTCTTGATTAAGTAATCAAAATATGCTATGTTACCTTGAACATGAAGAGAGGCTTGATGGTCGACGGAGTCCTCTCTGTTACCAGCACGACACTGATAGTTACCATTATCAGCTTCAATTATATTGCTGATTTCCAAGCTTCCTGTACCAACGATACGATAACGACTGTCAAGGTACCTGTAAATACAACGTATAATTTAAAAGTTAAACAATAAAGATCATAGTATTATTTATTTAATATAATATATAATAATAAGAACACTTCCTTAAATATTAAAAATTCTAAAAACTATCAAACTCATAGATATCAACTTAATTTATGAAATAAATTTGTTAGATCAAACATAGGGATCTAACAGTTAACTTCTGTATTGTCTACAAATAGCTACATAAAAAACTAAGGTTTGTGCTTTAGACCACACGATAGAAGTGAAAACATCAACAAGGAGAGATTAATAATATGAAATATAAATTATAAATAATAGCTCATTACAGAGAGGATGAAATTCTAAACTATTTTCACTAGAAATTAAATTGTCATGCTTAACTCATCGATATATTACTGATTCTTAAAGTCTCTACAAAGTTAATTAACCTATAAATAGGCCTCCTCAAAGAAAAAGTTTGGGACTCTTTATTTGGACAGTAATAATGAAAAAGAGTTTGAATCAGGATAATAAAAGTGACTCTGTGTATGAAAACAAAATTGAGAACAATACTTAATAATTGTGTTAATTAAAAATTATTTAGCTGATAATATAAAAAAAATCAGCTAGCTATATAAGGAAGAACGCAGTAGAAGAAGAAGAAGATATAAAAAATAAATTCCAACTTACGCCATATCAATCGAGACACCATCTTTAAGCCAGGTTATAGTTGGCCTAGGGTTGCCATTTGCAGCACAATCTAAAGTAATATTAGCACCTTCTGTGGCAACGATGGATCTTGGAGTTGCAATGAATTCTGGAGCCATAGCACGACTTGCTCCTTCTAAACATATTTAAATAATTTTTAGAACATACTAATAAACTCTATTTATTAATATACATTAGATACTTATTAGTAAAAACAAGATTTTGATGAATCTTCTTTATTAGGATTTCTTTTAATTTTGAATAACACTGATCAATAAATGGGAATAAATTTTAAAAACTTTAATTATATTGGAGAGAAGGATATGAAGTTATATAAGGAAATAATAGGTATAAAAAGAAAATTAAGATCTTAATTTTATATCTATTATTTCCTTAAGTAACTTCATATTTCTTTTCTCTATTTTATACTTTATTTTGAGATTAATGTTTTTCATTTCTTATATTACCTTATTTTAATTATGTTTATTTCATTGTTCCGTGCTTTGTTGCCGTTATTATTATCTATTTCTTAGTTCTCAGTTACTGTTATTATTCTACCTACTTCATTTTACTTTAATGTTCACACTATTTACTTCATTTTACTTTAAGTTTTCTACCTACATTTTTTAGTCAATACCGTTAGCTTTTTTTAATTTTAATTCTTTATTATTCAATGTTTATAGTTTCTAATACCTATAGTTATCTGGTTCTTTTCTTAGCCCTGATGAAGGCCTGAACGTAAAAATGAATACAATTTATTATTTTTCTATTTTATTTTTACTCATCACCTCAATCATCCTTCTCTTCAATTATTCATTACAGTCAACCATCAACCCACATTTTAATTATATTGTTTTAATGGCATTTTTGGTAGAAAATCGAGAGAGAAATCAGTTCTTTATCAAGTATGGCCGCTCATAAGGTTCATTTGGTCATGAAAATATTGAGAATAATTTTAAATAAAAGTTAGATCATAAAACTGATCAATAAGAAAATATTCTGATTAAAATTTCTAGTTAATAAAAAAACTTGTATCACTATCACCCATGAAGGATTGTGAGTATGTAAAGAACTGGTTCTAGGCCTTCGAGTTATGCAAGGAGGAGATTTGATTATGATCACACTCAAGCATCGGATTTTTCCTTAATCAAGGATACCTACTTTAAAGAGGTTGGATATGCTGCAGGAGGGTCTTCTGGCCCCATATCCCTTATAATAAATATGAGATAAATTTTCTTAACTATGTCCTGCGAGACAGTTAAAGAGGCTTTGCCTTAAGTTTAAAACAAGCTACCTTATAATAGATATGAAAATTTTTCTTACCTATGTCCTGTGAGACAGTTAAATATGCTTTGCCACTAGAATGAACGATATCTAAGCTGGTGACATTACATCTATAGCTGCCAGTGTCTGATGATTGTACTTCATCGATTTCAAGAGAACCTGAAAAAATATGAATATTCAATCTATTTTATTTCACATAAAAAAAACACAACAAGGTATGTGCTATAGACCACACGATAGAAGTGAAAACATGAACAAGGCGAGATTATAATAATATGAAATATAAATTATAAATAATAACTCACTATAAAGAGGATGAAATACTGAACGTTTCCCTTGCTTTCATTATACAGGTCAGATTTTTAGTTTCTGAGATATTATAATCCATATCTTCATTAAAATTTGGTTTTTGACACTATTTTTCCCTTTTCGCCTCTCTAATCCACCGTTGTGTTAATATACAATTTTGTATAATAGCTCATTACAAAGAGGATGAAACGATGAATATTTCCCTTGTTAAGAATATGCAGATCTGATTTTTAATTTTTGAGATATTTTAATCCATATGCAAAAACACTTTAATTAGTCGCCTCCAGCCGAATTTACCCGAGTGTTACATGTCGGAAATATGACGGCTCAGTCTAATTCAATCTCCACAAAAAAGTGCAAATTGTGCCTAAAGAAGTATTCACTTCAAAAAATTCATAAAAAGTAAATAATCGTTGGTCAATAGAGATTAACATAAAAAATATAATGCAATTAATTACAATTTAACAAATATTTTATTTCATTCATTTTTTTTTTTTCTACAGTAGACAAACTTACCTGATGGAAGTATAACCATACGGGACGGGTCAGGTATTATCGGTTGGTCATCTTTAAACCAGGTGATTTTAGGTGGTGGTTTTCCGGTGGCATGGCATGTGAAATGGGCAGTCTGCCTCGGATACACGTGGAGGCTCTGAGGTCCTTCTATTTCACTTAATCCTGAGAAGGAAGATGGAAAAATTAAGTTTGATAAAGGATGAATAATTAAAAAAAATAAAAACAACCATTAACACTGTTTTTAACAAATATTAATTAACTTATTATTGTGGTGCTGAGTTTATAAAAAAATTGTTTAGTTTAGTCTAGTTAATTTAGTAAGAAATTAGACCACATAAGATTAGCTAGTTAGTTAAATGGCCGTATATAATTAATTATTTTTTAGTTAAAAGTTATTCTTTTTTTTTGTTTTTTGCTTCATTATTTTCTTTAAAATGGAGAAACAGTGGATTACTGCTCTGGAAGCAGCTGAATTCATAACTACTGCTGAAAGATACATAATATAAAAATATATCTTAGATATGCTAAGGAGAACAACAATGACATCAATACGATCCTTAATATTTTATACAATTTTTTGAAATTATAATTTTCTAAAAGTCTAAAATTTTTGTATTAACAGTGATATAAAAATCAAATAGTAGTATAAAATAATACTTACTGGCAACTGAGATGGTGGCTACTCGGCTCACTATCTTTCCAATAGAATCGAGAGAGGCAACGCAACGGAATGCTTCATCTTCTGTCATCTGGCTGACACGTAATGATCCATTGCTAACCCATCTGCAAGGGTCACATTGTCAATACAAAGAAGTTTTCTCAAAGAGAAACAGCTTATTTTAAATTAAATACATACCTGTTTGGGTTACTCATTTCGCTGACAGGTTCATCCTGGGCTGTCCTCCAAGTTATAGTGGGCTTCTGTGGACCCGGACCAGCTGCTTCGCAAAGCAGGACAGCACTACCTCCGACGGAAACGACTACATCGCTAGGCTCTTTTTTAAACCAAATACCTCCTTCATCTAAAATTAGAATTATTCATTATTAACAACTAATTCCTAAAAAGTAATTAATTAACCAAGAATATGAACGAATAAAGTCAAAATAAAGACAATAATTGTATGTTATATAGATAATAGACATTTTAATTGATTCTGGAGGTCTCCATGAGGGGCAAAAATAAGAAACATACCAAGCCTAAGAAAATATATATCTAGAGTACAACACAATAAATAAATTGAAGGAATATAAAAAAAATATTATACAACTATGGCCATTTACTTTTATTACACTCTCTTTGGCTATACCTCCAAAAATATTATTAATATTATATCTTTTCTTTGAGATAACAGCCAAGTATGTATCATCCTCAAGTATGTCAAATCTCATAACTTGTCAAACATATCAAACATAATAGATAAATCAGACCTGTTACAGTCTCAAGATCATAAAGTAAAGTAAAGTAATAATTTTCTTCATACAAGATTACTGAAAAGTCACAAACTAATCACTTTAATGCATCATAAAGTGATATTCATGACTACATCTTAACAGACTTGCTTAGTTTGAAATGATGTTGAAATTTCTTTTATCAATTGCTTCCTTGACATTACTTCATCTCATTAAATGTCTAAACTTGCTTATCTTTTGTTCAGCTTACTTTATAACAAATATTTACAGCAGAGACATTATGTTTACTGATTATGGTAAATACTGATTAGATCTACTAGGCGTTCTTAATAAATTATGCCTGCAAACTGTGGGAATTTCACAAACTTGAAGTTTTTTATATCATCTTTGATATCAAGGAAAACAAAAGTACGGTTATACATAACTTTACTTAAATTAGACCTTACATACGCAGATGAAATGTTGATGCTTACTACCACCATCACAAATGCATTAAGAGCCTTCAAAAGGAAAATACTAAGATATATATGTGGGTCCTTGTTTGATGAAGTAATTCAAGAACAAAGGATAAGAAGAAATAATCACCTACATGACATATACAGTTAGACTGAAATCATAAGCTTAATGAAATCCAGCCAGATCGAATGGTTGGGGCACATTTCAAGCATGCCTGTTGACAGAATATAAAAAAAGAAGCTCCAAATTGGAATTTATGGAGCCAAAAGAAGAGGAAGACCAAGAAGATGGTTGGATGATGGATGTGGAGAACGATAACAGACAGCTATTATTCAAAGAAGCCGAGGCCCACCCCTTGCTAAAGAGCTACAGAGAATAATAATAATAATAATGGTCATTACACATTCTGAATGACGCTCTGAGCAATGAATTTAGGTCTTAAAATTTTATAAATCTTAAAAAATCGATCCTAATTCCTAAAAAAAACCTAATGGCCCAAGTGTTCACAAAATATGGTACCTGTTTTATTGATGTTAAGCAACAACTTTCCAGATGCTTAAAGAGCAAGGAAAATAAGACCAGAGATAAAAATGTTTTTAAACACGCACAATGGGTAATAACAATTTTGCAAAATTATTATTAAACATGTCAATTATAAGACAAATAAACACAATCTAGAATCAATAATAGGCCCATGCGAATAATTCTCACAGTATATAAGCCAATGAAAAGACAGTAAAATAATATGAAAATAAGAAAATGTAATATGTTATGAGAGAGAGGAATAAAATTGTTTTTTCCTGTCGATTGGAATTGTTCATTGTAAAAATAATAAACTAAAACATGTGTACAAATTCCAATAGGCTTCTTTTTTTTTGGTAATAATGATCCGATTCCGATGGTTTTTTTTTTTCAATTCATTCAACCTGATGATTATTATCTTCAAAATGATGGTTCAATTATCGTATCAGATGAGGGATTAACGAACACATGGCATACTGACAAAAAAAAACCTTTGAAAAATAAAATATAAAGATAATAATCTGCTATGGTAACATTTGATGAAAGATGAAAACACCTTGTTTAAAGTAGAACTGATTTATGAATTAATTTCAGCTTCATCAAGTATAACATAGATAGAAAGGCAAACAATGCCTCCAACTGAGAGATGTTAATCCTTTCTTTCAAAAATTTCTTACTAACCTTGGATACTCCTTTATTTGTAGAATTTTTGGTTTATTTTTAGTTTATGATATTCCTAAAGCAAATTTACTGTTTGTTCAATGAAATTTTGTAAATGGGTTTGTATATTTTTTACAACGACAAGGAATCAATACTAATAGCCCTGCAGCCAGGGCTCAAAAATCGAGCTCATCGCAGGCGAAGCTTTGATAGTAAATTATGAAAGTGTATGTTATTCTGAGTAAAAAGAACCTTGTCGGCCGTTGTTTTCAAAAATAGAGGCTGATTTAAAGAATATTAGGCAAGTAATTTGATTATGAGAAATGTAAAAATTTTTTAATTTTTTTTTTAAACTTGTATATATGGGTTTAGATATTAAATTAAAAAAAAAAATGCAGATGTGGGCCACCAAGGGAAGACTTTTCACAGCCAAAAAAGTCAGATTTTTTCAATAATTTTTGTTTTTTCACCCATAACTCCTAAACGATACGTCAAACAGAAAAATGTAATCTTGAATAAATTCCCCGGGCTCCTGAGTTCAGTACATGGCACTCTCACAACAGAACAGTACACTTTACACTTATTCATACACAAGGTCATATTCAGTACTCACCTCATGACCACCTTCTCTGGGAGACCCAAGGTTGGGGGGTATAGCCTAACCACCAGTTGTCCCGAGGATACGGGGCCTCTAGCACTGGGCCAATCACCCGTCCGGAGTCCAGCAGATTCAGAGAGATCTACCTAGCCTCGGATGTGGACAGTCTTCAAAGATAGATGCTGAGATTTTGTATAGAATATCTAAGGCGAATCAAGTATATCACCAGATCGCTAGCAGTATCCTCGGCTGCCGTGAAGTGGATAAAAATACCAAGATGCACGTCTATAAGTCTGTATACCTTCTCATTCTCACCTACGGTGGAGAAAGTTGGACTATGTTGGACAAACATTATAGTCGCATAACAGCAGCGGAAATGCAATTCCTACGTAGATCGGTGGGCAAAACTAGGAAGGATCGCATTAGAGATGAAACTATCAGAGAACAGCTGGAAGTGCCTGAACTCAAAACTACCTTGGAGAACAGGCAATTAAGGTGGTTTGGACATGTCTGCTGCATGAAGGAAGACATGGACCCTATAAAGATATTAGAGGCTCGACCCACAGGAAAGAGGCCACGAGGGCGTCCCAGAGTCTCATATCAGGAGTTCATGGAGATGATCGGTGATAGAAGAGGCAAATCCTTCAACCAAATGAAGCGGTTAAGCAGAGACCAGGAAGGGTGGCTGCGTTGGATAGAGGCTCCTTGACGCTAGAAATGGCATTGTGAGGAAGACAAAGAAGAAGAATAAATTAAAAAAAATTAAATTGTGCGTCAAATGAGTACATAAACATAAGCTTCAACATTCTTTAAATCAGCTGCCAATTTTGAAAACAGCAGCTCTGAAACGGCAGACAAGGTTCTTCTTGCTGAGAATAACATACACTTTCGTAATTTAAAATTTAAACTTTCGTCTGCAGTGAAGTTGATTTTTCGGGTTTGCCTCCAGGGTTATAATACCATAAGATCATACATTCAGTCATCTGATAAGTGGAAGAGGTATGCTCAGAGATTAAGTTTGGGAACTCCTGTATTAGGCACAACAATATTTCTCGCTAACAGAATTTAGGAAATACATCCATTTCTAAGAAAAATTAAGAAATAAACTCAATCAGTATTGGAAAAAGTACAAGAAAACCAATACAAAAATAAGCAGAAAGAAATTACTAATAATAATTTTGGAAATAGATTTAAAGTTCAACAATCTTTCTTGCAACAATTTCTCTGTTTTAATGGCTGGTAAACATAAAAAGAAAAATTGTAAGATGTAAAACATAAAATAACAAATCTTCTGGTGAAAATATTAAATATTCTGAGTAAAACTGACAGAAAGATGCCAAAGATATTTAAATACTAGTTAATGACATGATAAGATTATTGACTATACATGATTAAATGTAATAAGTCATTAATGTATGCAGAAAACAACATAATTAATAAAAAAAATCGATATATTCCGGATAATCTCCTAAAACAGTAAGATGCAAATGAATTGAGACTTCAATTTCTCAAATACTAATAATTTATAGCTATTCAAAATGCACCTAATACTTCTTGTAAAAAATAATAAATTATGTACACTAAACACTAAATGGTAGTATACATTCCCACGCTCTCAGGAAAAGTGGATTTTGACAAACAAAGAAAAGAAATTTCATGGAGAAATGATTAATTACATTTTCAATCCTTATATTCATACAAATGTGATAGCATTCATTAAAAACAGGAGGAGGTTTCAAAACTCTGACATTAGTAAGGAGATTAAGAAGAGACAAAGTTTTTTTTAAAGATTTTAACGTGGTAAAGCAAATCTGGTTACTTTCTTTAGAACATGCTGGACTCTGCGTTTTAAAGCAATACTGTTAGTTTTGGAGACAAATCATAATTATTGGCAAAAGCCACTTAGGCAATAGCTGCCATGGGATATATAACATGTTTTGTTTAGATTTTTAAAAATAATAGGTATTCTTAATTTATTAAGAAAAACCTGGCAGTTAAGCATATCAATAAACATATGTAAGATTAAAATGGTTCTATTCTAGAAAATTTACTATATAATTAGTATTTGTTATAATAACCACAAGTGCTATTCAACTACAGAAAAAAAATTGTATTAAGCAACTAAATAAATTAAGTACAGAGACAGGACAATTATTAAAAAAGAAAGGTTCTCAATTAAATATTTATGAGGTACGGATATGATACTAGGTAACAATATACATGGTAATAATAAAAACGTACAGACTTTACAATTTAATGAAGAAACCATAAAACAGAAACATTGTAACCACGCAGTTAATAGATGAAAATAAAATAAACATTATAAAATTGAAAACATGACATAAAACATCTTTCAGTGAAAATCTGAAGTATTCAGAGAGTAGAATCCAAAGCTAGATGTATTTAAAAACTAGATAGTGGCAGGATAAAATAATGTAATAGTTTACCAGAGATGATTAAATTTAATATGTTAAAATATATACAGAAAACATCATTTAAAAAGTAATATATTCTAGACATTTTACAAAAACTAATGCAAGTTAAGAAGACAAAACACTGGAACTCATAATGATTAAGAGATGAATACATATAAACCTCCTAAACATTAAGTATGAACCTATTTCTAATTTGTATTAACTGTCACAAAAATAATAAGTTATTCATATCAATATTTCTAACTAAAATTATTTAAATCAAGAAACTAATCTAAAAATTAACTTTTAACTAATTAGGAAAGAAACACTAAAAATTCAACAATGTGAATTTACTATGCTTTCAATCAGGAAAATCATAATTAAAATTAATGGAAGTAAGAATATAATCTGATAACTTTCAAAATAGTGAAAACTATAAACTCATTCATGAATAAAATATACTAGTATTATCTTATTGTACTTTATCAATAAATATATGTAAAATTAAAATGTTTCTATTCTAATAATACACAATATTTGTTTCATCAACAAAAAGTACTATTTAACTGCAGAAAAAAGTCAATCAAATGAAGAAAAAAGTCAATCAAATGAAGAAAAATGTAAATAAATTGAGTACAGATTTAGGATAGATATTTATTTAAAATTAAGTTTTAAATGCAATACTTACGATGTTCTGATATGACGATAGGTAACAATATACATGATAATAATAAAAACCCAAAGACATTATCAACTTTTATGAGGGGACCACAAAATAGTAACATTGTACCCACACAGTTAACATTTAATTATTTTGTTGTTTAAAGTCCTTTCCATTATCTTCTAACTATCACTTGCTGTCACAACACAAACAAATTTTGATCCACAGAAGCCATGTTGACACTCCGTTAAACTCTCTTTTCAGTATACACATTAAATTAATCGATTGCTTAAGTATACTTGGGGTTAGATTCATAGAAATACAAACAGAATTTAAAAGCCAGGTACAATAAATTATTAAATAAGAAGTTAATTTTCCAATGTTTTAACTAAATAAATTATAGCAATAATTATTTTCAAAGAGTAAAACAAGACTATCTGATTTTTCAAACTAATCGAGTATCTTCCACATAATCTGTCAAATCTCTTATTTTACTTCTTTAGGTTCTTAAGAAACAAGTAGAATGCTTAATTGGCGAATGAAAATATTTCCGAAATATCACAATTTTACTTTAAACGTCTCTTTAGTCATTTCTTTTTTAAATTTCGTCGTTCCGTTTACGGATCTGATTATAGCTCAAATAAACTTTTGATGGAACTTCTAATAAATGTAGCGATTAGTTACATAATTTACTCCTTGTTCTACAGACTTCTGTATTCCTTTTTCTCCTCAATAAGGCATAGGCAGATGATCCTCTTGTGCGATCTCTAACCATTTTGAGAGTTTTCAGCGAGGATACCGACAATGTGAAATGTTAATAATGTTTCAGATCTATTTGGTTTTCTCCTAATTGACGTCCTAAGTTTCCATTGCTTTTGGCGAACTTTTAATTAAAGGACGGAAGGGTCATGCAACTAGATACAGGCGATCTATCTTACTTACAAAGACCTGTTAATAATAAAGCCATTAGCATGGATCCCTGAGTTACTAATAACAGATGTATAGTGGAGTGTTTTTAAAAAATACATTAATGTTTCAATGTAACCTTTTCAAAGAATCGTTAATTTGCCGTTAAATTTGTATTTGGCAAGTTTATAAACTCAGTGCAGAGCTGATGGATGGCATCGGAAATCTATTCGACTTTTCCTAAACTCATGGAAATTATCGATATTATTTAAATTACAATTTATAAAGGAATGATTATAGGTATTCTGAGAAGACGCCCCCTGTCTGGAATCTAGAATCTCACACCGACAGAAGATCCACCACCGAGTCACCAGAGCCTATCGAAGTGTAGTGGCAGAAGGGGTGGTGAAGGTATCAGCGAGAGGTGTACTTCTCGAACTCCTGCAAGATGTGTAGAGATATGCAGAAGAAAAGTCTCAGCAAATCATCCGAGAAACCCGTAACCTGAGCAAATGGAAAAACTATTATTATTCGGTGATACAAATGAATAATGAAACCGTGGGTGCCTAGTCCGAAAGGCCATTGAGAAAGTTGCAACGGGGTAGTTATAACTGTCTAGTCACGTATAGAATCCAAGTGAGTCCTTCCAGGTTACTGGAACTCGCGATAACCTTACTGGGCATGAGGGCTTAGAGCCAGGCATCGGGAGGTCGTGATGGCTAAGCTTGTTAAAGCGTTGCCCGTTTTAGCATTCTCGAGCCTAACGACACCGGTTCGAATCCGGCTTGGGGGTAGTTGACTTTTATTTCGTGGTGGATCCACGGAATGAAACTCGACCCTCCCACTTTGGTTGTTCCTCTAGAACAACCCCTCTCTCGTATGCCAGAAATTGTGGGTAGGGAGTTATCAAATAATAAAAAAAAGAGCCAGGCATCGTGTCTTTGGAAAGACATCTTCTACACATGGAGGGTCCTGAGCATATTAACATGAGCTGAACCGCCTTTGAGTGACTAAGGTCAAATTTCTCAAGAAAACTGTCTCAATTTACTCACCGAGAACGATTTCCAAATCCTAGTCAAATATGAAAAATTACAAAGACTTTTTGTATTGGCAGAAGACAACAGTTAACCAATCACACTTTAATCCCGCTCTTGGAATTCCACTGAAACGAATAGGGGTAGTAGACGAAACCTGAATCATCTTGTTATTTATACGGCATGCCCAAATAATTTTCCTCATGTTATTATACTTTTTTTGCAAGGTTAAGATGGTTTGCAGTCACAGGCGGATCTACGGGGGGGGAGGGAGGAGGTGGATGGCATTTGGGCTGAAGCTACCCTCCCAAAAAAGGTAAAATGTAACCCTGTTTTATTGAAAAAATATTTAAATTTATCTCTTAAAGTATTATTGTTCGTGTGATTACATTTAACAGGACTTCAACTACCACATAAACACCATTTCGTATAGGTAGTTTTTTTTTTTTACCAAAGTAATTATCGTTATATATATATTTTAAAAAAACCTATCGGGCTGAAGCCTCATCAAAATCCCAAAATTAAATTCTGTATCCGCTAGTGTTTGCAGTCATGCTTAGTATCCTGTGAACACTTCTATTTTCTAAAATGCAAGGTGAGGATTTAGATACCCTTTAGAAAAATATATATATAAACATTACATACTATTAAAAATTATATGAAGTCTAAAATTCATTAACTTCGTTTGTTAGAACTTTTATATCACCGATGATACACTTTTATTAATCTTAAAGCATTTTCTTAATGTTAATTAACTATTAATGAAAATAAAACATATAAATTTATATTTTTATACACAGTAAAGATAGTAATGAACATTCTATCTGACTATTGTTAACGTCTGCAAGTCTAATAGCCCTTTATTTTTAACCACAATAAGTATAAATATAAATCTATAAAGAAAGACAAAACTAAGACCATATTTAAGAGTATGCTGTGATATAAGTTAGAAAGGTGTGAGCAGCTATTGTGATATTGACTTGGGATAGAACATCAACTTTAATTCAGTGGTAGTCTCACTTAATAAATCAAGATGTTAAAAAGATTATAAACATTGTTTAAAACGTATTATATTTAACAACTGACCTCTATGCATTGCTCTTTAAATTAAGATTCAAGATCGATATACTTAATTTCGATTACCAAGTTTTTATTTACAAACATTGAAGAGGCTATCTTATCAGTGTAGGTTATGTGTTGTTTATTATACTGTTGGAATATAAGGAAGTCAATTTAAATGAAATTTTCATCTGGTGGAACGTTATTAATTACGAACAATTACTTTGGAAAGTCAGACTCAAGCCCCTTATGCCGGGAATACATTGTGTCTTTTTTAGAAAATTCTGCTCATTTCAAAGTTATTTTTTTTGTAATAGTCTGTTCTTGTATAATTCAAGGTGTTCTTAATAGAAATGACTCAACTAACTACAGCACATATATTTTGTTTTCCATCCTTTGTCTTTCACTTTTATATTGTTTATACTATACAGTTGAGAAGGAATCACTTCTCATAGTAGTGCCTTTAACTCTTCAGATGACAACTACTTATATTTTAGGAAATCAATCCACCTTTTCATTACCTTGGAGTACCATAGGAGATTTTATGATAATGGAAGTGATCATGGGCCAAAAAGTTCACTATTTTCTTTCTCTTGTTCTGAGCAGAGATGTTGATGGGAAAGGTAGGGAAGATCATATAATACTATTTAAGAACATTAAACCTCCACTGAAGTGTCTAGAAGTGGTGTACCGTGATGTTCAAAAAATCCTCGATAAGAGTAGGTGATATAGGCTCTTTTTAGGTTAATTCAAAAATGTTTGTTGTCGTTACCATTATCATACAGTATTGCCATTTATTTAAGTGAAATCAATAACTGAGTGATTTTCATGATTTCATGCTGTTGTATGTTTGACAATCCTGAAATTGCAACATTTATCGTATTGAATTATTGTATCATCTTTAATTGTTTTATTTTTAATCTGTATTTAAACTGATAAAGTACAAATATTATTAGTGAAGAAAACAACAACATATTTGTAATAAATGAATTTATAAAGTATACTTTCTATTTGCTGCTCAATGTTTTCAGTTTAGAGGTCTTACCTGAACTGTCTAAATAAAATGTTAAACTATCAAACCAATTTTTTATGTGCAGTCACTAAAAGAAATATTTTACAGACACTATAATTTTTTATGTTTAATATATATACTTTTGTTATTTAAAACAGATAAATTACCATTAAAATTTCATTTTAAATATGTCTTCTATTGAAAAGTTACTATTACCATAACTGCTTGATTTAAGTTCAAAAAACAATAAATCTAGAAAAGTAGAAAATAATGTTAATAGGAAAATATAAACTTGTCCTGTTGGGAACCTTGACTAATTATTAAGTTTATTTATAAAGTTTTTATAATCATATATGGCCTATATTTACCATGTTTTCTCTTAATTCTCTCTTACAAGGTCAATATTATTGAGTTAACATAGAAATTTGTCAATATAGTGACCACGTAAGGGCTACATTGGTATCAATTATATTGATACCAATCAAACTGGTTGGTATTAATTTTTATTTAAGCTCCTTTTATTGGAAGATAAAGAATAAAAGAATAATATTTTATTGGAACTTTGTCAATATAACTGTACTTGTTAGGGCTAAATTGTGCAATATTAAATCATATATAAGGATCTAGAACCTTCAGAGGTACTGAGCGTTATCGGACTTCCTCTTGGATAAAGCGGGAGACTGTGTGTGTGTGGAAAAGGGGGTAGCTCTGTCTTCACTCTCCCTTTCTATTTTTTTTTTTTTTTGCAATATTATATGCCATTTAGGTAACTGATTTAATATTACTTTTTTTCAGAAGTTAATATTTATACAATATTTAATAATAATTTTTTTTTTTACAAAACTCTTTCTTAAATATTAAACAATTAGAATTCAAGAAAAGAACCAATTTGAAACAAGAGACATTTTAATTTCGATTAACATAATAAATTTTATATTTCACACAAATATTAAGATTACATTAGGGAAAGAATTAAATACAGAAATATTCCATTTTCATATATCCTTGCAACAATGTAATTGGAAGTAAACAATTGATAAATAATTAATTTGTAGTTTATGGAAGTTATTATTTATTTATTGACTTATAATCAAATGTAGTTAATTGTAACAATAAAATAGGAAGATATTTTTATCATATTAATGCTAACTGCTAATGCTTAAGCCAAATAAATTAAAATAATATGAAATTCACTATTATTCGTGTTCAGAAAAATTGAAGAAGGTTACTACTTCTTTGAAGAAAGGAAGATCTTAACTGATGTTGCATTAAATCAATATTTCAATTGACTACTATTGACCCAACACAAATGACAAGTTTGGGGCCCTTCAATTTTAATATATTCACCTCAATAAAATTGACAGTGTAAGAGACGCATTTATGTTATTTTAGATTAGTATTGATGTTTATCTTTACTATAACAGAATTTTTGTTGTAATTTTAGATGTTATGTTTTGTATCAGATGAGACTATGCTATTTATTATGTATCAGCCTTCTTTGGAACATTTTTCTAGTCATTTAAGTTGGAACTTTTTAGGTAATTTACTTTCTTGAGATGTTAATTCTTTTTTCTGTGTTAATTTATAGTATTCTAATAGCTAGTGACATTTACATATCAAAATAAAATTAATTGTACATGCCATAGCTATGTAAAATTATATTAAAAGATTGGATATTAAAAATAGGCTGTATTTTTCTCTAATGTTATTTAGGGATAGGTACTTTTATTTGACTATTATGAAAATCTGTGCCTACTGTAATATATAATTTTGATTGTCAACATTGGTTGGCTGGATAGCAATTCTATGAATCAAATTTTATCTAATTGAAATTTAGATATCAAATTTATAAATTATTAAAATATTTCTATAAATAAATTTTTATTTATATTTCTGCGTTATTAACTGTCTAGCTAAACATTATTTTACCTGGAATTTTATGAATATGGTATTTGTAGCATTCTGGAAATGTATATATTTTTCTATTTGTATTTTTTTTCTCTTCATCCTTCGTATCTGTTATTGTTCTCCAGAATTTTTCATTCATAAAACAAAGAAATTTAATCAATTGAATTGAGTTGAATGTAAGTATGTGGCTGTATGTATTTAGTGATAAATAAAAATAGCAACAGCAAATTATAAAGAATCATTGCAGCTTCCATTAGCACTGCCTAACCTTACTGCGGTCTCTAATGATAAAAAGTTCACCACCTATGATCTGTACAACACTCCTATAAAATGAAAACAAATAAATCTATTATGGTATACATTATCAACTTTTATATGTTGTGAAACCATAAAAGGATTTTACATTGTTTTGATTCCATTATATGTAATGTTGCTGATTTTTATATTTGTTAATATTAAATTTTTTATCTGTGTAGTTTCGGATTGCTTCTTATTCTTTCTACCCCATACCCTAAAATGATATACCTCTGTTCACACCACATTCATTGATTGTTGGTTATTCTTTCTCCATTTTGTTCTTGTCATTTTTCAATCTGATATGCTCCTAACTATTAACTCAGGTGTATCCAACTGGTTGTACACCAATCCTTTTAACTTCATAAATTACTAACATCTTGATAGGCTTATCATATTTAAAGATATCAAGGCATGTATATATTTTAAATGACGTTTTTATGAATGTCAAACAAATTTTTGAGATTTGAAAAGATTTAACTACAAACTAATTTTTGAAAAAAATTCTTAACAATGAATTTGATAATATTAGTGCATTTAACAAATTAATAATTAAATTAAAACTATAGAAACCAACTTATTATCCTATCACTTAAAGTTTTTAATCATAGGGGTTCTAATAAACATGTACTGCAGTGCAGGCCTTAGAGATTCAATTCCCCCAGACAACGATAACATCCCCCCCTAAAAAAAATAAATTTATTTCTTAAGCTGTTTTATATTATGTAATATTTGAATTTTATTTCTTTCAACATTTCTCTAATACAAGTTGCTTTATTGATGTGCTAAAATTATTTATTTCGATACGTTTTATATTTATTTCTAACAAGTGGTGAGCGCTCATAAAAATCGGCTGGCATCCTTAAAAAATTTACTTTAGGCTCATAAACCCCATTATTTAAACTAATATGCCTAGTTTTTTACACAGTTTAATAAACATAAGTATCTATTGTTTTTTATTAAAAAAACAAAACATTGTTTTTAAATGAATTTATTTAATATAAATCACAAATAATAAAATAACAATATAATAAAAATAAGACAGTTTTAAATTAAAAGATAAATCATATTCAGTCATCCTTGCACACAATATAAATACACTATTTATACTTTATTTACATTATTTATATCTAGTAATACATATTTACATTTTTTTTTATTTAAGAGTTCATCTATTAACATCGTATATTTGTTTTAAATATAGTCAATAATAGGTAATAATTTATAATTTCTACAATAAATAAACTTTTACAAGATATTTTTGTAATATTAATATCACTTAACGTTTGCTGAATAGTATGGTTCGTGGAAGCTTTTATCACTTCCTTTTATTCGAACTATATATCACTTTTACGATAAGTGATTTATTAAAATAATTAAACATAATTTTTTTTAATAAATATGAAATAAAAAAATAATGTAGACAATCAAGCTAATATTTGTTCAAGAATAGAATCATTAGTGTAGTTATTACTCTTCATAACCTCACCATTCTATTTCAAATCATGTATATTTTTTAAAATTAAAAATAAATTACATTAAATTATCCAAACAATTTTTGAAGAATACCATAGACTTTGAATAGATACACTCACTAAGGAATATTTGATGAAAAGTTCATATTATAATATTGTCTTATATTATAGGGATTGAAATGAATAAATCTTAATTTTATTTCTAATCATCTTCAGTACGACTGGCATTTTTGTTTTAGATTTTTTTTTGTTCTTTTCGAACCAGAACTTTTCCCATGAAACTTTTTGAATAAAAGTTTTAATCGAACTTGAATTGAAACATTTGTTAAAACAATTCATCTAACCAAAAAACGAAATTGACAATAAGGGTAATTGTAAAATTCAAATAAATAACAATCCACAGAATAAAACATAGATATCAGTACTTCATTCAAGATAAGTTATATCTGCAATGTAAGCCCACTCACTTAGTGTTTATTGGTAATTTATGTAACTTTTTTTTTAAAGAAGATTAATAATTAAAAGTTAAAACTTTTACAATAAATCCAGAACGTTATTACAAACTTTAATTTAGAACTTAATAAAAAACAAATAAATAAAAAAACTTAATAAAAACAAAAAAAACGTTCCATAAAAGTTTTAAACCCTGTTATACAGCCATATGACAATAGTAGCTGTAAGGTATAGTGATTAATTAATCAGGATTTTCATACTTAGTGAACCATATTTATATGTTTATCAATTACGCCTTAGAATAACTCACATTAATACTTTAACATCCAATTTTTATAATTTATTTTGATAAATTAAAGCTATTCTACACATACATTTGTTCATTGTACTTTGCTTGTATAAGAAACTATGTTATACAATCTAGTAATGTTCATACTTATAATCACTTATCAAACAAAAATTTAAAGACACCGATCATTTCCTACTTGAAACATATGTTTCGGCTTCCAATGACATTTTCCTTCATTAAATACTAATTAAAACAGACTAGTGATGTTATGAGTTAATAATGTGTGATATCCAATCGACAGTATTAGCTACTCTGTGATAGATACCAGGTTGTCCACGTTGAGCGCAGGAGTAACCGGCCGATACGATTCCAATCAAGAACCATCTTCCACTTCGCTCAAGCATTAATGGTCCTCCAGAGTCTCCCTGAAGCAAATAATATTGTTAACATGTTATTTACTAGATTCAGTAGCTAATAAACTATATATAATATATAAATTTATATAGAGTAAAACCACAAGTAGCTGGCAGTGTAACAATAACTAACATCCTTCTCGAATAATGGAAATAATAAGATTTCAGAGTCTCCTAGACCTCTAATTTCAAAAATTTGCTTCATAAATTTTAGGTTTCTATAGTTTCTCCTTGTATATTTGTCTGCTTTGCTTTAGTTTGCCGAAAACCGTAACCAAAATGATGAGTGAGAAATAATGCCCTTAACAGTCCCCTTAATGTCCCAGGAACAACCATATGTCAGTACGGACACCATACCGGTTTGCTTTTTTTTCTTTAACTACATTTGTTTATCCCAAAAACTGTTGTATTATTTTTCTTTGAGGGTTTTTTGATTATGTTTTATCTGTTTTTAATTTATTTTGGTAGAGGAATTGGAAATTTAAGGGGTGCCAGCTACAAGAGCCTTAAAATGGGGTCTTTTGCCAATAGGTGGCAGGCGTGTATTCTCATAAATACTTAACATGTATGGTCTTAAAATTGACCTTTTACTACTCTCATTAAACAAAAAAAATTGCTTGTGTTTTGGATTAAAGCGAAAAACGGTTTCCTATTGCCAAAAAACGGTTCTTGACAGTGTCCTGCATTTATCAATAAATTGAAGTCAAAAAATGGAACAAAGTTCAAGTTAAAGGTAATTTTTTTATTAAGAATTTTAAAATAAAAAAAAAAACACTTTCACAAAATTACATTCTTGTTCTCATCCCTGTCAGCTACAGGTGCAACAAAACTATTTTATAAATTTACAATTTTTTAAAATTTAGATGGATGTTTCATGGATTTAAAATGTGTCTTGGTAAGGTGAGAAATATTTCTATAAGATGAATCCAAGAAAAATATAATAATATCCATATTTAAGTTTTTACATGCGAAAGTTCAAAGAAATTTCCTTAAGCATGTCAACTACTGGCGCATGTACCCTACTTTAAAAATTTCTGACCATAAAGTTACTATCTTAAATTTCTTCAGAAATTGCTAGCTACTTGTATACACAAACACTTACTTGACAACTGTCTTTCCCACCTCCTCTATAGCCAGCACACATCATTTCATCATATATAACTACATTGATTCCGTTGCTTCGGTGCCATCTTTCACACAGCCTGTTATCAATCACAGGAACATCCACAGCTTGCAGTGTTTTCGGCCTTAGCCGTGATCCTAATAAAAAAAATTACCAACTGCTTTAATATTGTTTTAACATCATTGTCTCTAAAACTAATCATTCTGTTTTATTTTATTTTTTCATTGAAATGACTTATGTATTACGTATTTGTTGATTCATTACATAAATTTACAGTATGTTGGAAATACTTATTTGGAGGAAATTGAAACCATCTAGATTATAGAGATGACTGCACCATAGGGAGGTAAAAAAGTATAAATAATTTGAGAATAGAAATTCAACATATACATGAATTATAATAAAAAATAATTTATAACATCATTTACTTTCTTTCTGAGCTCAAGGAATAAGAACTGTTAAAGGAAATTAGGGTGGCAAAGTGTACTTTGCTTAAATTGCACACTTTTGGAATTATATGACTAGAAATATTTTAAAAATTAAGAAAACTATAAAGCCAAGATAAAGCTGAAATTAAATCAACTAAGTTCAATATACTGTGATTTATTCTATTACATTTACAAAAATATTTCATTATATAATCTCTTGAATACTGTAGGGAAGGGGTTACCAAGTTATGGAAGGCAATTAAGTTCCAGGTGTAACACAATTAACCAAAACAAAAAAATATATATCTTTTTAACATGTACAAAGAGGGAAAATAATTTTTAAAACTTATCATTGAATTAATTGTTTTATAAATAAGTAATACCAATTAAATTAATAATTATAAACAATGGTTACAGTAGCACAGATAAAAACATTTAGTGTTGAAGAGGACCTGAGAAATTGAGAAATGAAGAAACAAGTTAAACAATATTACGTCTACCGTTGATGCTTTGATAGCAAATAATATTGAGAAATATTAAGAGATTTCACCTTTTCTTATTGAAAAATATTGGTACTTTCCTTTACAATGAATTTCTTACTTTTGTTATATTTTTTTTTTAAGTGCACCACGGCTTATATAGAAATAAATAAATATAGGTCAGTATGATAATTATTTGTATTAGTCCGAAGTTTTTTGAAATCCCACCTGGTTGTAAAGCTCCCCATCCAGCTGCCCAGCCGAACTGACCAAGGAAATCTTCACCTTTGGAAGGCAGGCAAATTGGAGCAATGTGCGGCATATATTGAACAGGACGGTCCAACCTTAATACTGCTACATCGAATCTGAAATACATATTTAAAAGGCATTTAACCATCTAGATTAATTATAAAGATATTTAGTTGATTAAATTTAACCAAGAAGAGACCTGTCTGCTTGAGGAGTAAACTTGAAGTATGGGTGGACTGAAATATGTCGAACACCATAAGTATAGGCGGGTAGTGGCTCCACTGCTGAGTTGATTACGTAATCTCCAAGAGTTACTTGAACTTGCCGTGCATTAGCCCTAGGAAAAACATTTGAATTATATTTTAACATTTATAGCATTGATTATAATTTTTAATTATGTGCCAGTATAAGAAATAATCACTAATATTTAAGGAACCATTCTCTATGTTTATAAGTATACAAATTTTCCCAAAAATTCTTACTACAATAAATATCTGTTACTTCAAATAAAAAAAACTCATGTGTTGGACAGCAATATATGCAGTATTAATACAGAATAATTGATTTTATTTGAAGTGGCTTTGTCCATTGAAATAGAATTATTACATATAATTTATGAGTTATTAGACTTCTTGTAAATCATAAGCATTACAAAGTTTAAAAATTGAAGTAAATATATTTTATTAGGCATATATATTCTAAAATAAATGACTTCTGATCTAAAAATAAAAAGCAAAAATCATTTTAATAAATTCCCCATTTAAAAAAAAAATGCTTGGAAAATTTATTGATAACATATAATTTAAAATGTCCAAAGTAAAAATAAGTTATGTGGGAACATTGTTGAATAGAAAAGAACCTAAGATAATTCAAAAAGTTGGCAGGCACAAATACATTTTTTATAGCCAAAAAAATATAACTATTTAAAAAAAAAAAAGTGTGAAATAGAAATTTGAAACACAAGATATAATTATCCTCAAAGTTCATACCAAATCTTCTTTTTTTTTTTCAAGCCTCTTTATAAATTTAACTAATAATTATAAATTAAATTTTTTAAATAAGGAAAGCAATTTTTTGATGCTATTCACCAAGTTTTATTACTATTTCATTTGTTTTTGTTTATCATGTTATAAAGTTGAAAGAATATGTAGAAAAACTTAACTATTTTCATTAATAATTAATTTATTAAAATAACACTTTAAGTTAAATTAAAGTAAGAAATTAGTAATATTTAATTTAAATTTTTAAGGAAATATTATTATCTAAAATTTAATCAATAGGTTATAACACAAACTGATGTCTGATGCACACTGTCTTTTCTCTTTTGGACATCAACTGACATCTTATGTTTATTGGTTTAAAATAACAAATGTAGTAGAAACACTAAAAGGGATTTTTCTTTTTACAAGTTTTAATAACAATTCTCTTGGTTTATCCTTGTAAGTTGGATAAAGATGGAGGTGAGGATGATGCGTGATATGTGATGCGATAAATACGTTATAATGTTGTCTTTGATAGACAAGTTCTCAATTTTTGTTCTAGATATAAACAAAATTTGATCTTGTGAAACAGAACTAAGCGAATAATGTTAAATGTAGTTATTTAGTGAGAAATAAAGTTCCCACACTAAAAGGCCTCATCTTAATATAAATAAAACACTTACCTGAAAAATCCTTCATGTTTTGAATTAACTATCTGGATCACCTTCAAGAATACATTCACTTCGATATTCCTATTGTGAACTAAATGAAGCACATGTCTTTTGAATACAAATTTACCTAATAACCTAAAAACTAAAAATGCTACAACAGTTACACACTTTTATTTAACTTCTTTGATGTCTTGGATAGGTTTTTGAAAATTCATGAATTAAATGTCCGTGTACTAAAGTCTTTTTTTTTTTTTTTTCAACCATTACCAATATCAGCTTGTCTAACAGACTAATTATTGTAGTGGAAAAAAAAAAAGTTTTCATCTCCAATATTCCTAACTTTTTACACTTCATTTGTCCTATCAGGAGAAATAGAATATGTTGGAAGAGGCTACATTGCTCCAAAAGAATCAATCTTATAAAATAATCTATTCATCAACAAAATCAGAACAAGAAATTTGAAATATATATTATAACATTGATTGAAAAAAACAACAAAAAACAGAACATTTAAGAGGAAAATTTTAAGTTTAAAATGTTTATGAATGAAAACCTCAGTTTGGAAAGGAATTGATGCTTTCGGTGACCATTGTTTTACAACATTAAATTCATCCAGTAGAATATAAATAAATTAAATTTAAATTTGGAATTATATGAATAATAATGTATTTTTTTTTTTAAAGCATTTTATTTTTTACATCAATTGTTTTATTCAATTTACATATTTAATTTTATATAATTAAAAAAAAAGGAATAGAGAATCTATTAAAGCATTCTTTTAAATTTATTTATAGTAAAAAGTAACGAGATGATTGGCAATGAACTGCTATTACAAAAAGACCTAATATTCTTCCTTGGACATCTAAGCAATAAAAAATAAATCTCTATTACTAGAGCTACTGAACATTCATAATTGACAAAAGCATTACTGTTGAGACTCAAAGAAGCAAAGGATGAGAAAAATGTATGAAGAAAGAAAAAAAAATGTTAAACTATATAGCTCATGTATTCAAGGAGACAGCAATCTTGCAGGAGTGAAGTTTTGAAGAAAGATCTGGATGAAGAATCATTTGGCTTGGGAAACATTTGAAGACTCAAACTACGGTGGATTGAAAGTGCAGTTGACATTCAAACATCTAGTACAGGAGGATGGCAGAACTCACTTCTTATGGGCTGTAGATATTGCAAGAAGCCAGGAACGCCAATGAAGAAGAAGATAACTACAGATAGGTATGAGTTTGTTAGTATATTCAAGTTTTTAATTTGATGTTTATAATAGAACTTTATTAAAATTTTGAATTTCGATCAAAATAATAAATAAAATGACTTTGATTTATTTTTATATTTTTATTAGCATATGAGAGCTGTGAAATATTATTTAGTAGTGAAATAAAAAGTTTCTACTTGAGAAAAAATAAATACAAAGAGATATCTAACATAATTATTAATTTTTTTAGATGTTTGAAAATATTACCTCGCTACACAATGCCCAGCAGTCACCACATGGTACCTATTGACTAACGAGCCTCCACATCTGCTTGAGCCGATTCTTATATAAGCCTAGAAATAAAATTATTTTGAAATAACCCAGTTAGACAAATCTTATGAATATAATTCAAGTAAATTTGAAATATATATACATTGGTTTATTCATCTCAGAAATTTAGATGGATTAAAAATTTTTGTTTAACATAAAATTTTTAAGGGAGATTTATATTGATAATGATTTTACTTTTAAAATAAATAATATAAATAGCTGTGTAGCTTTAGTATTTTTTTTTTTATCCAGATAAACCATATTTCAGTTCTTATAAATCACAAAGTCTAGCTTATGGAAATGCCAGTTAATTACATAATACCAAACTAATTTTGAAACTTTTCATATTAAATAGTAAACAATTATAGCATAAGTTCATAATATAGTATTCAAATAAATTAGTAGAAGGCGGTCAGGATGTTAGTTACAATAAGATAAAAAATAGTCTTAAGTTACTGAAGTCCATAAAATAAAAAATAAAAATGAAAAGTTATAGAAATATAAAATAATCTGAGGATTAACATCTGAATGGTGAGAACTGAAATCTCAAAAAAAAAATCATAAAGATGAAGAAAGATTTTAAAAATAATAATTTGGTGCAGTGCATCACACTATTTTTACTAATTATCCTAATTTCAGTAAATTTTTTTTTTTTTAAGTTTATAAACCTTAAGAACACTAATTAAATTATTAATAAAAAACTTACATAAATTATTATAAACTATGCCAATTGTATGCATCATTTATTATTGGTTTGCCAAGTTGAAAATAAAATATTTTTTTAAGGGGCCAACAGATTCTTAATGAAACTATTTTTTTTAGAGAATTGGAATGAAAAAAAAAATATATATATATATATATATATATATATATATATATAAAACTATGAGGAGTAATTGATTTTTTTTTTTGCATTTAACTCTCTGAAAGAATGAACTTTGTATTCTGAATCCATTGAAAGCAACAACCGATAAAAAAAAAAAAAACATAAGTGACTTACCTACCTCTTTTTTCCTCATACCCTTTATATGAGCTATCAACATAACATCATTAACCTATCATATAATATTATAATTAGTATTTATATTCTTCTAATTATTTTTTTCCATTTTATGTAACCTGCCTTTGTTATATATAGTCTTTATACATAGATAATTTTCATTTTTAATTTACATTTAGTCACTCTCTCTGTCTTAAATTTTACAAATATTTCTTTTTATTCCTTATATTTACATCTTACTTTGTTGTTTTTTTACTACATTCATTTCATGGGTGGATCTACGGAGGGGGGGGAGGGGAGGCTTTCGGGCTGAAGCTTCCCCCAAAATGGTGAAATATAACCATGTGTTATCGAAAAAAATATTAAAAAAGTATCTCTTAAAGTATTATTGTTCATGTAATTACATTTAGAAGGTCTTTAGGAATCACTTAAACAACATTTCATACAGGTAGTTAGTTTCTTTCTTCTTTTCCAAAGTAATTATCGTTATTTTTATGAAAAAACAACTTTCGGGCTGAAGCCACCCCCAAAAATAAATCCTGGATCCGCTAATGATTCATTTATATAGTCTCATCAGTAAAAAAATTTCTTTTTTAATATTTTATATTATATTAAATATTAATATGTATTTTTTATATCTCCTTGTCTGGCCATATGGGGTTTAAAAAAATGTTTGTCAACATTTAATTACTGTTTTTTTTTTAATGACACCCTACAGTTTTATGGACAAATTGTTAAATAATACACTTATTGTTATGTTTCCCGTCCAACCTCCTAAATTAGATGTACCTGCCAAGGGAAACTCCCAAATCCTGCTTCATCACCACCGACAATTCTCCTCTGAGCTCCTTGTTTCACAGAGACTCCACATCCTGTAATTAGACATTGTTAGTAGTTTAATGGTTGATGTAAAATATCAATGTAATTAGTAGCTCATGAAATTAATATAAAAACATAAAATAAAAACTTTCCTCTAATTTTTCATACATTCATTTTCAAATATGTTTTACTGATAGGGAAACATAACATCTGAACTATGTTTGGCTTCATAAAATATTACAAATTCAAAACTAATTATTTTCAATTTTATTATTGCCCAATTAATTTCCTTAATTTAAAGATCAAGACATATACATCAAACATACAGTATCACAATATTATTATTAAGCGAAAATTCTCAAGCTGATTTTCAAGTCCTCATTGAATATAATTGCTCTCTATCATAAATTAAGATAGTTCAAATAATCCTAAGAGCCTTGCCACATCAGATGAACCCCATTTTTGCATAAAACAGTTCAAAATAATGTTTGATTATAATTAAACTGTATTTGATACTGTTGATTTTAAAACTAATGTGCCCTGTATAATTAATAGTCCATTCGATATAATATATGTGCATTGCATATACTACTGGGCTTTAATAAGCTTATTAAGGATGATCTATATTTATTCAAAGTTTGCAGTTGAGCAAAGGCAATAATACTAATGTGATAATAAGCTTAAATAATTTATTCATTGTATAAACAATTGATGTATCACAGCATAAACATGGGATTATGCAGCTTAATGTAAGTATTAAGTTTAATAATAGAAATATTAATCTTAATATTTAAATTAGGCAGCATATTTCCTAATTGAAGCATCAACAATAAGCTTAAGATAAATGCAAGGTTGTCTAATTATTGATAAATTGTGCAAAAAGGCAGATAAAATTATAAAACCTTTAAATCGCATCTGAAGTGATACAAAACGACTATTGCTATACAAGTAAAAGAAATGGGTTGAAAATTACTGTGTATAATAGAATATATCATAAATAAAGTATGCAGTAATAAGAATCTGTTTTCATTATTCTAAAGATCGTTCTAGATTATCTGAAAGGTCAATCATCTAAAGTCATAGTAGTGCCAGCGATGTGAAGTTTACATTTTAAATATTTTAAGAATGCGTTAAATGGGTAAGTTATACAAGGAGGTTATGTGATCAGGATCATTTTAAACATTCAGATTTTTCACAATTATGTATAAATTGTTATTCATTAAAATATATTATGTAATCATAACTCTGAATTTTATATAATGGCCCGATGAGGCCATTTCCCCCCAAAATTTCAATTTATTTCTTAAATTGTTTTAGATTAAGTAATATTCCAAATTTATTTTATTCTTTAATTCAGTTGCTTTATTAATAGTCTAAAATTAATTATTCTCATACACTTTGTAACTTTTTTTATTATTCCTAACAAGTGGTGGACGCCCAGGTAGCGTCCCTGGGGGAATTGCCTAGCCCTAATCATGGCACTGTAGCTATGAAACCTTCAATTAAAATCACAGCCCTCAATAAGACCTACAAAATGGGCTATAATATTGACACACATTAACATTTACGAAAATGTTAATTTGAGCTCGAATAAATCAGTATAAATAGCTTCATTCTGACAAAGCAGTGAGTACGATATACTGTGTCGAGGCAGAGAGGGGACTTGTTTCTCTTTAGAGCAGGTAACGTCTGCTCTAATTACATATAATCAGCGATATTTGAAAATAAATTTAAAATTGGATTTAGGAGAAAGGAATGCATTAAAATTATTATTTTATCATAGAAAAAAACAAACAAACAAAACAAGCTGTGATGGAATTACAATATGGACAGAAGGAAACTTTAATCAATTATTGCATATGAATGAACAAGCAATTTTATAAGCATATAAATCAATACAAGTCAATAGCACGGTTAAATACTGAAGCACTACTTATGTACAGAATAGTTTTTGTGATCTGAAGTAATTCAAACATGAGAAGATTGTAAATTTCCAGTTGATAGAATTCAGTAGAATTTTTCTTCAAATCACAATAATTTAGCTTGAAATGGTCATGAAAAATTTCAAATAAATAGTATTATCAGTAGTGGAGGGGTTCCAAACAGTGAACTGCATGGCACAAGATACACCATTAAAATTTTTGAGGGATTATATATTTTAGAACGGTGATTTATGGAGCTATGAACTTTTGGAGGGAACTATATTTTTTGAGGAATTTCATTTAAAGAAAATTTTCAAACCAAGCAAAAGAAAAAACAAAAAAATTATATTTTTTATTATTTTACTTTTATTTACACAGTTTTTAAATATGGAACAATCAATTTCATTGGGAGTGTGAGAGTGCATTTTCCATTCCCCTTTGGGAGAGGGGGGGGGGGAGATGGGCACCCTCGGAGTAGTGAGAAATATCGTATGAATATTGGCCAACATTGTAGGAATTATAACACTGCTACATTCTTTGTATGACTTTAATGAATAAAAAGAAATGGAATTATATCAAATCAAATAATTTAAAAATCATCTTCTTAATAAACCAAAGTTAAAATAATAATAAGAAAACTCATTGTTGTATAATAGTTCTTTCTAAATAAAAATATGTATATGTTAGCAACAAAGCTTACTAATTAGCTGTTCTGTAAATTAATGTACATACCATGATCAAAATGTTTTAGGCATTTTTAAATTATATTAATTGTTAATATAATTTAGGAAATTTCATTATACTTCTTTTTTGTGGCACAAGTTATATATATATATATATTTCCTCCAATTTAGATCCTATCATTTTTTATTACATTATTTTAAATTAATTTTTTATATCTTTGTGATATTTATGTGGATGAAATAAAACAATTAAACTATTTTATTAAGTGTAATATTACAAATAAACCAAACTGCATGGATACATTAGTGATATAAAATTGTTATAAAGACCTTGTTTTACTAAAAACTTTACTGTAATGAATTCTTTTGATGTTATTAAATTATGAATAAACAATGTTATCTGAATGTGGACGATATGGAATCATTATATAATTCTTCCACATATCATCTATAATCAGATTAATTCAGAAATAATTCTTTGACATTCATTACGAAAACTCTTCATCTTATGGCATATTTAAACAACTAACATTCCTGAATACTCTTAATGATATGCTCATTTGTAAAACTTCGATATTTAAAATTGATATCAGAAACTTTTTGAACATGGTTTATTAGTGGATACAAATAAACTAATTACGGTGATTAATAAACAAATGGACCTAAGCGAAAATAATAAAATTTTTTGGCATAAAAGCAACATAAAAGTTATTTACAATTAGAACAAGTAAAAATTAGTAGTTGAATTAAAACAATTGGAAAAATGGAAGTAAAACCTCCACCATAGCTTAATATTGATTTCAATTTTTTGCCAAAGTATTATGAATGAGTTGTTACAATTATTTGGTATGTCTATTTTTTTTTTCATCTACCAGGAAAGACCAACCTGCAGTGCATGTGTCTAAGTGTTTTTATCCTAAGATTAAATGTAAATAAAATTATTGTCAAAGAAAAGCAATGATAAATTCATTCATTATATAAAATGAATATAAAGAAAGCAACATAGTAAATTTGTAGCAAACTTTTGTTTTGATCTGTTGTGATGCAACTGATGGTGTTAATTATTCTCCAGTTTCTGAATTAGTGTTAAGCAAGCTTCTTATTAAACATAGCATGTACTTATGATCCTTTGAAAGTAAACAATTATTTAGTTTAATTTAGTTAGCAGTTACTTAGATTTTCTTAACTCATCCCCTTACAGAACTTATTCAGTTGAAAAAATTATTTACTTGTTATTGTCATATTTAAAAAGTTTTTTTTATTGATTATGGCTCATATAAAAAAAAAATGTGGAAAGAACAATAAAAGATTAACCACCCCATTCTAAAATGCTCTTTAAATAACACTGGTATTCCATTCCATCAGAATTTGTTAGAAAAGATGGTAAAATGAATCATTTAAAGTCAAAGATAAAACAGTGCTTCGATAGAAATTTTACATTTTGTTCTACAAAAATGTGTGAATCTCTCTTTATGTTATTTATTGTTAAATATTACATAAATTGTACAGTTAAAATAAAACAATAGAGAACTATCATTTAAAGCATTAATGCACAACATTATAATAGAAGGGTGACTTTGAGAAAGATTTTTCCCTCCCCAACATTGAATCTTTCCACTTAACTATCTAATATTCCGACTTTTATTACAGGGGAAGGTTTAATATAGAGGACAGAATATTTCTCAAGATCACACACCTCATATTCTTACTTCTATTTATAAAAATAAAATGTATACATGAGATTAGGAAGGGTAATTGTGTTGGAGCAGCAATTCTGCTCATCCACGAGATCTACCGATTAAACATGAGTAAACCATGTTTATGACCTATAAATAAATTAAGAAGAAGTTGGTTGGAAGGTGCAATCAATAACGCAGGTTGTCAAATAGAACTTGTTTATGACATTACCAGGTCGTTTTGGAAATATCCCAGGGTATCAAAATTGCTGCAATACAACATACCTAAACTTAATAATAATCATTTTATATATTTCCTACAATATTTAACACTTTAAATAATGCGATCCACAATAATGAAAGCCTTATAAAATAATTATAATTTTTTTTTATAATACACAAGCTAGTAAAGTATCTAACAAAAATTAAACAGCCTCTGATTGGTATACAAATTAAAAAAAATATTGAAGCAGTCTCTTTGATACTAAAACCAATGGAAACATTAGACTGACTTCTTAGGCAGTAAAATATTTTTATAAACTAAAATTATATTTATTGTCACAGAAATGATTTCTTAATAGTTTTAAATTCTTAAAAATACAAATAAGTAAACTTATTTCAATGAGTGCTGATGTTTTAGCTTGGAATTTAGGCCTTTATCAGGACAACAGGTGCAAGAATCTTACATTAAGTTGTCTACTTCCACCCCCAACCAACTTCTACATTTTTCTGTAAACAATAATACAAGGTACTTCCACCATTATAAATAAATAAACCCTCTCTCTTCTAACTTTAAATTAAATAGTTAAAATCCAATAATTTTTATATTAGAATAGTTTTTGTTTGAAACGTTGCATCTTGATAATTTATCAATATTATTTCAAAGATTTCTGGGTATTTCTTTCAAACTCGCTAAACGATCTTACAAATTATTCATTTTTCATATTTCAAATTTGAGTATTTAGGATCAATTCATGATTCATAAAATTTTTTATGCAACCCATGCTCAATTCACCATTATATTTCCTACTAGTTTTATTATTCAAAAAGCACATTTTTGCAGTTTTCAACATCAATGAGGCTGTTTACAGCTTTGTACCATCAAAATTCGAACAAATTCTGATGCAATGAAGTGTAAGCTAACAACTTAAGGGTGACCCTCACATGTAGAAATTAGACTGGGAGATTACACTCAAACCTGGTCCAATATATCATATTGAATTTTTGTTTTAACATTTTTCAATTATATGAACATAATTTGATTGTCATTTCAATAACAAATGGTTTATTATACATTAAAAGGGTCTCCTGGAGTTGTTTATTTATAGTTAGGCAAGCAGAAAAATGTGTGATGTTTGTTTTAAATGTTATACGTACATTATTTCTAGTCTCATTTGTGTAATTACTTAAGATTACGGTGTGAGGATTCATTCCACTTCCTGTATTGGAGCTAATATTTTTTTGTTAGACATGAAAGTTGAAAAACATAATAAAAATAAGATTAGTTAGTTAGCAAAGTACTTTGAAACAGTGAATAAAACACAAATACATATAGATGACATTAAACATGAAGGTTTAATAATTTCATTTCCCTTATTCATCATTCAAGTAAGACTGAATAAATTAATTAGAAATATGGTAATGAAGTAGGTAATAAAATCTTGTTTTATATGATCGTGTTTATAATCACCAATAAAATAAATTTACATTTTTTCTCAATTTTTTAAGAACTGTATCAAGAACAAAACATTCAAGTATCTTTGAAAATTCTGAAAACTAATTCACAGTTATAATCAATATATTATTGAATATAGAGAAATAAATATAGCACTAAAACATTATACCGCAGGTTTGGATATAGCACTAGTCTAGGTCATATTTTATAATTTACAATTCATCTTAAAACAGAATGGCAAATAATAATTTAGGACTTTAATTTTCAAAATAAAATCTATTTGATTCAAAATTTTTCATTTTTTTAAGCTGAATAATGGCGGGATGTTTATGAGCTTATAATAAAACATTATAGCTGTAAACAAATCTCTGTTTACAGTTTTACTATTTTTTTTTCTTGACACATATTATAGATTGATGAATTTTAGTTAATACAGTTAAAATTTGGTTTTGAATAGAAAGTTTGCTCCATTTAATCTCCTTTTTTAAATTATATTTTAATATTATATATCTGAAATCGCTTTAATTGTACAGGCGGTACTGTTCAATATAATGTATAAGTATGTATAATATAATCAATATAATGTATAAATTTTCTTTTTCATTTTTTTTTAAAGCCAAAATTTCTAATGAATTTCAGAAATAAATTTGTGCTATTGCTAATAGTTGACAACAATATTCTCCTACTACTTCAGGCTCAAAATATATAACAGAGATTATAAAAAATTTATATTTTTTATTTAAAAAGTATTACTCAAGAATTATTATTAATGCTAATTGTAAAAACTTTGTTCAGAATATTAAAAACTATCAAATGATTTTTAAAAACTCCCGATAAAAATTTTGATCAGATTTGATTTTTTTAATTATCAATTTCAAATCCTGGTTTTAATGTTATAGAATTCACGAATATTTTAAGTATTACAATAAAAATAATTTCCTGACAAAAATTATATTTGTTGACAAAAGTTTGATACTAAAATGACAGAAATATTGCACAATAAACCATATTATGATCACAATGAATGAATAAGACACATATTATATTAACCAAAGAACCATAATAAATCAAATACAATAAATGTCCAATGTATCAACACATGATTAATCATTGAACAAGGTAAAAAGTAAACATTCCCTGGCTCAAAGAGGAAATCAACACTAAATCTGTAGAATGTAAAATAAAAATATAGATGGTGTAAAGAAATATAAACTAGAAAATGAAGGGGTATTAATTTCACTAACATGTTTTACAATCAATACAAGGACAATCATTTAAAGAATCCATTGAAAAAAGGCTATGAATGATAAAACCAAAGTTAGAAATATCTAAAAAACAGGCCAATTTTGCAGCACCAACTAAAATGCATAAAATAAGTTATGATTTGGCCTTACAAAAACACCGTTAGAGGAATAATCGGTAAATATTAAATACCTAATGTCTATATTAGGAAGGATTATTTGTTAATAATAATGAAGATGATTGGAAAATGAATTAAGGTACAATAACGGGACAAAGTAAAGCAATACATATACTTATCCAAATATATAAGTTTATCATGCAATTTAAAAACTAAATTAATTGTTTGGTTTAAAAACCATTAACTTGAAACTGTAAAAGTAATTGATGATTCAGATTTACTATTTTACTTTAAAAATACTTATTATACAATAATAATAGACATATCACTTATAATCTTTTCTATTCAGACAGAAGCTAAACTACGACTAAAACAATTAAATAAGTTCTTACCTTATTGACTAAAAACATTCTCAAATCAAATCAAGATAAATTGAAATGAAAACATGGAAGTACTGCTGCTAGTCAATTCTTTTTATTCTACATTACTTGGAGAAGTTATTTTTTGGGCCTAAAAACTTTCTTGAATGCCAATACATCTAGTTCAGTTGCTCTTTTAAATAAAACAAACTCTAAGGATTAAAATTTAAATAGAAAATATTATGTAATATGTTTGACTAAACTTCAATAATCTTAGGTTTTGGTTGAGATGAAATGATTAGCAGATAACATAAAGTGGACAACAGAAAAAGTAATCACAAGCACTTTTCTCTCTTCATTATTTTACTCCCCTGATTGTTAAAATAGTATATACCAGTTCAAATATTTTTTTCTTAGATTATAAAAATATACGAAAAATTAGTAAAAGCAAAAAGGATATTTATAACTGTATAAAATAATTATTTAAAAGTGATCTCATTAGACTGGATCAGAATAAGAAGAAAAAAAAACATCAAATAAATAAAATAAAAAAAATTGCCAATTATCTGGAATAATACATCTTTTAAAATATACAAGACAAGATATGGAGCATTTTACAACTTTCCAAGGAACTGTATAATTTGAAGCAACAGATTATTAATCCTGTGGATTGGGGTGTGTCGCCTATGATTTGTGTTTTATTCACTGATGTGTTAGTCGGTAGTGGTCTGTCTTACTAGGGTCGTTGGTAACAGGCCCATATAGGGGCAGCGGCTGCTCTTGGGAAGTGGAAGCTTTGGCAGCCGAGTGGTCGCAACAGTAGCTGAGGAAACCAGGGCAGGATTCACCGACCCGACCCCAGGCCAGCCAACAGCCTAACAAACTCTGGCAAGATCCGCTGCTGCAACCATCATCCTCCTTCTCATCTGTAGTAGATATAAAATGTTAAACTGTTTTCACTTTGAGGCTAGGAGACTTTCTATCTCTTTGCTGAAAATCTGAAAATTCTATCATTCACGACTTCTGAAGTTTTGTAAACTTTTACATCAGCTGAAATATGCTTGACTTTAATCCGATATACAAAAATTCATAGTGTTGAAAGTTTGAATTTGTACAGTTTATGGATCTGTTGATACATGAGCTGCAATGCTTGAAATAAAATAAAATTCCTATAAAAATTAAAACAATTTAATAAAAGGAATATTTTCCCTACCATAAAATTTATCCTATTTAAAAAATTAAATCAACACATTCTATAATAATAAAAGTTGTATCCAAGGACTTTTTTAAATTGTAATAAAAAATATAGGTAAATTTACCATATTTTTTTTAAATATTCAAAGTTATGAGATTTAATACAATATATGATTAGATTAGTACTTACGAATGCACAAATCAATATTTGAGACTAGATTAGAAATAAGAAATAAAAAAAAATAAAAATGCTCTTGAATTTGGTTTGTTTGTAATCCAAACATATCATTAATTATAAATACATGTCTGATTGAACTACTTAAATAATTGTTGTTTCTGGGCACCTATAAAGAATGAGGAAATTGTTAAAGTGAGTAACATCAGTCATATTAATTTACAGTGGTACAAATCAATTAAAACATCACGGATAAATACTGTCCTATAAATGTAAACAAGTAAAAAAACATATTATGGGCATGATTTGGGCAGAGAAATAGCTATATAGAACAAATGGAGTGATTCTTCCAGGAGCCACTTACATTGGGCGCTAAAAATACAAAAAATATTTATTTTTTAATAAGATAATTAGTATAAAAAAACAACAGATTAATGGATGTATAAACTGAGATCAAAGTGCATAATGGAGGAAGGAATATGATATTGTGAGGAGAGGGAGCAGGTGAGAATTGCTCTACTGGATATAGGACATTATTTAAAAAATCAAATGAAGACCAAGAACTGTCAATCGTCAAAAAACGTCCACACATTTTGAGGAAGAAGGATTAGCCAACATAATGAGAGCATAAATACATTCAATTATTCAAATTATGAAATGTAGGGACACAAATTACGGTCATAATGTCTGAGATACATAGATCTAAAAATGGCATTGACTGGTACATGTTATTGTCCACATGACAGATTACTATATTTCTAAATAAAAAAAAAATAGAAAAAGAAAGACTGGTACATGAGTTTATTCCAGGCAGACCAAGGTTATTTAGTGGAATATGAAATTATAAAAACTCTTGTAGATAGGTATTTCTATTGTCACTGAAAGATTTTAGTATGGAAGAAGTAGAGACCCTAGAGAATTCAATATTCATGCTCAGAGAGTTATTGCTATTGTACCATTAATCATAACACACAATGTAAATTAGTCAAAAGTAGAAGACAAACACAAAAATAAAATGACTTTTCATAGCAAAATAAATTAAATAGTTGAGAGTCTGAGCTTTCAGGTGAAAAAAAATCTCTATCACTACAACCTGTGGAGGGTCTTGGATTCAAGACCATCAATTCAAGGGTCTTGGATTCTTTGTAATTACTATTTTTAAGTTAATGGTTGTGCAAGAAGGGCGATTAGTCAATGGCCAGACTTAACTTAAATGTTTTGCCTCACTTAAGGGTATCCACTATATAGAGGCTGTATGTGCTCCAGGAGTATCTTTCATGGTTAATTCACAACTGATATAAAATAATATATAATTATATGTCATAGCTGGATTCAAACATGTGCTCAGAAGACTTAAAACACAATGCCTTAACCACTTAGCAGCCTTGGTCTCTTTCTCTGAATATATTTCTAATACATTTGAGCTCATTTGTTGAGTTCTAATAAGGAAAATCAAGTTGGATATTTATATCAGGGCTCTATACTTACTAATATGATACAAAAAAGCAGTTTTACTATAAGTTTCTATCAGCGTCTTATTCCTTCTTCTAACAGATCCTTATGATTTTCTGCATTCAATAAGCACATTAATCATTTAGAATCTGCACATTGGAAGATGAAATTACATACTCCATATGAGGTAAGTATAGAGTATAAGAAGCTCTAGAAATAAGTCCCTCATTTTGCTCTTAGAACGAATAATTAATTCTAAACTTAATGAATTAATTAACACAAAGACATGTGAAATATCAAATGAATGTTTAAGGTAGGGATTTGTTATACCTAAAAAAATGGCTGAATTCTTTAGCAACAATGCTAGGATAATGGTAGGAGAATAAAACTACCATAGTAGTAGTACTTATGAGCAATAACAGGTAAGGGATGGATTATTATTTGGTTTAAACATAAACAAAAGATGGACACAATAATTGCTTTGGGGAATTGAATTAAATGAATAACCACAGAGATGTATTCCACTTTTAGATATCTTACCTTGAGGTTGGTCTTCGGGGAGAAGTTGGTTATGTGACCAAGATGGGGCTAATCCAGGTGCAGGCTCCAAGTCTCGGAAGACAAGACGTGGACTCCGTGGTCCGTATTCCCAGGGTCGACCAGCACCTGGGAACCTAACGTACCTCCTCCATACTGTTCCTCGGCGAATCCTCTGAAAAATGTTCATTATGTTTTTTTTTTTTAAATTAGTCTTTAGTAGCGTAATAGTTAGGAAGGCTCCTCCATACCACATGTTTAATTCAATATATTCCGGCTAATCCCTCTCTGTACGCATTTTGTTATAAGGAAGTTAGTCGACTGTTCTACATATGATGGGTGATAAATAACCAGGACGCAATCAGTTTTTAAGATTTTTATGGTTGTCAAGGTTTTTTAACGTTGCAAACTGACCAGTACAATTTCAGTGCTGGTAACATACCCACAAGCACAGGCAGATTTACGGGGAGGGGAGGGGAAGGGCTTTCGGGCTGAGGCCCCCCCAAAATGGTAAAATATAACCATGTTTTATGGTAAAAAATATGTCTTAAAGTACTATTGTTTGTTTACATTAAATTAAATAGCACTTCAAGAATCACTTAAACACCATTTCTTATAGGTAGTTAGCATCTTTCTGTTGTTCTACAGTAACTATCGTTATATATTTGAAAAAAAAGAAGCTTCCGGGCTGAAGCTCCCCCTCTCCAAAATTAAATCCTGGATCCGCTAGTGCCCACAAGGCTGGATAGAAACTTTGGCAACAATAAAAATCTTAAAAATTGACTGCATCCTGACTATTTATCACCCATCAGGGATGTCCAGAAAGGGGTTTGATTGAAAATGTTTGAGGTGAGCACATTTTGACAGGGTTTTGAATTTTTGAGAGGGAACATTTCGACTGGATTATTATTTTTCGAAATGAAAAGTTTCATATCAGGGGACAAGAGGAATTCATAGAACAAACCACTGAAAGTGTAATTGTACATGACATATGATTTTCAAAAGTCTATTTCTCTATAAGTTGACGAAAACCCAAGAAAACGGACGATGGTAACCACAGAAGTTTTTTGCTCTTTAAACTAAAATAAAAAAATCTATTTTAGCTTGCATTGATTTTGAGAAGAGGAGATAAATGAAATATCTTGGGAGGAGGTGAGTAGTTCATGCGCCATTGACCTTGGGAGGATGGACACCCCTGTCAGCCATGATACGTATTTTATCATAAAACGACCACCATTTATTTACAATATTATTTAACTGCTAAAAATTTCCATTCAAGATCTTGTTTCTTCTTTGAATGAAAAAATTCTTCTGTCACTTTATTTCAGTCAAAAGGGAGGCGCAATGACATTTAAACCAAAAGGAAAACAAATGAAGCATTATTTTACTTATGTATTTTAAGCTTAATTTAATAATCTCGCAGATATAAGTGATAAGTAACATTTTTTAGTTTTAGAAAACTGAATTTAATTTGCTTGTATCTACTAGTATACAAAGACGTTATTTATGCGAATAAAAGAAATTAATATTCAATATATACTATTTATTATTAACACTGTCATCACCACCTATGCCGATGACACGTGTATCCTATCAGTTAATAACGATCCATCTATTGCATCCCAAATTCTTCAATCACACATCACAAGTCTTGAAAAATGGTGTCAAAACTGGAGGATTAAAATAAATTCCAATAAGTCCCATCAAATTACTAAACGTTCAACTATTTACAAAATACCCATATATATTACTATAATAAGGCTTATTTGGAGTTACGGGATCGAACTTTCTTTACTAAACCATCAAATTCCTCTCGCACCCAACCCCTACAATCCAAAATCCTCAATGTTTCCTACTTTGTAACAAATAAAATCATCCATAACGACCTTAATGTACCATATGTTTCCGATTTAGCTCAATCCAGGTACCTATCCATCCATAACAAACTTCTGAACCATCCGAACCCTCTTGTTTCCAACCTTGCTTCCTCTTCTATCCCTGATAAAAAAATCTCACAATATATATATTTTTTTGTTGAGATAAGGTATAATTATTAAAAATAAGATGAACAAACTAATCTCATTCTGTACAAGAGATTTCTGTAAAGGAATTTTGTCACAGTTTTTGAAGTAGATAGGAATATACACGTTGCTCTAAGTGAAACAGTCTTATACGTCGCCGAGTCACAGTGAAAGTAACGTGATATGACACTGCTCATTTTACTTTTTAAAATTTGAACCGGTGGTGCAATGGTGCTAATGTTCATCAGCGGATTGTCCATTTTAATTAGATATCTAAAGCAGAAGAAACAGAGGTGAGAAGCGTGAGAGAGGGGGAAAGAGGAAAGAAAAAACAATGATGTAAGGTAGGTTGAGGATACTGAAGTAATATCAAATAAGACTAGCGAGAGGGAAGGACCTAACTGGTCAGAGAAAGTGAATTTCTCCAGTGTTTGAGTTTCTCCGCTGCCTAAACACTCGCCCGCGTGTCCCCACGTTTAACTTGGATCGGATAGCTCTTTGTTACGTAACCATTCTTCGAGGTGCCTCCATGGTTGTAAATATTCCGTTTTCCCGATTGTATTACTCCTGAATAAAAAGGATCTTCTTTAAATAAAATAATGAAAATGAAGTGTATAAGAAATTTGAAACCCAACTTTCTCTTCACAATTCTTTTTTTATGTATATATAATTTATTTATTAAAATTTATAACTGTGTTAAATAGTAAAAAAAACTTTAAACAACCAGTAAATATGAAGCCATGAACAGACTTATCGAGATATTACCCAAAGGTAACACTCTATTCAAGAACATCCTTAGGGCATCTTCTTTTCAGACACTTAGGAGGATAACCAGGTATTGAGGAAGCAAGGTTGGAAATAGATGAGTTCCGCTGGGTCTGAAGTTTATCATGAAAGGATTGGTATCTGGATCGGGCCAAATCAGCGACATATGGAATGATTTTATATGCATAATAATTTATTTTTGTGACAAAATATGAAGCAATAAGCATTTTAGATAATAAGGATTAGATAGGAGAGGAATTCGATGGTCTAGTGTCGGAAAGTACGGGAGGGTGGGGTGGGGGGAGCTTTCAGGCTGAAGCCCCCAAAATGGTAAAATATAACCATTGTTTTTTTAAAAAAATGTAATAATTGTCTCTACTTTTAGAGTAATTTTAATTGTGGGCAGGGTGGCCGAATGGGCTAAGGTCTGTGCACAGCACCACCGTTGCCCGGCAACCTGAGTAATTTTAATTATTGTTCGTGTAATTACAGTTAATGGTACTTAAAGAATTACTTAAACTTTATTTCATATAGGTAGTTAGTTTATAGTCTTTTTATTTGTTATATATTTAAAAAAAAAATGTTTCGGGCTGAAGCCTCTACCAAAACTAAATCCTGGATCTGCTAGTGCTTATGATTAATAGATTTAGGGTGTTTATGTATTTGAATCTAATTCTAGTTGAGTTTACTTTTCGGTTCAGAGATCGTATGTCATGAATGCTTGCAAAGAAGGCCAATACATTTTGGAGAATCATAAAATCAAACATTTCCCGAAATAAGAGTTAAAAGAAGTAGGATTTATGGAAGTAAATAATCTATTACACGCCATTAGAGGTAGATGTTTATTGGCAGAAAGGAGAAGAATTTTTGAAAAACGTTTGGTCATTTACTAAGGCGTTCCTGCGCGTCAATCAAGATTACTTCTATCACGAAGTAGTTAAGCTAGGATCATCAGAAATAGTAGATTTTGTATTTGAACCTAATTCCATTTGATAATATATAGTTTTTGTTTTAGTTTTTTGGAAGCATAGAGATACCTACTTTTTGTAAAGGACGTTCAGTAATGTTGGCAGGTTCTATGTACATCTTGTCATCGACCACTTCGTCGAACTTGGAAGGCTTCTCTTCGGCGGTGGTGTTCAGCTGCTGTCCCACTACGCAGGCAGCCACCAGGGTGGCGAGCCAGGCACCCCATCGCCACCTCATCCTGCCAAAGAGGTAATAAACTGTAAGTAATGCTGTATATTTACATGAAAGCAAAATAAATAAAAATGCACACACAGAGGATGGTTTAGTTCTAAACAGAGATGTCGACCAAAGGAAAAAGAAAAGTAAGTTTAAACAAGAAAAGAACTAAGAATGAATTTTAAAAGGAATAAATAAATCCAATATTATAAACGCCATGAAAATTCTGATCAAAAACAAAATGGAAAAATGTCTGTGTGGTTCGGATGAGATTTTACAGAGAATTAATTTGTTTTTAAAATATAAATATCAATTCTTTTTTAGATTAAAGTATATATTTCTAAAACATCGGTTTAAAATTGTAGTAAATTTAAATCTCGGACAAAGTTAAGTCACATTATCTGTAGGATTACCACATTATTGGGTCGGAATACCTTAGTGTGAAAATAATTACTAACTAGTAGGCCCGTGCGAAAAATTCGCACAGCATATTGTTATCAAATGCAAAATTAATAAGAAAATAAAATAATGCAACGTATCAAAAGATAAAGAAATCAAATGTTAATTTATCGATAAATATCATCGACAAAGATAACAAAAATTAATTTAAATCTTCATTTTTGTTTGGAAACAACATGTTTACGAATTTCAGTAAGCTGTATCTTTGCTAAAAACTGTCCGATTTCGATGATTTTTTTCCTTTTGTAGGGAATCAACTATCCTTTAATATTATTATGGGCATAACCCAGAGAAAAGTGTGTAATTTTTTAGTTATTCGTAAATAATGTTTGTTTTCTTTTATAACTTGTTTGCCTGAATTTTCGGGGTGATTGGAATATTTTGCCTGCCCGAAGGAGAAGAAAGCCTTAGAAATTGGTGGCTTAATATTGAGATTTGGTGAAGAATTAACGATGATGTGGCTCGCCGATCAAAAAACGCCATCGAAAAACAATATAAACTCCTCCTCTCTCGATCACAGAGACCTCAAGTCGACGAAATGAGACATGTATTCAATGACAGTACTACAATTAATCACTAGCGGATCCAGGATTTAATTTTGGGGGGGGGCTTCAGCCCGAAATTTTTTTTTTTTCAAAAAATTACGATAATTACTTTGGAGAAAAAGAAAGAAGCTAACTACCTGTATGAAATGGAGTTTAAGTGATTCCTAAAGCTCTTGTAAATGTAATTGCACGAACAATAATACTTTAAGAGATACTTTTTAAATATTTTTTTCGATAAAACATGGTTATATTTTAGCATTTGGGGGGGGGGGAGCTTCAGCCCGAAAGCCCCCCCTGTAGATCCGCCCGTGCATTTTATGTAAGGTTGTGTGGATGCGAACCTTATGCCTTGCGTTATCTCGAAAATAGTACGTTTTTGGGCTTAAAAAGGCAGGATCCGATAGTTCCGAGGGAACCACGGGCGGATCTACGGGGAGGGGGGGCTTTCGGGCTGAAGCTCCCCCAAAATAGTAAAATGTAACCATATTTTACAGAAAAAAATACTTTATACTATCTCTTAAAGTATTCTTGTTGGTGTAATTACGTTTAATAGGACTTCAAGAAACACTTAAACATCATTTCATATAGATAATTAATTAATTAATTTTTTTTCAAATTAATTATCGTTATATATATATGAAAAAAAAACTGTCGGGCTGAAGCCCCCCCCAAAACTAAATCCTGGATCCGCTAGTGGAGGGAACTATTAGAGTCTTGTTGTATACATCAAAATCTTGAAGGTCCAATTTGTCCCGTCTACAGACCTACCACTGTTCCGGTATCGAAGCATAGCAAAATGTTTGTACCGACTTTATTTATATCAGAAAGAAAAACAAAAGTGGAGAATACGATTCGTTAACCCCCGTGAATTCTGAATCCAACATTAAACCTCATTAATGGTATTTGATATGAAAATATTTTTTTTTTATTATCCTGGGAGTGTTGTCCCTTTAGGACAAATTACAGATACAGAATAAATGCCTGTGTGGCCATACATAAAATTAATTACTTACAATTATTATTAAGATTAAGATTTTGAAAAAGAATAAAACAAAAAATAGAACTATTACACTAAAAACATTCTGATATGTATAATACAAACGTGGGAAAACAAAATAGCATAAGTAAAGAAAATCATCTCTGGGGGGACTTTAAAAGTTCTCTTATCTACATTTCATGATCAATCGGGTTGGGAAAGGAGTAGGTGGTTAAAAAGGAGAGATTTAAATGAGGAAACTGATTGTACATGTCGGATATCGGGAGGGATGGTATTCCAGAAGGAGACGACTTGAATTATAAAGGATTTGTCAAACGCTGCAGTTCGGTGGGGAGTAGATAGAGGTCGGAGGTACGAGATCTAGTGAGACGGGATTGGATGGAATATTTGAAATGTAGGCTGTGAAAAATATAGGAAGGCCGCTGAGTTCTGATGACTTGGTAAAGAAAGGTGGCAAGGAAGTACAGACGGCGGTTGGATGGACAGAACCACTTTAACTTGGTGTAATACTGTCTTATATGCGTGTCTCTTGAGATTCCGAAAACAAAACGTATTGCGCAGTTCATTAGGTGTATTTGAGCATGACAGGAGCTTATATTTGGTACAAAACCGATTTCGACCCTTACTGTAAAAATATATGTGGATAGGTTTTTAATTAGGTAAAAATAACAATTTTTATCTTGGAAATGATTTTTTAAGCTAATAAAACAAACCAAGAAGAATAGATTTGAAAGTATTTAAATTAGTTTTTATATGAAAATTTCATTATTACATTTTTTTTTTTTGTTTTGGTAAGCATATGACGTCACATCTTTGTAAGATATATTGCAATAGTGAATAAAAGATTGTAATTCCTTCCTCGATGGCGGATTACGAATGCCGCTGGCGTCGCCTTATTACAGAACCGGGAAGGACATGACAGATAGCCTCCGCTCTCTGCTTTCTCACTTTCCCCGGGTCAAGGTCAGGGCTCGGGGTAACCAACTTCGGTTTCACTTTCTGTTGAGGCCGGCTCATCCTTGGTGATCCTGGACTCACTTCTTTTCGTCGAGAGTTCGAACAGAACCTTTTATCGTATTATCTGAGGAGTACACCACAATTCTAAGACATATTCCCTATTCCTATATATTCCCTCCAATGAAAAAACATTCATGGTGGTATCCAAGTTGAAAAACAAAAGTACTCACTTGATTTGCATTTCATAAAATACGTGTCAATTCATGAAGTGAATTCCTCTTCTTCTATTGCTTAAAATGTACTTATGGATTTTAAGCAATAAAACAAGAGGAAGGACCAAAACCGGGTTCATGAATTGAGACGCATTTTATGAAACGAAAATAAAATGTTGAGAACAAGATTTGTTTTTTATTGTTGGACTGATAGTAATAGACAACAGAACGTTGTAATATGGAAACTTGTTAGGTATGTGATAAATTTTAATAGCCCGAAACGTTGTAATGGCATAAAAAAAATGAAAAACAATGAAGGTAAATTCATTTCTTAGAAACTACTTATATAATTTCATTAAAGTAACTTAGAAAAATATAGTGCTTGAAGAGTCCTCCTTGTTACAAAAACATTTCAAGGTTTCAACCCAACTTGAAGCTATACAAGTTGTCATATAATGATAAACAATTCAACAAATTCTGTATATATATTTATGCTTTGGAATGTTTTTTTATGGTAGGCACTGCAAAGTAGAAGAGCCTATTGTTTTTTTATATCCAGAAATATTTCAAGTACGGATATATATTACCACCAGAGCGTTGATAATAGCACTCATTCAACTACTTGGATCAATTAGTCGATACGAAGAGCAAAATATCGATACTTACATGTACTCGTAACAAGATAGTAATAACAAAAATACTCCGAGTAACGAATACCTAATATTATAATCAAATGGATTGCGGAAGTACTAGGTAACGAGAAACGAATAGTGAGTACCATGTATTTATTCAAATTCTGGCACTGCCGAGTATCGAGTTACGGATGATGATTACCGAGTACTAAGTAGTTTATTCAAATTATCGTACTACCCGAGTACTGAATAACGACAAACGAGGACCAAGTACCTTACACAAATACTCGCACTTCCAGAGTACCTAGTAACAAGTACTTCAGTCAAATTCTCGCACAGCTCCAGTACCGAGCACCAAGTACCACCAAGTACATTACTTAGATTGTACCCGATTGAAGTATCCAAATGAATATTCGTGAAATTGTCGAGTTCGGACTATTTAAGCCAAGTATTGTACAAACTTAATGTTTCTGGATTTTAGTATTTACAGAACTTTTTTTTGTCAAATGAAATCTTAAAATACCGGACAGTCCGGATCAATAGCAATATATAATTTAAATAAAATGTTATTTTATAAATATTAAAATCTACTTGTACATAAGCTGAAATACTTAAATTCTCCTTTAGTACCGTACTTGTCAATTATTAAAATATCTAGTCACTTAATTCAAAATTTCCAGGAGCTGTTGACATAATCTATGTTCAAATTAATGATAGGGACATCAATCTCTGTTTCTTTTAAGTTTCTTGAATCCAGACCTATCTCAATTGATTTTCGCACCTTCTTTTCCAGGGTTTGTTCCACGCCTTCCTCTGCCGTCTCCCTATCCGAGGGATCAGTGGGATGGGTTTCAACAGACATTGTGTCATACCCTAACCGTATCCATTTTTGAAGCTTTGCAGCCTTTCCTATTGGTTAATTTCCAGAGCTCAACATTGGAAATAAAGATGAAAAATTGTCAGGATGTGAGGTAAAAAAAATTCTTAATTGAGTTTGTTGACGTTTCGACCCAAATATATGGTTCATCATCGGGGTTTGAAGCCCTCATAAGAACTCAGTTGTCCTGATGGTGACCACATGTTTGGATTAAAACGTAAGCAAACTCAATGAAGATTTTTTTTACTAACCCTCTATATAAAGAATTGGAAATAGTTTGCGGCCACCACACTATTAATATATTATGGAAACATATAATAAATAAAAGTATTTAGCTTTTTTTTTCTTTAGCCTGTTTGATGACTTTTCTTGTCTCATTTGCATACAGAATACACAACATGAGTACTTTACTTTGCCGCGTAACAGTAGTTTGTCTTTCTTGCGGTCTCCGTATTTGCAAAAATTGTGAGAAGTTGATTATGGTTTTTCATAATTATCGAGTGCTAAGTACTTTACTGAAATATTTCCACTGTCGGAATACTGAATAACGATAAACGCGTACCAGATACTTAACTCCAATACTCGCTCTTCCTGAGTACCTAGTGCCAAGTACTTTAGCCACATTCTCACATTACCTGTATGTTTCCCAGATAAAAGCTTATCGAACTTTTCTTAAGCATCTTTCTCTTAACATATATTTTCCTTTCTGCTACTATTTAAGGCAATCCTTTTGCTTTGTAAGCTTGATATTGTTAGAGCATTACATTATGCTTCTCTTTGCAATTAGCTGCAAAGCACACGGTGCAGTAATGATCTGACAACTGAACTCTTTATGCAGATTAAAAAAAATATCTACGGTAATATAAAGGACTTCTGTTGGACTGACGATTTTACTAATGGCATAACTGATGCTCCCACCTAAGAAGATGGGTGTGAAGAAGAAGATGGGTAAGAAGAACATAATCTCGTCAAAACTTGAATATTCATTAGAATAACTTAAGGTTATCATCAAGGGATCATGTGGAATATAGGAACAGTCGAAGGGGATAGGTTGCATGATCTTCATGTCAGTAATATTCTCTGTTGTTTAACATAAGATGACAAAAGGAATTCTTGAAAACTAAGCCAGTGGTTATGTGATGAGGAAGACTGCCCTGAGTAGGACATCCCTGTTGCAAAACACTTCCTCTCAACAACAATGTCTTCTTCTATTGGGATCATTTCATCTCATTAAATGGTTTAATAGCCTCGCTGATCCATTGTATTATACCTCTTGCATAACTGTCGACTTACTTTTAAAATTAGCTCTTTGTTCTAGTCTATGAATCTCGCATAAGAAAAAAAAACATTATATGTAATAATTTTGATATAATGATAAAGTGTAACAATTCGAAGATATAAGTGGATGAAGTCTAAGAAGTGCTACACAACTAATTCTTGTAATTGATTTTTCCTTAAAAATGTATAGAGGTGTTCTAAGCATATTTCCTACTAATAATACTTAATAGTTGACCGTTGTATTATTAAGGAAGGAGACGGTCTGGGGCGGCGGTCATAAATAGACTAAATAATGGCAAAACTATTTTATTAAAAGCCAACGTTTCGACCCGACTTTGCAGGTCTTCTTTAGGGACGTGTGTTCAGCAAGGAGTTTCACTTGGAACTGGAAAATCTGGGTAAGTATTGGGAAAACTGGCCGATCTGGTTGGGGAATAGTGAGGGAGTAAGTAGCAAAAGGAAAACAAAACCCGGAATATTACAATATATAAAACTTGAGATTCCCCAACTAGATCAGCAAAATTTTCCCAATACTTACCCAGGTTTTCCAGTTATAAGTGAAACTCCTAGCTGAACACACCTCCCTGAAGTAGACCTGCAAAGTCGGGTCGAAACGTTGGCTTTTAATAAAATAGTTTTGCCGCTATTTGGTCTATTTATGACCGCCACCCCGGACGATCTCCTTCATTTAAAACTTACGATTCTTGGTCATACGAATGGTTTGTAAGTGGATTGGATTTCATGTCTAGAAAAACGCTTCGAATTATTATACAATGATTAATTATTACCAAATAGCCACATATATATCAGAAATACCTGGTATGTCACACAACATTGCTTATCGCTTCAATTTAAAAATTGTTCGCCAATATTGGCCCAATTATTATTATTTTTTTTTATATGGACTATTATTTTTTAAACGACCGTCTTTAATGTTTCAAGGAGATTTACAATTTTCGAATCAATCAATTTTCATGGAAACATGAGCAGAATACTTTAAAAGGACATGTGAAAAATCCGAAACGTCACATCTCTGCTAAAACTAGTCCGACTGCGATGATTATTTTTGTAATTTAGGTAATTTTATTGTCTTTTAAAATGGTTACAATTAAAATGAACCAAAAGAATGTGCACTTTTTTAGTTATTCCCATATCAAATTTCGTTAACCCATAGCTTATTTGTTAATTTTTCTTGGAGCTATATTATATATACATCAATTCAAAGCAGTTTTTTTTTTCCGCATTACAGTAACGCTGTAGTGGATGCATATATTTCTACGCGTACCATCTTAATAAAGTAACGTTAAAGTTATTCGGGAAAAATTTCAAATTCTATCTATTTTAGGGGAATATACTTATCTACTTATACTCCTTGGTAGATTTTAGATTTTAGATGTTTGTGCTAGTTTTTGCAATAGCCAGATTCTCCACTCAAGCCATGTGTGATCATAGAACCTTTTATCAGCCTCTACTGGTTCTTAATACCAGTAATTATAATGCGGCTGAGTGAGAGGCACTGGGATCTCCTAGAGTCCTGCCTTTCCTTCCACGGGTGGGGAGAAAGGCTTGGATCGGAAATCTTGAGTGTACGAACTTTTTAGATATTCTATAGAAGCATGTGTGTGTTTGGGTAGTTATTTTGATTAGTTTAGTTAGTTTTAGTTTATATACATTTACTTTTAGTATTATTATTTTATGTATTATTTATTGTAAATAGAGTGTGAATGTGCTCTCTGAACACTATTATTAATGTATTTAATTGTGACAGATTATAATAATTCTGAATAAAAACTAAAAAAAAAACAATTTTTTTTTCTTTAACCATTTGTATGGGCACGAGTTGACCTGTCTAGTTCTTTGGCTATTTATCAATTATATTGTTCCATTGTACTGTTATATTTATGATTTATAGTTATATGTGTGAATAACATGAATAATACGTGAATAACTTTAAACGAGGATTAGAACTTATATGAATAAAATTAGAATACTGTTCTTTGGTTTGTTTTGACAATACAACTGACTGGTTGAATATTTCTTTTGTATTGTGCTTTTTACTTTATTATGGTTAAATGGAGGGAAGTGGTTTCGTTTGATTATGATTTTAATTTATAAACCAATACAATAATAATAAATTTAATTTATACATACAAGGGGAGTGTTCATTTAATTGTACTACTCGTTGCTCAAATTGTATGACTGTAATTTCCACGTATTCTGCAGTTCAGGTTTATTATTTTGTATTAACATAAAAATAAACGGAACGAAATCACAGGTTTGGAGTTTTTTTTAATTTCTTTAAAAAACTATATTATACATCGCGCCTTATTGTTAATTTATATTATTTTATGATTATAATTATTCTTATTGCTAATTTGTAATCATAATCTATATTCAACTTGTTGTCCAGCTTCGTATAAGACCAAAGTCAATTTGAGCCTTATTTTTAATAATATTTTCATTGTTAGTTATATTATGTTTCCTTTTCTATTTCATAATATTTATAATAAAATGACTAGATAAAAAAATAACTGCTATCATCCATGTAAAATCGAACTACCACCTTCAGATGAATATCCGACTGAAATTAATAATTAATATTTTCATTAATTATTAACATTATTAGATGTTCCTACCTATACTAGGTAAGGAAAGTATTGAAATCGGGTCAAATTTCCGATATGCGGTTTTCGACGGATCTATACGTTTGAGACTCCCCCGAATCCGGAAAAAAAGTTATGAAATTCCCTTCAAAACTGTATAAAAACCGTTCATTTTGGACAACTATTAACGAAGTTACCGTTATTCAATTTCCAATGTAAGATTACGGGTTCATATTCTGGTGTCAGAAAGGGATGAATGAGAGAAAAAATATGACTAAGTGAAAGTAAGAAAATCAGTTGCCCGCATCACACAATCTTCACTATTTCCTTTACTTTTAACAGAAATTATTATTTGACAATACTAAGCTATGGCAACAAGTTTTTGATGAGCAATATTAGAGAATATTGAAATGTTTACACTGATCTACCTTAAGCTGGATTACATTGCTTTAGTTTATCAAATAAATCGTACTCAAATCTTTTCTTTGATCAATATTCAGGAAAATAAATCTAGTTCAATTTTTTTTTTGTTTCTGAACACATGTAAAGATATAAAAACCTTTCTGAAATAGGTAGAAAAGTCGTGTGAGTGGACACACCACATATTTTTATAGGTAAAATAAAACATTACACGGCCACTAAAAACTTTTTTATGTAATACAGATATAATCATAGCCAATTTATTTCAATAAAATGTATCCATTATTAGATTACCTTCAGATATTATTTGGCTGGGAGACTAGAGGTGGATGGTCCATCTACAGGCAAGAAGAGCTCTGCAGAGAGCGTTGGCTTCTCATCGGCGTGTCTTCAAAGGAACCGATTGTCTTTAAACCAGTTCATTGAATCTGCAAATATAAATATAAATTAAGTAAACATATAAATAAGAAAAAGAAACACGCTAACTTGCATCATATATAATAATATATTAACATTATATATTGGAATCAAATACATTCTGACCGCGCCATGCAGTAGCCTAAATAAAACTAGTCTAACAGAGGAGTCCTCCGCAACAACAGCGGGTTCGCTATGGATGATGATAGCTTAATTCAGGCCTGGCTTTGATAGACAAGGGATGGCCATAGATAGTCGATATTATTA